TTTATTATCTAATTTAAAATTTAAAATAGTAGGTAGCTTTCTTTTTTTAAATATTATAATTCCTAGATATTAGTACTAATTAATAAAGTTATTTACTAAATAAGAGTAGTTAATATATTATAATCTTAATATTAGCTTATTAATAATATTAAGTAGATATAACTAATAATAAAATTAAGGTAATTATCTATTAATAGTAAAGTAAGGTAGTTAACTAATATTTATAAGATATAGGTAAGAAGTATATATTTAAATATAGGGGTATAGTTATATTTAAATTAATTACTAGAGAGTTTTAAAAGATAAATTAGATATATAGAGTAAACTATAGTTTATATAGATATTTCCCTTCTAAGCTTTTCTTAAAGTTAATTATATTCTTAATTAACTAGTTAGTTAGTTATAGGTGTAACTATTCTATTAATCCTCTATTTAACTAATTAGTTGGATTTAGTCCTGTCTAACTTTTTTGTTATATAATCCCTTATTCTATAGTGCTATACTGCTTCCCTGTGACCTGGTCGTGGCCATGTTGTGATAATCTACTAAGTAATTATTATATACTAATTAGTAAATTGCCTAGTACTATAATTAATAGAGTCCGCGAACTTTATAGCAGGCTGGTTGAGTGTCCGGGAGTGAAAGTAGTAAGAAGATGCTGTGGGAAGTTAATCCTTATAGTTAGGAAGTAACAGCCCAAGTAGTAACCTAGGAATGCCTACACGAGCAGCTCAAGCGCTACTTACAAGGGCATTAGTAGTAGGGAATATAAAAGGGAGGGAATGGGGAAAGGGAGGAGGAAAGGGGAGGGGAGGCAGGTTCAGCGTCACTATAGTTTGCATACTAGCTGGGTATATACTGCTTACACGCATCTCATACCTTATCACTTCGCTCGTGACCCAACCAACCTCTGACATCGAGCGAGAGAAGGCTGGTGGTACTATCGAACGCGGCCTAGCGCAGTTCAAGGCAGAAAGAGAAGAACAACGTGTTGGTCGGCTTCCGTGTATAAGATTGTATGCCGCTTCCAATCGCAGTTTACAGACCGAACGAACTAATCAGCGGCTGAATCCGTCTCTGAACCGGCCCCACCTCACCGACCGTGGTGGTCAACTACATAAATGGAATCCGCAACCCCATCGCCTTTTCGTAACGAAGCCTCTTCGTCTCCCCATAAGCTCAAGTAGACGAGTACTCAACGGCACCTCTCTCATCATCGAAAGCCATGCATTTCCTCCTCCTCGGCGCCACTGGACGGACCGGCAAGCACGTCGTATCTGAATTACTCTCTCAGAGTCATACAGCGGTAGCCCTCGTGCGTACCTCTGGCAGCCTCACACCCTGTCCTGGCCTCACCGTCGTCACTGGATCGCCACTATCGAAAGACGACATACGCAGCGCTCTCTCCGCGGCGCCTGGTCTATCACCTTCTGCAGCGATCATCACATTGAACACACTCCGCAAGTCCGACAGCCCTTTCGCGGCTCAGCTCTCACCTCCTCGCTTCCTAGCCGACTCGTGTGCCAATATTTGCGAGGTTCTGGAGCAGGCCGGCATTCATCGCATTGTAGTGATGTCGACAGCAGGTGTCGGGGATTCATGGGTTAAACTACCGTGGTTGAGCAAGGCATTCATGGGGTGGACCAACATCAAGTACGCGCTCGAGGATCACAGCCTCGTCGATAAAGAGATTCGACTGACGAAGATGGATTGGACTCTTGTGAGGGCTGTGAGGCTGGAATTCGACGATCCGAAGAAGCCGAACGACACGAAGACGGACATGAAAACGCTGGGAAGTTCGGGCGATGGAATGCGCGTATCCGACAGCGTGACTGTTACTAGTGTGGCGAAATTCCTGGTCGAGGTTGCGGTCGAAGGACGCTTCGTTAAAGAAGCAGTGGTTGTGAGGAATTGACCCGGCCGAGGAGGTTGTGGACTTTGTGGTTCTTGGGGAATTGCTGTAATGGAAGAAAGCTCCATTCGTTGACGAGTCAATAAAAGAAACACTAGTAGATAACAGAACTTGAGAGCTTGGAATCCGTTTTGGTGTTTCCCCAGCGCCCGAACAAGAAGTGTGTCGAACAGGCGCCAGGATATCCTGGGGCTTGTAATTCGCAAGGCCAAACATCAAATGAAAACCACATCGACCATTACATGGCTGCTCGTAAGGTATTCACGGACCTTGACTGTTCGTCCGGCGTGGTTCGCCACGCTAGCTTCGTCGAATCGAGGTACTGCTGCGTATACCTCACTAGGGACACATTGCCAGCGCTTTATTCGTCGACCAACTTAGCTACCAGACGGAGAATCTTTGGTGTCATTCTATCGCAGCGGCCGGTCGCGATTTTCATGGACCAGGAAGGGATAGAGATGATGGAGCAGGAGTGGACAGGGACCACTCGCCATCCGCCGCCCGACCATGCTCAGAAGACATTGTTTTATATGATTTCTTCATACACTACGTACCTGTCTCCGGATTGGCATTTGGTTCGAGAATTATTCATTCTAGCCGTGGCAGAGGACGTATGGAACATCATCTCGGCCGCCGAACACGCCGAGCCGGCCTGTACCCACGGACAGGGAAGCGAAACTCTTTGTGGGTTTCACCAGCACGCCGTTCAACTGCATCTTCAACGCTGCCCGGCCCAGAAACCTTCCCCTCGTCCATTCCTAGAGCACTGCCGTCTATCGGTCATTATAAGCCATCTCCGATCCCGGTCCCCGGAACAGTTGCTTCTCGCTGCCATCAGCCGAGTGGCCCTCGCGATCATCGACGACGGCCATGGCCTCATTGATTTATTCAGGGACTGCGGCAGGAGACGAGCGATAATCTACGGGATCTACGAAAACTTCAAGAGAGGAATCCAGGGACCCTCGGGGGAATCTCTCAGACTATCCTCACGATGTGAACGTATTCTCAAACCGCCCGGACAGCAGGACACTAAAAAATGGCACTACGTACCTGGACTGAATTTGAATTATTTGCACGCTTCCCATTGCGGCTGTGTCCTGGTACATGCTAGTGCTGACAGCACATACCCGTCGAACGCCCACCCGGACGTCTGCGCGTACTTCACGGAAGGGAATCCTGAAGACCTGGACATGGAAGACCTAGGATTCATTATCAAAAAAACCTTTGAGGACCATGACGTCTATCATACGACGAGGGACAACGAGGAGCCAAGCCTCTTGGTCCACGGACTGGGTAGAGGCGCAATGATTCGAACCGAGCTCGTCGTCCCGTGTAATATCCCTCATACCTACGGCATATACGTGCCGAGCACCGAATTTGAATCTCCGTTCCACATCTCATAGCTCACCTAGGAGCACCACCGCCAAAGAGGCAGGGATCACCACGCCACCAAGGTGGCTCCGGGAATTACCTTCATACAAGAAATATCATTCCTTGGATGGATCGTCGGAAGGTGGGGAGCGGCCTGAGTCTTCAGCAGCTGGTACCTCGACTGTTCGTCTCGGGGAAATTTCTAATGCGGGAATTCCAGTATTGGCAGTCTGTCGCGGAAGAGCGCCAGAAGAGCGGGATTAGTTCCTGCAAGGCATGTGCCTCTCCGCTTCGAAAGGGAATCTGTTCCCACTGCCGAATGGTGATTACACGCTCTGGCTGTCCGCAGTGGCTCGACGAACCTAGGAGCACAGACACTCTTCGGTTCCCTCATGGGAATGTCCTTGAACGCGCCATTTTAACTTATGCTCTGAGGGAAAGACACGTCGCGGACGAGATAATCAGCGAAGTTCTCGATGAGCTATTTCTGAGTGAGACCTTCGTGGAATCGTTTGAGAGTGTAAATGAGATGCTTTCCCAACTGAAGACGTTCGAGGAGGAATGTGCTAAGGTCCGTGGGAAGATGAGGCTTCTGACGAGCGTGAGGAGTTTGGGAATTCTGATGAATGTGTTGTCATAAAGAAAAGGAAGCGGACTTTTTGCCGGGCCCTGCGAACTTTATGTTCCCCTGTCGACTGGGGGGAAGAAGAGTCACAATCACTTTGACCTCGAAAAAGAATACGGCGGAATAGTTTATAGCGAGTTTATTGGAATCTGATGAGACCAGGGTATGGGGGACGACGAGAGTGTGGAGGGGGAGTGGATTTATACCAATGAGTGAGTTTGTATGTTTTCTTTCTCGCGAAGTTGGAGAGAGATCAGAGCAATCACCGCTTTTGTTTTAGGGGTCCGGCGGCCGCCCCAGCCTTGTAGGATCGGAAGGATTCAAATTAGTGCCTGGATAACCCTGGCACCTACGAATAAGAATGCGAATGGGGGAGCGGGTCAGTCAGCCCTAGGACGAGTTTGGGAAAGCCAAGGAACTTGGGTGCCACACACACTACCGGGCTCTTGTCAATTGAGAAGCCGAGTGCTATGACCACACCGGGTTCTAGCGTACATGTACTGTAGCATAAAGCCTTCATACGAAGTAAACGTCCAACCTTGGCCACCTTGGAAAGGACTTGAGATAAGGGGAATATAACCCCGATAATAGAAAGTAAGTATGCGATCCAAGCTCGAGGGGCTAGTTGAAATGGTTTCACTACTACTTTGTAGTTTGTATAGATCTAGGTGGATTAATGGACATGTTGCAAATTATTCTACCGCAGGTTGGATTTCAGGGGTAGGACGCCGCATCAATTGGGATGTGCATGGGGGTAGATGGGTGGGACTACGGAGTGCATGTTAAAGGGTTTCTACGCGCTCAGCCAGGTCCAGTCATGTCATCAAATCCTTCTTGCATTGCCATGGATGGTCTTCGCTACGGTGTAGTTTACATGTACACAGACCCCCCCAAATTAATTCGCGTCTTCCCCTCCCGTTCAGAGAACAATTTTGACGATTTCCATCCCCTCATACCATCAGTGCTGCTCTTCCGACCGCTCGATTTCGGCAGGACATGCCAGAGATCCCCCAGGCTTTAATATGCATCTCCCTTGGGTCATATCGCTGCTAGGGCTATGCGGGCTCGCGTCAGCCATCGACAGCAACGGCATCTTTTCACATCCCCCCAAGTCTGGGCCCTCCCTCTTCTACCTCGACAACATTGTCCTCACATTAGGAGATACCGAGGAGCTGAAATGGAGTACGGGGATGACTAGTTATACTTTGACGCTTTGGCAGCAGTTCCTCAATGGAGGCGCTCGGGGCGACGCCACCGCGATACTCAGTAAGGAAACGTGGTCCAACTTTCCGAATTTCTGCCTCGTGGGTGGCGCCTTGCGGATATTCATCTTTGTTCTAACCCGCAATGCGTATTCTAGAAAAGGAGGGAGGCGACCCAGAACCCGGCGGCACGACCTGGAAAGTCCAAACGTACGGTTTCGACCTCGACGACTCGCCCATCTTCTTCTTCGGGATAGGGTTCGACGGATCCGGAGGCTCGGGCTTCACCTCCCATTATTTTAACATCACCCGCGAGCGACCTTCCTCGACCAGCTCCAGCAGCACATCGACTTCCTCGACGAGCTCTAGCAGCGGACCGACTTCCTCAGATTCATCACCGGCGATAGCTACAAGCAATACGGATGGCAATTCTGCGTCTAGCGCCTCGGATCCCAGTCTCCGACTAGGTCTTGGGCTTGGACTTGGTCTTGGCATTCCATTAGTGGCTCTTATTTCAGGTCTTATAAGCTATATCGTCTTCAAGAAACGCAGCGCTAGGAACAATGCTGTACCTTCTGATCCGAGGACCGCCAGTTACGTGCCTTCCCAGGCGGAGTGGCACACGCCGGAAGGTTGGGCTCAAACGCCATCGCCGAAGCCGCCGGTGTACCATGAGATGGATACGCCACGTCCAGTCGCCGAACTTCCGACGACTAATCAGAGGGGCTGAGGGAAGAGACTTGGCGGGGGAGGACGGGGGATTTCTTTTCTCTTTTTGTTTAGAGAGGTGTATTGGAACAGTTGGATGACATGAACGTTGCTCCCTACATCTGCATACGGGCGGGCGTTAATGTGGCGGGCGCATGTTTATGTTCGAGATCGCGCTAATAAAGGTTATCTAATCATAGAATATGAGAACTATGGCGCATGGTGCTTACATGGAGCTTTAATAGGAGTGTTCATCTTGGAGAATCGTCAGCGACTTCTCGATCCGCTCTGTCTCTCTCGACTGGAGGACCTGGAGGTCTAATCCACAGTGGATCGTCACATTCAGGTCTCGATGAATTCAATTCCATTATCGTTGTTCTGAGACAATCAGGAGCTTTCCCAGGCATGCGTCGCCCAGTGATCATCGAACACTCTGTCGCCTCCCTGACAGAGCTAGGAGGCCATGCACTATTGGACACAGGGGCCGATGTGGACATGGTCGCGGAGGATCTCGTAGATAGAATGGAAAAACTTGGAATAAACCATCGTTACCCCCTAAAAAGAGGAATCTTTGTTGGCTCAGTGAATGACCCATCTGAGAAGAAGTGGGCGAGGGGTCTGGCCTCCGCCATAACGCAGAGGCATTCTAAAGTGCCAAGTTACACTCCACCAGCCGTGCTCGTCTCAGTGTATGTTCCTAACCCAACCATCGAGATGTCGGTGTTCCGACACGTCGGAGGAAACCTCGAGTGAAACGCTACGAAGTGAGGCTTGTAGTTGTCGCCTGCATCCCTTGATTATCTACATCCGAAACCTGCGCAGGTCTGGCTGACATTTGCCCCAAGACAAGCCGAGACAGAGTCCGCTTACAGTGGTTGCGTGCTGCTTGAGAAGTATTAAAGTGCTATGTTTGCGCTTAGGTAGTTGGTATCGTTAGCTTCCGCAATCGTACCCCCTGCATTCTTGCCATCAAGCCATGACTGAATCCGAGTGCCTACTAGTAGCCCTAGATGCGGGCTTTGCCCATCTTCGCTCCCAGAGATCGAGCCACCTTTTGAACTAAATCGAGAAGATTAGAGTGAATGGGGTGGGAGAATTGGTGTCCTTGCCTCAACTGGTCGTTTGTGGAGATCAGTTTGCGGGGAAGAGCTCCGTCCTCGAGGGCATAACGGGCATGCCCTTTCCTCGTCAAGAGGGTCTTTGCACGAGATTTCCTACTGAAATCGTCCTCCGCCACTCCAACACTCCCCAGACTATTACGGCTACAATCTGGCTGCATGGATCTTGTATGCAGGAAGTTTAGAAGATGCTTAGGGGATTCCAAAAATCTATTTAATATATGATAGAACTTCCTTTGATTATCGGGGAGGTGGCTAAACTTATGGGTATTCGGGGGTACTCAGAATTTGCAGATGATACTACCTTTGCATCGGACGCACTCCACATAGAGATATCGGGACCTATTGGCATGCATCTTAGCGTGGTAGATTTGCCAGGCCTCATCTCTATTCTAAATGAAGAGTAAACTGATGAGGACCTCTAGACTGTGTGCGATATGGTCGAGGACTATATACAGAGCTCTAGGACCGTTATCCTTGCGGTTCTGCAGGCTAGCAATGACATGGCAAACCAAGGCATCATCAAACTGGCGCGGAGGCACGATCCCGAGGGCCAACGAACCGTCAGGATTATTACGAAGCCTGATCTCATCAATGAGGGAACTGAGTCTAGAATTGCGCTTGTTGCGAGGAACTTGGATATAATTAAGCTGAAGCTTGGTTTCTTCCTCCTTAAAAACCCGAGTCCCAAAGAACTGAGGGAGGGGTTGGATATGGACAGTCGATATAAATGCGAACTACGCTTCTTCTCGGCACCTGCTTGGGCAAACCAAAAGCTGGACATGAACCGAGTGGGGGTAGAAAATCTCCGGCGCTTTTTGCAGGCTCTTCTTGACATGCATATTGAAAGGGAACTTCCGAAAGTATGCGATGAGATCAAGGGAAAGTTGGTTGAAATAGAGAGGGAATTGAGCTCAATGGGGCAGGCACGTCCGACTATTGGAGACATACGAGCGTTCCTGACGAGCGTAAGCATGCGCTTCTACGAGTTAGCCAAGGCAGCACTTGAAGGTAACTATTATAGCCTTGACCCAGAATTCTTCTCCGACGACGATATTTCAAGACTCCGGGCGCATGTTCAAAAGAGTATTACCAAGTTTGCTTCCTAGATACGGGATCAAGGGCAGAAGAGAAAAATCTCAGAAGCCGTCGATTCAGATGATTCGGAGTCAATGGATGGAACAACGGACCAGCTGCTTGTAAGCAAATCGGAGATGATGGCATGGGTGGAGCAGGTATGTCAATCCGAACTACTGCTTGCCTCTAAGCGCTAACTCTGGATAGGTGTATGAGCGCACCAGGGGAACAGAATTGCCAGGCAATTATAACCCGGTCCTCCTCGCGGAGCTTTACTGCGAGCAATCCTAGCTGTGGATCACAATGGCCAAAAAACACGTTCAAAACACTGTGGTGATGACCAGGCAATGGGTTAGGTCAGCCGGTAGCAGGCTCATCCGAGAGGAGGGTCTGCGCGGAGAGGTCGAGGTCATTTTTGATCAGTGGTTGTCTGGCGCTGAGTCGCAGGCGCTGGAGGAACTGAATAAGCTCGTTGCAGACGAACAGAGGCACCTATTGACGTACAACCACTACTACACTGATACTGTTCAAAAATCCAGACAAGATGCTCAGAAGCGAGCACTCAGACGAGCACTAAACCTGGTCACGGAGGAAGACTGGAACGGGAAGCTTTATATCAGCAATAACAGACTGAACATTGATCGATTCGTATCTGCTCTCGAGGCGAGAATTACTGTCGATATGGACAAACAAGCGTGCTCGGAGGCCCTGAACGAGCTGAATGCTTATTATAAAGTATGTTACCCAAACAAGTATACGATTTACAGGCTTAACAAAGGCAGGTCGCAATGAAAACCTTTGTCGACAACGTGACGCGACAGGTAATCGAACGTCATATAATGTTTCCCTTGCCGAATGCTTTCTGCCCGCAAGTAGTTTCTCAGTACCCAGATGACATTCTCGTGCGAATTGGATCGGAGCCGGAGCAACAGGTTCTTAGGCGGACGGTGCTAAAGCAATTGGTGGATGGTCTGAAAAGAGGCCTAGACGATTTACAGCGGCTCCCTTCCCAGTTTTGAGGATACCGGGGCGCTTTGCAGGTGCGTTACTCTACGAAGCTCAAGGACAGTTAAGTCTTGGAAATGGGGTTGATGTGGCCGAAGCTCTCTAGTAAGCTTTCTTTGATTCGTGTAAAACTGCAAGTCATCGATCATTTTGTTTTATTTCAAGACGGGTAATGTGCAACATGACGGTAGACGAGCCGTACTGCGATGGCGAAATTTTAGATACGGTGCTAGAGCTGTCCAAGCAGGCAGCCCACACCACCTCCAGCAGTGACCGACGTCATACACTCCCTCTTCCGATCGCTTACTTCGTCTTGCGCTTGATATCGCCCAGACCGACGTCAAGGACAAAGGCCACACGAAGCGCCGCACACATCGCCGTAGAGGGCAAAGAGAACCAGTCTTCCGGCCTCCACATGAGAGGGCTAAGTCGGCCCTGCTCGACGTACGCCAGACACGTGGTGACGCAAATGATGATATCGACCACGGCGATGGCGCCCTGGTAATACTTCCAGACGGCTAGGTCCGAGGTCGAACGCAGCATGAAGGCGCTCAGCATGAAGGTGAGGATAAAAAAACCGCCGAGCTGATTGAAGATTGCGATGTGTGCCGGGTTCATCACGACGTCCGGGCTCTCGGCGGGGATGTAGGAGAGCAGGAGGAGATCCGGCGCGAAGAGGCCACCGTAGCTACCGGCAAGGGACAGCACGGGGTCAATCCAAAGGAACCAGAGCCAGTAGGGGAGCGGGAGGCGGTCCCGAGAGAAGGTCGTGGGAGCCATTCTGCTATGTGGGAGGGTTCGTTTACTTCGTGGTCTCCAAGGGGTGTTTGGCGATAGATGTCTTTTCAGTTTAACGGATTAAAGGGGTGATTGACGGATTGACGTGAGATGAGGGGTGGTGAAGTCGGCAGGCCTCTGGTGAAGGATGTCAGTCATCTTTTAATGAAGCAGGCGTCCAATGCCCAAGGAATCGTTTGCCAAGACATCTTCTTCAGGGAGGATTCTATTGCCAAGAGATAATCCCTTTTTAGTGCTGAGTCAGACCACGACCACTTGGTCTATTGGGAATTTGGGTGAGGTTGGATGCCGATCTCCCCTCCTGTTACATCACATCAATTGATCCATCACCACCCTCGACATGCTCTGAATGAGACATCAACATTTGGAAGAAACATAAAATAATGTTGTCCCAAACACTACTACATCCAATTTAGGTTTATATCGGACTTACAAGTCTAGGCTTCAAATGGATATTCAAGATGAGACGATGCCTATGCAGGGGGCACTTTAGGTAAATCCAAGGACGCCAAGGATTCACATTCAGAAATGCCGTTAAAGCTGGACGGGGCCGAACAGTAGCTGAATTGAAACCTGAAATATAAGGCAGGAACACTTGGAAATGAGGAATGCAGAAAGACGAAGGTAGGGGTGATCCGTTTTGACCCTCTGATTTGATGCACGACCGTTGCCTTTTATTGCGACTAACCCTGATAATAAAGAGCCGATCCTGAAGCATGCCGAGGAAGAAATCCACCCTCATCCTTCTCATCATAAACCAAATTTTCTCACTTTAATTATTCTTTGCCCTTTGCTGAGTAGCCGGGTACTCTCAAGCGTTGAATCCCCCTTTTGAAGCCTTCATTTACGCTTAAACTCATTGCTGTCTGTATATCATGACGACTCCAGCTGCATGTGAGGCCGGCGGTTCGCAAGCTGCCCCTCCGGCACCTGGTGTCGACCCCAATGCTGTCCCAACGGCCGAGACGTTGATCGCCGCGTGGGACCTTACCGTCCGCGACCGGGATGGGAAAGAAGTCCCTTTCAAGGATATCGTGAATGCGTCTCCTCGGGTGCTAGTTATCTTCATCCGGCATTGGTTCTGCCCCGTAAGCAACCCCTCACATCGCATCTCACTTCCTCCATTGTCATTTCGATACCGGCCGCACGGGACACCAATCATAATAAGAAATAGGCGTGTCAAACCTACATCAAAAGACTGGTTGAAACAGCTACTCCAGAGGTGCTGAACAGCCTGCCCGTAAAAACATCCATCGCCATCATCGGCAGCGGCGACCACCAACTCATCGACCACTGGAAGAAGCAGGCGAATTGCCCCTTCCCGACGTACGCGGATAAGGCTCTCAAGCTGTACAAGGCCTTCGGCCTGCCCCGCGCCATGGGTGCGCAGGACGGTTCCGAGTACTACAACATGACCGCCTTCCAGGGCTTCGTCAAGGCCATGTCGCAGGTTATCTGGATGCCGCACAAGGCCCTCAAGGCTGGTGACCCGGCCCAGAATGGCGGCGAGCTTCTCTTTGAGCCCGCTTCCTCGGGCGAGAAGGGGAAGGAGGTGACGTGGTGTCACCGGATGCAGCATGCTGCGGACCACGCTAAGTTTGAGGATGTTTTCGAAAAGTTGGCCATTGAGAATGTCGCGAAGGCTGGGAGCCAGCGTGACGGTCTTTGATACTTTAGTGTGCTCATTGAGAGTTTGAGGAGTTAATATTCGGGTTTATACAGTTCAGCAAGTGGAGTGGTTCCGTTTCGTTTTCGGAAGGGTTGCGGCTTGTTACCATCCAACATTTGACCGGTAGGGTTAGATCCTCAAGGTCTCAAGGCTACGTCGTAGAGCCTGTTTAATAAGTAAGGTAAATCAAGGACTAAGGATAGTGCCACAGGCGATGCCACGGTTAGAGGCTGAGCAGCGCCCGGACCACCGAGGGCCCCAGAACCCGTCTCCGTGTAATGAGCACGGCCGGCAGGAAGGCATGCGGAGAGGGCTCACAGAACATGTACTGCGATTAGCTCCCAAATGACAGGAAGAGGCTAAAACTATCATAAGTTTGATCAAGGCTCCGGGTCAAAAGTAAATGTCACTGGGCCCCCTTGACAGTTTGTTGACAGTCGCATCCTGGCAACAGTACAGTATTTCAGGTCTGTTGAACAACAGTTGGCCGACGGTCTATGGCCCTGCAACAGTTGCATATCAAGAAGCCGTTGAAAGGGAAAAAAAAAAAAAAAAAAAAAAAGCAAAGTTGCAAGGAACATCACATCGCGCGTTTGATTGTTTGGCCACTCATGGTGGTTTAAGGAGAGAAAACGAGCTGAAAAGACAGGGTTCACAAATACAACTAAGAATATTGGACAGCGCGTAATGTCGTTCTCTTTAACAGTTTTCAACCAAGAAGAAAGGAGCTTAATATTCTTGTTCCGAGAAGTAATCAATAGCTACCGTGACTCTCAGCTACCCTAAGATGCCGCAGCGAAAACCGCTTTGTTGAGCGAGAACTGGTTGCCGAAGCGTTTGACCAGCAACTGGCCAACCGTCTCCTTCTTGGGATCGTCAGGGTTCAAGGGGTTCGAGGCGCCGACATCGCCGTGCCAGAAAGTAGCGCACGAGAGACGCTCGTGTTCGTCCCTGTTGATGACGCGGTGCTTGGCGCTGCGGAAGACACCGCCAGACCAGTTCATAACCATGTCGCCGCAGTTGATGACGTAGACATCCTCAATTGACGGGACAGGAAGCCAGGCCTCGCGCTCCTCAACCCAGACCTCGAGACCCTCACGGCCAGGCTGCTGGAGGAGCACGGTGACACCGCCAAAGTCGGTGTGGGCACCAACGCCGAACTGTCCCTCGAGCGTCTTGCTGGCCGGCGGGTAGCGGATCATCTTCATCTGCACGATGGGTCGGCGCGCGAATTGGTCCATCACATCCGTCGAGTAACCCAGGGCTTGGAGGAGGATCTCCCAGATGGTGCGGCCGAGCTTACCAGTCTCCTGGTAGTAGTTCCAGACGGGGCCGTGGAAGTCTTCCTCGGGCATGTCGGGCCAGACGTTGGGGCAGTGGAAGCCTGGGGGCTCCACGACGGGATCTTCTCGCCCGATGTAGAAGGCCTTTTCCGATTAATACTTGTAAGTAGATACAATGACGGGCGGAGAGAAAGGTGCGAGCATCTATGGGCAAACATCATTGTATACGTATATATAAAGCTATGACTTACCTCTTTCGAGTCAGGCAAAGCATCTCCCTCCCGAAGGCTCATGCCGGAGCACTCGTAGCCTCGACGACCGGGGCTCTCCAAGAAGGAGAGCTTCATCTTCTCCTCCTTCGGCTTGCTGAAGAAGTTGTCCAGACTCTGGAGCAGAGCCTTTTGCGCGGCCATCGGCACACCGTGGTTCTTGACCTGGAAGAAGCCATACTGAGCGGAGGCTTCCCGAACCTCGGCAATGACTTTCTCCCTGTCACCAGGCGCTTGTGGGTTAAGATAGGGACCGAAGTCGATAAGGGGGAGTTGAATTTCGTCGGCCATTTTTTCTAGCTTAGTCGATAGTGTTTAGTAGTGTCTCGATCGAAGTTGGGTTAGACTGGAATGGAGTGAAACTTGCAATTTGCGTCAGACGCTGCGGGTATATAATCCTGGCATGATAGGATAGTCCTATGTTAGTTAACCTCTGTTGAAATCCGTAGGGATTTAGTGGTGTTCGAAGAAGAGTAATCCATCGAACGATGAATGAGCTGATCTATTATGATATTCCTTTCGGCGACTTTTGCATGCGCCAAGTCGGCGGTTTTCTGTTTTCTTGCAACCCACCCACACTCGTTCTACGCCATACTGCCCTGCTTACACCAGGCAGAATAACTACGACTCTTAGCTGCGTAGGTTGCCCTTGAACAGTAGTTGAATACACTCTAGGAGACTCAAGTTAGATCGAGGCCGAAGATAGCCCTGAGGTTCTCCCGTCCCATCCGGTATACGTAACACTGCACAGGCTGGAACTCTCCGAGTGTGAGGATGTCACTCAATATCTTCCAAGACGAGTCGTGTATTGTAATCCTCCCCCGAAGGCATTCATGCCGGTTGCTCCAAGGATTTCTGGCGAGGAGTCAGGGAACCGCCGCAGTCTGGTCAGCCATAGCTAGAGCTTAACGCGGTGAAACGAGGAAGCAAACGGAGAATGAGATCTCCTCGCTTTGTATACTTTTCTTCCCGAAATCCTCACGGTTGCCTACGCAGACAGACAGAGTTGAGGCGACCAAACCACCTGAGCGGACTCGCCAAAGATGCCGGGGTTAGGGTTAGGGTGTTCTTTCATACAATCTACACATCCTATCTGTCTGAGCCTAAACTAGCTATCCGCCTGACTACCTGATAAACTGGTAATCCGTATGCTCTAGAGAGATCGGGAATTGGAAGGGTCTCCGAATAATGAATAGGGAATCTGCTCTAGCCAAACGACGTGAATCCTAATACACGTCACTGACGTACTGGTGACTGCTCTTGACCTGCTCCAACCACTCAAGTGCCTCGACCTCGCTCTTCCCCGTCTTCTCCCTCCAAATCCGTCGCCACGTTTCTGCGGAGCTCATTCCCAGCCTGGCCGCACTACCACAAACGTAGATCTTGGCCCCCTCGCCGAACAACTTCCAAACACGCTCCCTGTCCTCCCACAGCGCGTCGGGAACATGACGCCCTCCCTTCTTCCCGCCACTCGGCTTGGAGAAGCACGGAATGAGCTCGACAAGACCATCCTTCTCCCACGTTTCCAGCTCCGCGCGATACAAGTAATCCTTTTCAGGGTGACGGCAGCCGTAGAAGAAGAGAGCGGGTCCCAGACTCGCCTCTCCAGCTTTCGCCTGCTTGGCTGCGGCAGCACGCTCTTGGATAAAGGCCCTCATTGGCGCGATACCGGACCCTGCGGCAAGCATAATGATTGGCGTCTTGGTATTAACCGGCAGCTGGAAGGCTTCCTTGGTCTGGCGCACTAGACAAGGGATCCGGTCTCCGATGCTGCGGCGGGCAAGATAGGAGCTCGCAACGCCGCGGAACGTGCCATGGCCGCTCATGGCGGGGGACTCGAAAACGTCAACCGTTAGCGCGGCGATAGGGCCACTACTGCTGTCAGCTCCTTCGAGCCGGCGGCTCTGCGGGTCGAGAGGCGAGGAAGCGATTGAGTACGTGCGTGGCATCAGTGGGAGCAGGAGGTCGATGTAAACACCAAACGGCAGACTAAGTCCAGGCACTTCCTCCAGAACATCGAGGATCGAGTACCGCTTGTCCAGCAGTCCCTGATAGATAGACTCTTCTTGCATCATGTTGAGGCGCGTCCTCTCTACGCTGTTCTCGCTAGCCCAAGTAGCGAGAGTCGCGAGCTGCCTTTTCGTGATGGGCACGGCGAGCTCGACGTTCTTCCGTAGGAAATCCTCGACCGCCGTCGGCTGGGTGGGAAGAAACGATTTCTTGCTGAGTGGGACACTCATAACGTCATCGGAGCTGAGGCCGAACCTCTTCATCACACGGGAGACAGTGTCGTCGGGATTCTGCCCTTGGACAACTAGGTAGTCTCCAGACCTGTACTCCGACCCACGAGGGAGACGGACCTCGAGGTGCCGCTTCGCCGAGCCCACAGAAGCATCTGCTAGCTGGTGGTTGGCGACGATAGTGCCGAGGATTACCTGCTCCCCATCTAGCGCCTGCTGGGGAGTCTTGAGATGAGCATTCTCGATGACGACGTCCACGCCGACGCGGTCCGTCTGCTTCTGCTTGGCTCCTTCCCCAGCGATGGCGACGCAGAATTGCTCGCTCCAAGCCTCCCAGGACCCGACGAGATCCCGCTTCACGTTAGTGAAGCCGGCCTCCATGATGCGCTCAGCCCCAATCTGCGCAAGCTTTTCGTCGACTAGCTTGGGGATGCGGTGGAAGGTGTGGACCCAATCACTGTTGCCCACACCGAGCACGGCAAACTTGACGCCGTCGGGTAGCCGCTTGCCCTTGGATGCCCAGGCCTCTACCCAAGAGACGAACTTCTTAGCGTTGTCCGCGGGTCGACCCTCGTATGATGGCGTGATGATTAGAATGGGCTTGTCGGTGGGCAGGTGCTCAACAGCGGCGTCCATTTCTCGGATATCCGTGACCTCGAGGTTGAAGCGGCGGGCGTTCACAACGAATGACTCGACGAGAGATTCGCAGGTCCCTTGGTTGCCGCTGAATAGAACGGAAACGGGTTTTAGTGATTCGTGCTGGGTGGCAGTGCCATTGACCTTCGCCTGCGGTTGCTGTTCGGTGACAGCCAAGTTCTGGTGAGACGCACTACCACCCCCTGGGATGCCCAGCGTGAGGGTTCGGCCTTGGCGCCGGCGGACTCTGATCTTAAGGTCGACCGGCTTGACGCCCATCTGACCTGTGAGTTGTAGCTCGTAGTCTGGCTTAACCAACTCGACATTGAACTTTTGCAGCACCATGGCCATGCAGATGAGAATCTCCTGCTCGGCGAAACCGCGGCCGATGCAGGCCCTCAAACCGTCACCAAACTGTAGCCAAGGCGTGTGTGAGCAATTGGCTGAAGACCAGATCATTTACTGTCCGTAATTGTACTTACAGGCTTCCACGCGTTTGGTGGCATCTTGGAAAAATTGACCTCCAACATGCGTTCCGGACGGAATTCGTCGGCGTCGGGGCCCCACACGTCGGGATCCCGGTGAAAGTGGCGCCAAATGCCCGACACCATCTGGCCCTTCTTGATGAAGTACTTTCCGCCGAGGACGGTTTCGCGGGTGGAGAACCTGGTGAGCAGGCTCACTGGGTGCTGGATGCGCAGGGCCTCCTTCATGCAGGCGTCAAGGTATTTCAGCTCACGGATCATGTCGTATGTGAGAACGTCCTCGCCGACGACTTTGTCGACCTCCTCCTGCGCCTTGCGGAGGGTCTCGGGGTTCTTGCACAAGAGGTACCAGATAAAGGAGAGGGTGGAGCTCGTGGTCTCGTACCCACCGCCGAGTAGGGTGGGAATCTGGTACATGACGTTCTCAATGCCCATCATCTCTCCCGACACTTTGTCGACGCCGTGGATCATAATGTTAAGGAGATCCTTGGCGTCCGGCTTAGGGTTGTCGATACGCTCCTGGATGATCTGGCGACAAAGCTCCCGGATCTTGGTGATGTTTTCCTGCCTGTGCTGCTCGTCTTTGTAATAGTAGAGCGAATTCATCAGATCGGGGCGGTTAGCGCGCCGCCCGGACTCGACGATGGCTTCCTTGAGCTGCTTCTGGAACGGGTGTGGGTCCTCCGAGTAGAACTCGTTGAAGCGGTAACCATAGGCGCAGAGGCCAATGGTGTCGAATGTTAGGCGCGACATGTCTTCAATTACCTCGATCTCGTGGGTTGGACCGAATCGATCCCACTTTAAGACGAGCTGAGCCGCGAGATCCTGCCTGTGCTCCCGTAGCGGATATGTCAGTCATCCGATTCTCGTAGCCTCGGACTAAATTTCAGGAAACTGCTCTGTACCTACATATCATCAAACATTCCGCGCAATCCAACAGGCCCTGTTACGTTTCTCCCGTCAGTTCCCGCATTTGCTGCTTATTTGTCCTCTGACTGAACGTATCGTGATACGATCGAGGCTGAGTACAGGAATGCATGCTTTCTACATACCTAACGCGGGCCGGAGCAATCTATGTGCCTTCCCCCAAGCAGGATCTGTCGACTCGACCGAGAATAGACCGTCACCAAAGACAGCTCTCATTTCTTGGTGCAGCCGGTGAGTGAACTTGGTGAAGCGCGTGTCATCGGCCATCTCGTCGACAAGGTCGCGGCTGCCCACAAACACTCTGGGATATGTCATGCCCAGATCGAGCTGGAAGATGGGCCCATACTCGTCCATGAATTTCCAGTAGGACTGTACTGGAAGAACGCGATCCAGATCCGCCAGGTGGCCCATGACGCCGAAGAAGTTCTTGTACGGTGGCTTCGGAATCGGCAGCAGCTTGGAGTGATCAATGACTTCTTCTCTCACATTGGACTGGATGTCCTCCGGAGTGACATGGGTGGGGACGGGGCACCCGTGACCATTGGGTTTGGCCTCGCCATTTGTGACAGCCTTGGACGCATGGGCTGGACATGCTGCAGCATCTGCAGAGGGCATCGTGTTTTGTTCTCTGGGGCAGCTCTTCGATTTCGGTTGCGTTCGCCTTCAGTCTCACCTCCGTCTTTGGGTGTCCTAGTGGATGGACGTTTTTGTTAAGGGGAGTGAGAGAGGTGAAGCGAAAACTTAAACACGCGATCACATTAGGTGGGGAGAAATGGAACTCTGTGTGAAGACATGACAGCGCAGTGCCGGCGGCGAAGGGTGATGGTGATGGTGTTGTATAGGTCTCTGTACGGTATGTAATATGAGGTGTAGGCAAGTATAGGGTGAATTCACCAATTCGTTCTTTGCATAAAGCAAGGTATGACCGGGTTGTATCTACGCAAGATGAAGACAGAAAGTGGCGCCATCATTAACGACACATTCGGGTTTCTGACAGACGGAAAACCCACCCCCACCAGTCAGCGACAAACAATTTGTGTGTGAACCGGCGAGCGGAGAATTTCACCGTGAATGGGTGGTGCGGCTGTGCGGCGCCGATGTTCCATTCGGGGGATTTTGTTTCGCTTCGGTGATCCCCACATCACTGCAACCCTCGACATCGGTGCTTCATTACATAAGATAACCCCGACTCCGCCGACCCTCTCCCTCCGCCGATTCTCCCCGCCCCGTCCCGCTATCGGGGCCACGTAACTTGGCCGGTGCAGACGGACATGGATGGTTGTTCCTGTTTTGTTTTATCTTACTGGTGCGGAATAAGCATGCCTATCTGTACGCCTGCCCATAAGATGAAGTCTAGATGGAGCACGAGACAAGGCTTGGCTGGAACTAGACTGGTGAAGGTGTCGGCGTTATCATGATCGTAACCATCGCGCCTCTTTCAAGCCCCCAATCCCGGGAAACCCTTAGAAACCTACTTCCACTGTGTAATATCTACAACCTCTCTTCCTCCCCTACACCAGGCGGCCCAACATCAACTTGTTCAAGCACCCCTAGATCGAGCGGCCTGTCCAACAGACGTAATGTCGCCACCACTCCCCAAAACCCAAAAGGCCATCGTGGCTCTAGGACCCGGTGAGCTGGGCATCAAGAATGATGTACCAGTCCCCCGTCTTGCCCCCGACATGGCGATCGTCAAGACGGCGGCGGTGGCCATTAACCCAGCCGACGCCAAGATGCTTGATTACAGCGCCGCCCCTGGCGCCATCATCGGCTACGACTACGCCGGCACTGTGGTCGCCCTCGGTGAGGAGGCTCTGAAATCTGGTAGGCTGGCCGTGGGCGATCGCGTCGCGGGGCTGGTGCACGGCATGAACAAGCTCATCCCGGATGTAGGCGCCTTCTCAGAATACGTCGGCGCTTGCGCGGACCTGCTGCTCAAGATTCCCGACCACATGAGCTTTGAAGAAGGTGCAAGTTTTGGCACCGGAGTTGCGACTGCGTCTCTCAGTCTATTCCACGAGCTTGGTGTGCCTGCGACTCTGGATCAGCTACGTGACGGTCGTCCCGCCAGCGAGGAGGATAGGGAGAGCCGCGAGTTCGTTCTCGTCTCCGGTGGAGCGACGGCCACTGGCACTCGTGCAATCCAATTACTCAAGCTGTATGATACTCTTTTTTCGTTTCTTGCTCTTCACCCAGAGACAAATGCGAACAGTTGACTGACGATGACGTCTAGTGCCGGCCTACGCCCCATCGCCACCTGCTCACCCGCCAACTTCGACCTCGTCTACCGCTTCGGCGCCGAAAAGGTCTTCGACTACCACAACCCGACATGCGCTGCCGACATCAAGGAATACACAAACGGCGAGCTAGCCTTCACTTTCGATTGCGTATCCCAAGCCGACACGACAAAGCTCTGCTACGCCGCCATGGGCCGCGCCGGCGGCCGCTACGTTTCCCTCGAGCCCTTCCGTGACACCATCGCTCAGACACGCTCCCTGACTATTGAACCCTCCTGGGTCATGGTCCTGACCATCTTTGGTAGAAAGGTGGCGTTGGAGGGCGAGTATGGCCGTGAGGAGCGCCCCGAGGATCGCGTCTTCGGAGCTCGGGCCTTCGCCGCAGTTCAGGACTTGCTGGACCGTGGTCTCATTGACACGCACCCCGTCAAGATCTCTCCTGGTGGCTGGGACGGTGTCGTGGGCGGTGTTAATGTGATTCGGAGTCAGGCTATGTCCGGCCAGAAGTTGGTCTTCCCGGTTGCTTAGAGTTCTATTTTTTCCTTTTTTAAATTTGACCGTTTATTTTTACCGAGAGGGTTTTGATGAGGTATAAACGTCCTCGGTTGCTACTCGATCTGCAATTTACTATCAACGGCGCTGGCGGAGGAGTTCGTTATTGAACGCTCAATTTAAACTATTTGTCGTACCCCAGAATACAACATTGCCGTTCTCGAGGCAAATAAAGTGAGACGAACATGAGAGGGTAGGACTGCATTGCGAAGTGATCCGGTCAAATTGACTAAGGTAGCTGGCGCCTCTATTACCTACCAATTCTACCATGTATCTAGTTTGTCTTCCAAGGCTCTTCAGCAGTCGATTTAAGTACAACGACGCCCCTACACTTGAATATGCACTCCTTGCTTGATTTACAGCAGCCACTGCACAACCCTAACCCTAGCTGCAGGTCTTGGATTCTGAAAAGCAGTGTAAGAATATTTCTTGCTACTTTAGTTGGTATGGGTGATCACGTAACTATGTTAACTGCGAGTTACAATCTTTCACGGAATATCATTTCCGAAATCACCTGGGACAAAGCATCTTGCGCCGAGGACGGGTGAACCCATACGCTGATGCGGGCCGGCTTCATAGCAATGACATGCTGGAAGATTTAGCCCACTTCACCAAAAATGAGCGACACCCCATCCTGTAGTGGAAGTCCGTAATTGGAGCTACATCCGTTGTCTCTTCATCCCAACAATCAGCTCACTGTCTCGCCAGCTCTGTAGGGCACGGCCTGGGTGGTCTGAGCCAAGATGCTGCTGTGTAACAAGGCCTGGCCTAAGGTGTCGAAATCTCGGGCCCCCGCCCAACGACCCAATTGTCCCAACGGATGCAAACTGAAACCCCTCAATCGCGGCCGTCAAGCCAGCCTCCATGCCCTTTTTTACTACTTTTCTGTCCTTAACCGCCTTTACCCGAATCCTGTGTGTCCTCTTTGATAGGTACTGACTGAAAATGCCTAACGACGTAGACGCGGCACGTCCTGCTCGTCCGCAAAAGGTGAAATGCGATTGTGGCCGACACTTCAAATCAAACGAAGCCCTTCAGCAGCATCGGAACGACTCGTCGAACCACCCCGAGCCACAAAACGGCTCGCCGGACCGCCCGGGACCAAGTCGACAACCCCTTGGTATACGGTGTCCCTGCGGAAAACGTGTCCGGAACGAGCATGACTTGAACCAGCATCGGCTCACTTCGCAGACGCAAAAACACTTTGAACAGTTCTGCGCTTCATTTGGTCAAGGCGAGGAACTTGGGTTGGCACTATCACCTGGCTACGTATGCCCTTTCTTCCAGGCGTATAAAATGAGAGATTGTGCTGATATACCATAGTAGGATAGAATCTTTCTCCCAAACCCGGACGTTCCGTTATATCGGCAGCCACCCATCCGCTTCGAGCCGGCAGCTGCCGTCGGAGAGGGGCAAGCTGGCAAGACCAAACCAAAAAGAACCGCCAGAAGAGCCGTGGAGGCAACTACGGAGGGTCACATGGAGGCAGCTACGGAGGATCACATCGTGGGGTGTGGTCGGCGTCCAATACATGGTACCCGGACGTCGGTGACAACCATGGTCTCTGCGACAAGGACTGCGGCTGGTGTGGGCATTGCGCAGACGAGCTCGGCTACTAAGCTCTACGCTGCGATGTCGAAGCAACATGTCCGTCTAAAAGCTAGGGTCGGGGGCGGGTGAGAGAAGGGCGGCGTGGACATGCCTAGGATGAAAATGATTACTGGAAGCACGAGGTTGAATTGAGTTATTCCGCCACCTGCGCGAGATTTGACTCGCCTAAGCTGAGTAGTATAGGGAGTGAGTGGTTACGCCTAGCCCTCAGATCCCGGGACAACAGCCATACCTTCTGCATTTCCCGAATAATTCATCAACATCATCCAGTGCCCTGCCCCTCTAAACTGGCAGACGTCGGATGATTGATCAACCGGCAACAATTATTAGGGCGCAAGGAGGGGCATTCTATATGGAATGGGATGGCGGCTGGGACTTCTAAGACGCCAGGCACACAAGATAACAGAGAAGTATTATCTTTGTGGCAGAAGCAAGGACATCTGCCCAAGGTGGAAATTCGAACCATTCGGTAGTTAGATTGTGGGGTTGGTCAACATTGTATGCTGGTCTCCCATGGCAAAATAGGTGACGAGATTAGTCTTCCTGCGCAATAGCATTGCGGATCTTTTCCTGACCCCGGCCTCGCTACCAATGCTGTCCAGTTGGTCGGCATTGTATGGACGTTGGTCTCGGGAGATGCGGCCGATCTGTGAACCGAACAATGGGCTGAATAGCATAGAGTATTTTCAGATGCTTCCACACTCGGGAACACTTTCTGCTGATCCACCTTCAGGAGATCTTGGGAGTAATGCTGAGTCTCGGGCGGCTGCCTCCGCGGCCACCGACGTGAGACACTTAAAATTTTCTGAGCCGGAGGCTCGTCCGCTATCCTTCAACTCAACGTTTCTCGCTCCGCATGCAGCTTCACTAGCTTTCGCTTCGAAGCCAAGGATGAATCTGCAGCTTACTCTCATGATCCAGTGCCGAAACCCGCTTGGCAGTGGGGCAGGCTGACGCGTCGAAACCAGTCTCTGCCGATCAGCAATATTTAAATATTCACCTCCTAGGGCTGAAGTAATTTAAAGCTGTCTCTGAATGAACCACTTCTGTCTCCTCTTCCTGCGGTTGGAGCCGCCGACTCATTTATTGCCATGGGGGGCTTTCAGTTTGTGCGGCGCGCTCCTACAGGAGGACCGGAACCGACTCGGTTGGGCACGTACAATGACAAGTATGTCATCGTCTACGATTTTGAAGGCGTCGGTATGTAGAATTTGAATGGGGGCCCGCCAAGTATGCTCCTATCTGACTCTGCAAAGACACGGATACTGCTAAGAAGGAGATTACCACCCTCATTCGTGACCTCGAGAGTGTCGGCCTCTATACGGAAGTACGACCCGGCTATGACGAAACGTTGCTCGTTTTCGCCAAAGCCCCCCGGGAGCTCCTACAAACCATGGTCTACAATTCCCGGTTCGTTCATCTTCGCACAACGCCTTTGCCCGTTCCTCAAACTTACAACTTACTATTGACAGGATAAAGGACTGGCTTTACGGCATCGTTCAGACACATCCGGGTGAGAGCAAAGAGGCCATGGGCCGCGACGGCTTCGAAGCAGAGGACATACTCTCCATGTACCACCTCGTCAACTGGCCCAAGCCGCTCGGAGGTGCCGGGATCACTCCCGGTTGGGGCCAGTGGGAGAGAGTCAGAGCCATTTTCCCACTGCATAACGAGGCGACGAATTCGAGCCTCATGAAGCATCTGAGCAGGCGTCTGGTGCTCACGAACGAAGACCTGGACCAGATTCGCAACCTGTTCGGCACAAAGGTCGCCTTCTACTTTGCCTTCATCGAGGCGTACGTAGTCTTCTTAACCTTCCCTGCAGTGACTGGTTTGATTGCGTGGAGCTGGCTGCCCGGTTATTCCGTCATTTATGGTATCGTGACGTGTGTGTGGTGCACCGTATTCCTGGAGTACTGGAAGCTTCAGGAGATTGATCTTAGCATTCGGTGGAAAGTGAGGGGTGTGGGCTCTGTGAAGATCACTCGGCCGCAGTTTAGGTGGGAAAAGATTCTCGTGGACGAGGCGGGTCGGGCGAGGCACTATTGCCCCAAATGGAAGCAGGTTGCTCGTCAGCTGTTGCAGATCCCTTTCATTCTCTTCGCCGTTACGATTCTCAGCGTCTTGATGCTTGCCGTGTTTGCCATCGAGACGCTTGTGTCGGAGAGTTACGGCGGGCCATTTAAAAACGTCATGGTGCGCTTCCAGTCCCCGCGCCTTCGGGGTCATGATTGTAAGCGAAGGCTAATCTGCACATAGGAATACGTTCCGACCATCATATTCGCCGTCATCCTACCCTATGTAAACGGATGCCTCGAAAACGTCGCCACTGCACTGGCCGATTTCGAGAACCATCGAACCGCCGACAACTACGACATGTCGCGCACACAAAAGACGTTCGTCTTCCAAATCATCACCAACTACCTCCCAATCCTCATCACCTCCTTCATCTACGTCCCCTTCGGGAAGGACATCGTGCCGAAGCTGGAGAGGTTGACTTTGGCAATGTTCGGCACATTCGGACAAAAGTATCTCCTCACCGTGAACCGGTCTTTCACCGTGGACCCGGACAGGTTGCGGACGGAAGTCATCGCCTTGACGGTCACCGGCCAAATTTCCGCCTTCTTCGAAGAGAACGTATTCCCCGTAGTAAAGCGCAAGGCCCAACGGTGGTATCAAGAGTACCGCAACAAGCCCGTCAGCCGTGATGCCTCTTCCGCTTATCTCCTGAACGACGACCCGGAAGAGGCCGAGTTCCTCAACAGCGCGCGCAACCAAGCCACACTCGAGATTTACAACGTACAGGACGACATTGCCGAAATCGCTCTTCAGTTCGGGTACCTCGCGCTCTTCTCGCCCGTATGGCCGCTCCTGCCGATAGGTTTCCTCATAAACAACGTCCTCGAGCTACGCACGGATTTCTTCAAGATCATCAACGAGCAGCAGCGGCCTGCGCCTGTGCGGACAGACGGCATCGGGCCGTGGATCAACTCGCTCGAGTTCCTGACGTGGATGGGGAGTATTTCGACGGGGGCCATCGTGCACTTGTACGGGGGTTCTGGCGTGGTGGCGGGGGGTGCGTGGTGGGCGATGCCCATTACCATCTTCGTGAGCGAGCACGTCTTCATGGGCTTGCGCTCGGCGGTGAGATATACCCTGCACCGCATCGGATCTGAGCAGATCCGGAAGGAGAGGAAGCAACAGTATATTTCTCGAGTGAAGTACTTGGATGAGATCAAAGAGAGGAGCAAGGCTACGCTGAGTGCTACGCCGGCGGAGAAGCAGCGGAGGAAGTCTGTGAGGGCGATGGATCGGGATACGTTCTTTACCAAGCAGGTTGAGGAGGGTGTTAGCGCTAGTGTTGGGGTTGAACTAATACAGGCGATCAAGGGGAAGAGGGACCATGACTCGAAGGACCGACCACTAAAGACAGATTAGACCTCGAAGGGAACACGGGGAGTCAGATTGATATCACTATGACTGTATCAGAGAGTGTGAAAGAGGAACTGGAGTCGAAAGTGTACTACCAAATATATAGAGAGTCTTTATTGCTAACTATTTGGATCTCTTGAGGACCCTCTCACGCTACCAAAAAATAAACAGTCTACAGCAGTCCATTCCCACTATAGCACCAACCTAGTTCGGCACAGGCAGTACGATGGGTACACGAGGTAAAGGTCGAACCGCCTGGTTGGCGGTAGTGATCTTAGCATCCTTATTCTTCAAGCGCCTGCTCGAGTTCTCATCCCTCGAGTTGCGCACCGCCTCAGCGCCGCGCTCAAGCATCTCGGCATTGTACTCGGTGACGGCAGCCTTGATCGCGTCGAGGTCCTTACCATCGACGCCGGCTAGGAGCCGAGACAGATTCATCGAGTCAATGAAGGTGTGGTACCCGCCCTCTCCACGGAAGGGGGTCATAGCATGCGCGGAATCACCCAAAAGGATCACACGACCGGCTGGCAAGCTCTCAAGCTCGAGGTCACGCCAGATGTGCATCTCGGGCTTGATGCCGCTAGCAGGGGTCAGCTCGAACAACTCACGGAACTGAGGCGGCATGTCAGCCGTGGCTTTGAGGACATAGTCCAGCTTCTCCTGCTGGGAGGCATTGCGGAGCCAATGGTCTGCTTGCTCGATCGTGGGGTCGGGCTGCATGAACATCCAGTAGTGGCGGCCGGAGCGACCGCCGGGGAGGACCTCGTGCAGGCCATTGAAGTGGGCGAAGCCCTGGGCGGGGTTGATGTAGACGTAGGCACTGTGACCCAAGGCGAGCTGACGCTGAAATGCCTCTTCTGCCAGGGTCACCTCACCGACAATGGCAGCAAGAGGGACAATCTTGAGGAGCTCGTTTGCAGGGCGCTGGAGTAGCTGCTCTCGGACTTGGGTATTGAGAGTTAGATTTTGAGCGAGTACGCGCAAAAGAGACGAGCAAGAAGATAATAAGTAGATGAAAGGTCTACAATGAATGGAAGGCCGGCGTCTTTGTTTACTTACCAACGCTGTTGATGCCATCCGCGCCAACGAGAATGTCTCCCTTGGCGCTTGTGCCATCCTCAAAAAAGACAGTGACGCCTTCGTCATCGTGTTCGATTCGCTGCACACGCTTATTCCATTCGATGGGAATATTGGTGGATAGCCAATCTCGGAGGCGGTGACGCTCAGAACGGATGATTGGCGCCTCAGGGGTGTCCTATTCCTGGAGTTCAGCAACAGGCCTCAGTTGGTTCGATAAGTGCTCCTCTGTTTTTTCTTCCTCCAGCCGGCATTTTCTTTTCTCGATATAGAAAACGTTATGTACTGACCTCAACGCCCAAACGGATATCGCGACCAGGGAAGTACAATGCCATCTGAGCAGGGAGGTTCAGAGGCTGGAGATGGTCCGTCGCATCCTTCAGTTTAGGCAGGTCGTCTGGAAACGAAGCCTGGAGCTTATCGACGATGCTATAGGCATGGCGTCAACATAATTAGACTTGAGCGGTGAAATCAATGGACGGATTATAGAGATTAGTGTTCATACGTGTGGATACCGATGGCCCATCCTTGGAAGCGCGAGTCAGGGGAGGCGTCACGCTCGAAGACTTGAAAAGATATGCCCTGCTTGCGAAGGCATTGGGCTAGGCTGAGACCGCCCACGCCTCCTCCGACAATGAGTACATGCATATTGTATAGGTATGCGAATGGAGAAGGGCTGCACAATAATAAAGCAAGGTATATTTGCGTGAACTAGGATTGTGCGCGAGAAAGTAGACACTAATATTCCGCAGTCCCGAAACACTGAGTAGAGCTGACCCAGCGATACTACTTTATACCAGGCTTGCCGCTTTTCCGACTGTGTCCATTCCGCATTCCCAATAGCCTACATCTTGTTCGCATCAGACCCTATTTTACGTGTACGTTCTCATTTAATGCGCCGAAAGAGGCTGGGTTGCCTTCGTCTCCACTTCGGAGGTGGTAGCACGGCGTTGCAGTCGCTTTCCCGTGTCATCCTTCGGCGCCTTTACCCACGAAAGCGACATATAACTTCTGCTTACATGCATATGCAGGATTAGGATCGCGCTCAGCCGTTCCTGGGTTCGGCGGGGTCTCGCGAGAGAAGACATGACAGGACCGAAAGCCTAGACTCTGGTCCCTGGATCATTCGACATTTTCGGTGATACCGAGGTCCTGCTGCATTCTAGCCTGCTTAACGCCTATCCCCCACGTGCGGCTGTGGTGCCGCTGTGCCGTCCTCTCTACTCTAGTCATCCCTTCAATATTCCCCCCCACAGAAGGGGGTCTGTCCAATGCAGGAAGAAACCTTTCAATTGGGATGTCGTCCGCCTTTTATAACTCACTCTAGAAGTTTGAATTACCACTACACAAGCCAAGCCTCCGACAGCTGCCCTCGGTCAAACAATCAACTTCTCCATAGCACTCCCACCATTTCACCTTACCATCAGACCCACTATCGGACGCAAAGCAAAGAAAGGCAGAAGCCATGCGTCGATCCTACCTAAATTGCTCTCAGATGCTGCGTCTCCTCCTTTCGCTCCTGGTGGCGGCGAGCGCTGGTGTAGTAGGTCATTCGCGGAATCCCTCCATCTGCGAGCTTGTCGATGCCCAATTGCCTGGTCGCGTTTCCTATCCCGGCACCGCCGGCTACAACAATTCACAGAAGGCCTACTTTGCCGGCCAAGAGAGAGATCTGAGCCCCGGATGCGTCTTCAGGCCCACCAACACGGATGACGTCTCACGGTTCGTCAAGCTGGTGGGCTCCGAACGGCAGTCCGGCAGGTCTCCTCGCGGTAGTCGCCCTTCATCCCCCAAGTTCGCTGTCCGGGCTGGAGGGCACAGTCTCTGGGCCGGAGCGGCAAACATGAATGGCGGCATAACCGTCGATCTACGTTCCCTCAACTCGGTGGTCGTCAGCGATGACGGGGCCGTGGCGAGAATTGGCGGCGGCGCCGTTTACAGCAGCGATGTCTTCCCAGAAGTTGTCAAGCATAACGTCACTGTCATGGGAGGCCGGATCCCAGGAATTGGGGTTGGAGGCTTCACCACAGCAGGTGAGTTGGGAGATTGCCTCAAATACATACCCACTCTTCTGCTTTCCCATGTTGCTTACGATATTTGTCTCACATAGGTGGTATGACGTTCCTATCCCGGAGAAACGGCTGGACCTGCGATAACGTCTACGGCTACGAAGTGGTTCTTGCCAGCGGCGAAGTTGTCTATGCCACAGCCAGCTCCTCTCCAGATCTCTGGCTCGCGCTCAAGGGCGGCTCGAGCAACTTTGGCATCGTAACGCGCTTCGATGTGGCTGCATTCCCCCAGGACCTGATGTGGGGAGGCGTCATCCTCTTCAACTACTCACAGAGTGTTCTGGAAGGTCACGCCGAGGCATTCAGCAACTTCATGCGGCCCGAGAACTTCGATGATCTGGCCATGATGTCCATCATTTTCGGCTTCACCAATGCTGGTGGGTCGCCGACGTTTTCTGTCTCGGACGCCATCTTTTACAGCGACGGCGTCGAATTTCCCCCAGTTTACCAGAACTTCACTTCGATGCCGGGCATTCTGCCTGTCAACACCCTGGCACTCAACAACGTGGCAGATCTGGTGAACGGGTTCGGCGCGGTGCTTCCGCAGAGTGTTGATCGGTAAGAAAAAATTGACATCCATGTTTCTTTTGCATTTCTTGCATCTTACATCCTCAATCCTTCAATTCTGGCGGTCTGCTTTTCAGGCTAACATGATGATCACGCGACCACAGCATCTACGAGCTCGTCTACTCCTTTAAAACTTCCGACGCGGCCCTCTACAAACAGCTGTTCCGGGCTTGGGAGAAGTGGACAGACACAATTGCCGATATCCAGGGTGTCAGCGTGCAGTATCTGATCCAGCCGCTCCCCGTGACCAACGGCACCAATTCCCTGGGGCTGACGCCTAATGCAAAAGACGGTGTGACAGTCTGCATAACGGCGACCTACCCGAACGCGGCCGATGATAAGGTGGTGGAGAAGCGCGTCAAGGCGTTCCTGGAAGGGCAGGTCAAGATCCTCCGCAAGAAAGATTTGTTCATACCGTTCCAGTATCTCGGGTACGCCGACAAGTCGCAGGATCCGATTGGCAGTTACGGGAGGGCGATCAAAAGGCAGCTGCAGGCCGTGAGTAGGAAGTATGACCCCAACGGTTTATTCCAGGATGGTATCTCTGGCTCGTTCAAGGTCTTTGCGTAAACGTCCCCTTCAGGTGGCGATATCTGTCTCCTCATTTTAACTCTTCTCTTTTTGCCTCTTTTTCTCAATCAAACAAAACGGGCTACGATATTTTTTTTCTTCTTCTTTTCTTCCATAGATTTAGATCTTACTCGTAATTTTTAAGTGCTCTCCTGCTGCCGAGCCGTCAATATTACTATAGCTATAGCAAAACGTCAGCTCTCTATTATCATATTATCAGCTGCTCCGTGGTCTCACCCCAGTCTCCAAACACGCATTTCCCTTAATTTCGTCCCGCCACTACCCAGTCGAGCCCCCAACAACTAAACTCGCAAGATCTTCCCTCCTTCTCCTTCATCTTGCATGTGGCCCCCCACCTATGTAGACATGTTGACCGGGTGTGTGGCTTAGGGGGGTTTGAGGCACTTCGTAGGGTGCACTTGTAGGGTAGGAATGCAGGACAAACAGCCTTCAGCACAGACTGGTCAAGGGTCCGCCTGGCAGGGGTGGTGCGGGACGGGCGTTTGGCAGCGAAGTGGGTGAGCCACTAGGAACTTTCGTCCACACACATGGGGTGTGTGGGAGGTCACCAGTGCAGCTTCGGTTGTCTGCCAAGGTTACACCACCGGAGCCTGGAGCCTGGCCAGTGATAACGCTACTCGTACGCGTAGGCTCAAATACGAAAGGAAATAAGGTACATCTCGTCATCTTCGAGGGTTAAATACGCCAAGACGGGAGGCATGACCACCACGTTCCTCTATTGGTGTAGAAGCATCGGCTTTCGGTGGATTGCTGTAACGCCCAACGCCACCAGATGCGCCACCGGATAGACTAATGCTCCCCGGGCGCCGCCAAAAAAACGCCGAATCAATACTTTATCGAGGGCTCTGCTACTCCCGCTCTCTCATTTGACGATTCGCGATCCATTGCTCGAATCTCACTCCTCCCCGCCGGCTTCCGTTTCTTTTCCCATCTTGCCTACCGATCGATCTGTCCTTCCACCTATCTGCCGACGAGCCCAAGCAACGCGCTATTTACCCCTTCTTCTTTGACAAAAACACCTCGCGAGCCTGCTTTTCTTCTTTCTCAGTCGGCTCCAATCCCCTCTCCAACCCCCCTTTTTTGCTTCCCGGTTAGATCCGAACTCGCGCAATCCGAGCAAGTGAGGTGCAGAGCTCCAAGAAACCGTACGGACACGAAGCTCACAACGCCAAGCAGCACCAAACCGACCACTTCTCAGAATCCCCCCCAAGTTTTTTACACCACTGCAGAAAAATGGCAGCGTTGGCCAGTCGCATTTGGTCGGCCTTCAACCCACCCCAGGTGGAAAAGAAGAGCACGGCACTCAAGTTTGGAATTCTAGGAGCGGCGGGCGTTGCGTGAGTGTCCCCCTGCCTCTCTTTGTTTTTTTTCGCCCTTCTCGGCCCCGAAGGAAAACAGAGGGCACTAATCAAGCAAGCAGACCATTGACCCTCATCATCCCTGCCAAGTCGCATCCCGAAGTAATTGTGCAAGCTGTCGCTGCACGAGACCGAACTAAGGCTGAGGCCTTTGCCAAGTCCCACGGAATTCCCGAAGTCAAGGACTCCTACCAGGGTGAGTCGCCAAGTCTCCTTTCAAGTTCCATCGCCTGGGCCTGCATGGGATGGGTGCATTATACCCACCGCAATCTCCTTCCACCTCGTTTCTACATGCAGCTTCCGCCCGCCCGAATACTGAAAGACCCAAAGGGGAAAAGGAACGAGAAGCAATTGCTAACAATGGTGCTCCCCATCCCACAGACATTCTTGACGACCCCAACATTGACTGCGTCCTCGTCCCCCTGCCGAATAGCCTCCACTTCGAGTGGGCGGCCCGCGCCATCCGCGCCGGCAAGCATGTTCTCCTCGAGAAACCCTCCGTCGCCAACTCGACCGAGGCCGAGTTGCTCTTCAACCTGCCAGAGCTGTCCAAGCCCGATGGGCCCGTGCTTCTCGAGGCTTTCCACAACCGCTTCTACCCTAGCTGGCAATACTTCCTCTCGTTCGTCAGTCCGAAGGACGTGGTCCATGCCAAGACGCACTCGTCGCTGCCCTGGTGGACAACTGGGATAAATGACATCCACTACAACTACCCCCTTGCTGGCGGCACCATGATGTCCATGGGCACGTACAACTACGCGGCGCTCCGATTGGTTTTCGGCGCAAGTCCCGAGGAGTGCGTGAGCTGCGATGCGGAGGCCTACACCGAGGGCGTCCACGACAAGGCCGACTATGCCTTCCAGGCCAAATTCCGCTTTCCCGGCGGAGGCATCGGCGAGGCGTCGAGCTCTCTCAGGACCGAGGCTCTACCGCGGACCTCGTACATCACCGTCAAGCACAGGGAGGTCGTCGTCCCGGATGATGACGCGAAGCTCAAAGCTGCCAGCCAGAAGAAGCTCCGCACGCGCGAGGTCACGCTGCACGGTCTCATCCATGGTGTCTTCTGGCACCGCATCGATGTCACGGACCAGTATGAGATCCGTGACAGCGCCGGCAAGACTGTCAAGAAGTGGACCGAGAAGAACTCGCACAAGGCCTACACCTTCGCCGAGGCTGGCCCCGAGTTCGCCGACAAGGTGCCCGGTGAGACATTCTGGATGTCGTACAGGCACCAGCTCGAGCAGTTCGTCAACAAGATCAAGGGTCGCCCGACGGAGTATTGGATCACTGGCGAAGATTCTATTGAGCAGATGAAGATGATCGATATGGCTTATGTGAAGAGCGGGCTTGGCCCGAGGCCTACGAGCACATATCGGTGAAGCGAGGGAGTAGAAGCGCGAGCGGGGAGTAATTTGCAGGTTTCTGGTTTCTAGTCTCTAATCTCTGATTTTCTTGTGTATTTCCTTCCTATCATTTAGAAATAGTAAAGCTAGCGGGAGTTTCATATAACTGCCTCAACAGATTCTATTCTTCACTCTATTTTGTTCTATGGAGATGACCCCAACAATCCTGTTTACGGTAAACACACACACACACTCAATCAGTCATCTAATCTTGTCTGATATCTGAGACCCCGCGAGTTCATGACAGGAAGCGGAGCCCGCGACTGCAACGCGGTGGATCAGCTTCCTGTCTGGGACACACACCACAACCGTTCCGGGAACCGAGATCCACGGACTTGCATACTTCGTACATGTAGGGGGCCAAATTGAATTAATTCATTGTTTTTTATTTCATGTTCCCACCATTGTAACCCCTCGCTGCAGAACGCGAGATACGGTCGTTTGAAGGGTCGCAGTAATATTATACGAGTACGTGAATCCTGAAGCGGCTCGTTTCCAGAAATAGAAGGTCATCAATGGAAAAGCTGCAAGTGCGGGAGGGTGGTAGGCCTGGGCAAAGCACCTACTTGTCAATTGGGCCTAGACAATGCTCCTGTTATGGTTCCGTGACAGCACGGCCTGTATGTACGCCTTGGGCTTACTACAGATACCATCAATTTGACGATAAGAGCCACGGCTGCACTGTTGCATCCAGGCGAGCACACAAAGATAACGTGCCTGTCTCTCAGGACTGGGGTCGTCGGACGCAGTGTGGCAGGGGCTCAAGCGTGTTTGCATGCCGCGCAGCTACAGGGATGGGCAGGCTTCGGAGACTGAAGGTCACTACGGGCTAGTGTTTCGTCCCTCGATTCCCTAATCCCTATTCAGCTAGGCTATGCGACATAAACTACGAAGCTAGCACTAGCCAGTTTACGATCCCGCCACGCCACTTGGCGGTAATAAGCCAATTGGAGCGTATGAACTGCTAGCGTGTAGACACTTTTCGTCTTGGCTGGTCTGTTCCATCCCACGGATCAACGGCGCATCGGCCCCCAACAAACACAACACCAACGCCAACGCCGACCCCTGGCCTGGTGGCCTTGATTCTGGAACATGGGTGAATGTCGGGATGTCGGCTTCTAGTTTATTACCGCACTAGGTACCCGCGCCTGGGATTGAAGATATTCTATGCGAGCGAGATCCTGATGGGCGTGATGCATGGAATGGTGGTGGATGGGTGGGTATGTTCGGTGAAGAGAAAGGAGACGAAACTCTCTTGGCAGGGCGGGGTGGGTAGCATCAGGGTCAGACTCCTTTCATTCATCTTAAATGCAAGTATGACCTCAGCAGCGGTGGTGGGAAAGTAAGAAGTCAGAAGCTGAGAGAGTTCAATAAGCCCTGATAGTAGTATTTTTGGTTGCGACGGGTCAGTTTGGTAGGCGAAGAAACGGCGATGAGACTCTACTAAGAAAAGTACCTAGAGCTGAATTGATTAATCCTACGTCAGGAGGAGCCCCATCCAAACTCCTAGATTGCAAGCGCCCGCAGTGGTCCCCGAGTGCGTCAGGAGAAGTGGCAGAGTGGCAGAGTGGCAGAGGGACGCATACCTTGCTTCATATGTCTTGCGGCGACGAATTCCGCCTACGACAGGTCAAGCTGCAAGTGTTCCCCATCGATGCTACCTCCCGGTCAAGTGGCAGGCTCGGGGTTCTCCATCATAATCTTCATCGTTCCGCGTTCCTTTCTACCCCTCCCCACACCTACCATCCAATCCCCAAACATTCGACTCATGGAGACACAACCCTCCTCTGGGCTTCACACCATCACTTCTTGAAGAAAAAGTGCTGCACACATAGCCAAAATGTCGCAGAATTTGGCTTCCGAGACAACAACAACAACCACCACCACAATGCGGCAGTCGTGTGACCGGTGTCACGGCCAGAAGCTGCGATGTGCTCGGTCGGAATCGAACACCACCGGGGCATGCAATCGATGTCTCCGGCAAGGAGCCCAGTGTGTTTACAGCTTCAGTTTGCCAAAAGGCCGTCCTAGCAGATACCGGACCACAGAAGCCGCTGCTGCCTCAATTATCTCCATCTCTTCCTCAGCATCCGACAACGACGACAACAGATCCAATAACAATACTAGTGGAAATACCAATGGCAGCAGTAACGGCAACAGCAGCAACAATGGCAATATCAGCAATAACAACGGAGGAAGTAGCAGGCACAGACAAAGTAGCTCACTCGAATCGCGCCAATGGCCTCTTCCCGGCTCAGACAATGCTCTGGCAACTCCGCATGGCGGTGCCTCCGTTGGTAGTGCCGGAGTCGGTGCCGATGGGGGCACCGCTATCAACAACACCAACAACAACGGCACCACCCCGCCCACCGCAGCTCCCACGGCCCCCATGGATCCGTACAGAAACCTCACGACGTCTACCGATCCCACTGCCGAATGGCCCTGGCTAAATCTCGTGAGCTGGGGCGAGATGCCGGGGCACAGAACCGAACGGCACGACACCAACATGTATCCTCTGCTGGATCCACAGCCCCATTCCAGCGCAGCTGCAGCGTCTAGCACTGTCTCCTCCTCCCTACTGAGCTGGGACCTCACCACAGAGCCCTCTAGCAGCGAGAGCGAGAGCGACATTTTCACCGGTTGTCGTAGTAGTGGCAGCATTGGCAGCAGCTTGAGTAGTTTGAGTAGTTTGAGCAGTTTCGGCCCCGAACTTATTAGGACACCTACCCCCGACACCAGAACACCAGCAGCCAGCATTGCTCAGTTATCTCAGCTGAGCACGCGCCTTCACCCCCTGCTGAGCTCGAGTTGTCTCTTGGCCGAGGCGACGGCGCCCCAATCATCACCTGGGGATAAGTCCGGCCTCATGCTCAACGATACGGCCTTTAAGCCCGTCGCCGCATGGCTGGCCCACGTCTCGTCGGATATGCTATTGTCCGATAGTCAAAATCACCCGGCTCCTGTCGAGGCGCCCAGGCTCGGGGACGTGATCCACAACGCTTTCGCCGCCTCTCACCAACTGCTGGAGATCCTGCGCTGCCTGCGCATCGACTTGGCTGCTCAGGGCGGCGGGAAGGGGCTGAACCAGTATTCCAGCATCGTTGTGGGCCATCTCGTCATGGCTTGCCACGGTTTGCTTCTCAGCATCTACGTCATCGTCTTGATCGTCCTTCAGCTCGACGCCGACCTCTTGCTCCGCGCAACGAATGAGACCGATTCCTCCGGCTTCGGCTTCGGCTTCGGCTCCTCGGCGGCCTCCCCTCTAGCCGACATCCGGATGGTATCCGTCGTGCACTTATGCTCATACCTAGTTGAACGCCAAAGCGAGGCCGTCAAACAATACCTGACGCCGTTGAGCAACTCCTCACCTGCGAGATCATCGCACCAACAAGACCCGAGGGAGCCGCTGTCGCCAGGGGGGCTTCTGGGGAGCGCCGCCCCGGGCCTTCCGTTTTCAATGAATTGCGGCCAGAATATGATGAGCGATCTGGAAATGGAGGTCCACCAAAGATTATCACGACTTCGAATGATACTACGTATATGAAATTTGAGTTTTAGAGATTGGGATCGGGTGGCATTACTTATTTCTTGGGTTGCACGGAGTTTCTTATTCTTTTCGGGTCACGCATACGATTTTTCTTCCTTCCTCGGTTCGGCTGATGTCCTTTACATCACATCCTTCTTTCTCCTCATCCTCGTTTAAATTTCCTTTTTTTCTTAACATCTCACATGCGTTACGGAATGCGTGGGGAAACTGGGGTTTGCCAACAAACTGAGCTGCATTTCCCCCGATTTAGGTATAGATTAATGGGTTTGGTGGCACGGCATGCTCAGAAAAGGGCCTTCGAGACTGTCGTTGCCCTCGTCGTATTCCGTTTTGCAGCCAATTTACATGATTTTCTACTTCTTTTGCATTATAACGGACCGATTCATCGGTCTTGGCATGATTTTCGCACGGAATTTTGGGTAGACATTAGAACCAGACCAAGCCATGGACTATAGCAAGACTAGAGACATCAACATCTAGATTCTCAACACCAAGTTACCTCGGAACAGTGACGTGCAGCATATGGTATTAGAGCCACGCCTATCCGTGGCCCCATCAACCTAAGCCCCGATCTTTCGGCGATTAATGAGTCAGCCATCCTTATCGATCTGTCCGGTTCGGGGGTGGTGGGTGGTTGCCGTTCCCCTGCATTTTCGGTGCAGATACGGCGTTCGGCGTGTTCGGCGGAGGTGTGGTTGGATTTCCTGCGAGTTCTTGCTTAGCTAGAGAGGAGCTCCTGATTCGCCAATTCGTTCGACTCGTTTTCAGTCCGGTGGTTGCGGTGATAGGCCAGGTTGTAAACATCGGCGTACGGCGTATCACGATAGGAATGAGCGCCGGATGGTAGGACGGGGGCGGCGATTGAGTTGTGGTTGCAAGTTCTGAGCTCCGATTAGCTGCTGAAAGGGAGTTTTACGGAGTTGCTTGGCGATGAGTTTCGAAAGTAAACAAGTAGAGGCTACTACTGCCTATCTCGAACAGCAAATAGGGGCTTGTTGGGACGAGATTCAGTTCTAGGACATTATTCATATACATACAAGCATACGCGCACACTCTTCTATGTAAACTCTAGAGGAACAGCTCGATCAGAGAAACAACTGAGCAATTCTGCCAATGTCCTTTATGGGTTGAGTGAGCTTCTCCTAGACGAAACGTTTCAACACCTCCTCGTTATACATCTAGACGAAGCGTACACCCCCCTTTCCAAACCTATCTCAAGCTCTCTACGGTCTTCTATCCCTTGACCCTCATTCTTTCTTCAAGATGACACTTCTGAGACCTGAGCCTATCGCCATTGTCGGCAGTGGCTGCCGCTTCCCCGGCGGCTCCAGCTCCCCATCAAAACTGTGGAAGCTGCTCGAGAATCCCCGTGATGTGGGTTCTGAGATCCCACCTGAGCGCTTCAACGCTACAGGATTTTTTCATCCTGATGGTACCCACCATGGTACCTCAAACGTCCGACACTCGTATCTCATGGAGGAGGACATCAAGGTCTTTGATGCACCCTTTTTCAACATCAGCCCTAACGAGGCTGACTCGATCGACCCGCAACAACGCCTCCTCCTCGAGACGGTCTACGAGGCTCTGGAGGCTGGTGGCCACACCCTGGATGCCCTCCGCGGCTCTGATACAGCCGTATACGTCGGAACTATGGGTGTCGATTACAACGACGCACTCCTGCGGGATCTCAACACGATTCCGACATATTTCGCCACCGGAACAAACCGCGCCATCATCTCCAACCGCGTGTCTTACTTTTTCGACTGGCACGGCCCCTCCATGACCATCGACACGGCCTGTTCTTCCAGTTTGATTGCCGTGCATCAAGGTGTTCGGGCGTTGCGATCCGGCGAGTCGCGAGTTGCTGTTGCATGCGGTACTCAGGTGATCCTCGGACCTGGTAAGTTCTTCCTAGCTTCGGGTTATTCGGGTTAGGGGGTCGCGAGAGTGATATTTCGAGCCGCTGGCTAACTGAATCTCTCTACTCTATAGAGGCCTTCATCTTTGAGAGCAAGATGAAGATGCTTTCCCCTACCGGCCGCTCCCGCATGTGGGACTCCGAGGCCGACGGCTACGCCCGTGGTGAGGGTGTAGCGGCAGTCGTGTTGAAGCGGCTGAGCGACGCCATCGCGGACGGTGACCACATCGAGTGTCTGATCCGCGAGACGGGCGCCAACCAGGACGGTTTCTCCAACGGCATCACGGTCCCTAACACTGAGGCCCAGGCTATGCTCATCCGCCAGACGTATCAGCGAGCTGGCCTAGACCCAGAGAAGAATCCGTATGATCGCCCCCAGTTCTTCGAGGCCCATGGTACTGGAACCAAGGCCGGAGACCCCAAAGAGGCCGCGGCTATCCACCGTTGCTTCGGCAACTTCGCCGCCGACGGAATGGCCCCTCTGTATGTAGGATCCGTCAAGACCGTTATTGGCCATACTGAGGGCGCTGCTGGTATAGCTGGTCTCCTCAAGGCCTCTGGCATCATCCAGAAGGGCATCATCCCTCCGAACCTCCTTTTCAACAGCTTAAACCCTGCTATAGAGCCATTCTACAAGGGTCTCGAGGTTCCCACAAGCATCAAGCCCTGGCCCCAGTTGCCCGAGGGCGTCCCCCGTCGTGTCAGCGTCAACAGCTTCGGCTTTGGTGGAAGCAATGCCCATGCCATCGTGGAGGAGTACCGCCCGGCCGTTGAGGGTGCTGCTGTTCCTCCCCGTCCTTCTTTCACGCCGTTTGTCTTCTCGGCCGTGTCCGAGGCCTCTTTGGTCGCCCAGCTCCAGGCTTACTCGGAGCACCTTGGAGAGAACTCCGACATCAACCCGGTCGACCTCGCTTGGACACTCCAGTCGCGAAGGAGCCAGCTTCCATTTAAAGTATCTTTCTCTGCGGCGACTATCGAAGAGCTCAAGGCCAAGATAGATGAGAAGCTCGCGCAGACTGGTGGTGGCACCACCGTTGGCACCCGGTCTAACATCAAGGGCACCCCGCACATCCTCGGTGTCTTCACTGGCCAGGGTGCGCAGTGGCCCGCCATGGGCGCTGAGCTCATTCGCTCCTCAGAGTTTGTCCGCAAGCGGGTCCAAGAACTCGACCAGTTCTTGACCACGCTGCCAGAAGGGGACCGCCCAGAGTGGAACCTGGAGCAGGAAATGATGGCGGGAAATGACACGTCGCGCATCGCTGAAGCCGCCCTGTCCCAGCCGTTGTGCACGGCCATCCAGATCATCCTTGTCGACCTCCTACTTGCTGCCAGAATCAAGTTCTCAGCCGTAGTGGGACATTCCTCCGGTGAGATCGGCGCCGCGTACGCTGCCGGATTCCTCTCGGACAAGGACGCCCTCCGGGTTGCGTACTACCGAGGCCTGTATGCCAAGCTAGCCGGTAATGTGATCGACGTTACCACCGGACAGAAGAGCCAAGGCGCCATGATGGCCGTGGGCACTTCGTGGGAGGATGCGCACGATCTCCTTAGCCTACGAGCTTTCAGAGGCCGTCTTGCCATCGCCGCCCACAACTCCTCGGCGAGTGTTACCTTGTCGGGTGACGTCGATGCCATTGTCCACGCTAAGAAGGTCTTTGACGAGGAGAAGAAGTTCGCCAGAGTTCTCAAAGTCGACACCGCCTACCACTCACACCACATGCTCCCCTGCGGTGACCCATATGTGAGTGCCCTACAGGCGTGCGGTGTCCAGGTCAACAGCCCACAAGACAATACCTGCTCTTGGTTCTCCAGCGTATTTCCCGAGGACAAGCCTGTAGAAGCTAGCGAGGTGCTCCGGGGTGAGTATTGGCGAGACAATATGCAAAACGCTGTCCGCTTCGCCGACGCCGTTAAGAATGCCATGACAAGCGATCCTCAAATCGTCTGTGCCGTCGAGGTCGGTCCTCACCCGGCCCTCAAGGGACCAGCGACACAAAACATCGGAGAGGTTCGATCGAACCCTCTTCCGTACACTGGCGTTCTCAGCCGCGGCAAAAGTGACGTCCAATCCTTCTCGGAGTCTTTGGGCTTCGTGTGGACTCTCCTTGGTTCGCAGGGCGTCGACTTCCAGTCGTACAAAAAGCTCGTGTCTGGCGCTGCCTCTGTCTCGAAACCGAAGCTGGTGGTCGGTCTCCCTTCTTACAAGTGGAACCACGGCAGGACGCACTGGCAAGAATCTCGCAGGTCGCGAAAGATGCGCGGCCGCCAGGACCGGTTCCACGAGTTGCTTGGTGTGCGGTGCCCAGACTCGACTGACCGCGAACTGCGCTGGCAGAACGTGCTCAAGGTCTCGGAGATCCCGTGGATGGAAGGCCATCAGCTCCAGGGCCAGACCGTCTTTCCTGCCGCGGGCTATTGCGCGATGGCTATCGAGGCGGCGAAGTGTCTTGCCGGTGATGAGGAGGTCGAAATTCTCGAGCTTCATGATCTTTCCATTCCTCGGGCTATCGCGTTTGAGGATGATAACAACGCCGGTGTCGAGACTCTTGTTACTCTGACGAGCATCAGCCGCAGCGCTGGTGTTGGCGGAAAGGAAACCACCGCTAACTTTGCGCTCTATTCGTGCCCTGTTTCTGGAGGTGCCACAAGTGAGGCGGATATGGAGCTGACGGCAAGTGGCAGCGTCAAGATCGTGTTCGGCAAACCGAATACCGATGCCCTGTTCTCTACTCCTCTCCCCGACTACAACATGGCTGATGTCGACACCGATCGGTTTTATGCTTCACTTTCTAAGCTCGGTTATGGTTATTACGGGCCATTCCGTGGCATGACTTCCCTGAAGCGAAGGCTCAACCAGTCGTCCGTCCTCGTCGATACGTATGCCTATGGCGAAGAAACCGTTGACCACGCTACTGTGTACCTGGTTCACCCGACCTGGCTAGACGTGGCATTCCAAGCCTCGATGCTTGCCTTCTCCGCGCCCGGTGACGAACGCCTCTGGTCGCTCCATGTCCCCACTTCGATTCGCAGCATCCGCATCAACCCGGAGGTATGCGGCACGCTTCCGCTATCCCAGACGAAGATTCCGGTCTGCTCATCTCTCGCTGACGGGGATGCCTTCTTCTCCGCAAGCATCGACCTGTTCAGCGAGGATGGCTCGTCGACGATGGTTCAGGTCGAGGACTTGGAGATCAAGCCCTTTGCCCCGGCGACGGCAGCCGACGATCGCCGTCTCTTCTCATACACTAAGTTGGATGTCGCCTCGCCCGACGGTGCTTCAATCGTTCAGGGAGATTGCCCCACGTCCGCCGATAGGGATCTGGCCGTCCTGTGTGAGCGCGTCTCGCTTCACTACCTTCGCAAGTGGAAAGCAGAGATCACCGATGAGGATTGGGCTAAGGGCCAGGCACATCACGATGCCCTTCGCAACTACATGAACCACATGCTCGGCCTCGTGTCGCAGGGCCGCCATCCGACCATGAAGAAGCAGTGGTTGAATGATACTGCCGAGGACATCAAGGCCATGACCACTAGCAGCAGCGAGTACCTCGACAGCGTCGATCTTAGACTCCTCTGTGCTGTTGGAGAGAACATCCCGGCTGCCGTCCGAGGCGACACGACCATTCTCGAGCACATGCTCCCTGATAATATGCTCGACGACTTCTACAGGGAGGGTCTCGGATTCGCTATGTACAACACCTTCCTGTCGCGCATGATGAAGCAGATCGTGCACCGTTACCCGCATGCGAAGATCTTGGAAATCGGTGCCGGTACTGGTGGTGCTACACGAGCAGTTCTGAACTCCATCGGCCACAAGATGTCGTCCTACACATACACGGATATCTCGGTCGGCTTCTTCGAGAAGGCAACTGAAATATTCAAGGAGTATAGCGACAAGATGACCTTCAAGACGCTAGACGTCGAGAAGGGCCCGGCGTCCCAGGGCTACGAGCCTCACTCGTATGACATCATCATCGCTTCCAACGTCCTGCACGCAACTTCTTCCATGCAAAAGACGCTGGAGAACACCCGCCAGCTCTTGAAGCCTGGCGGCTATCTCATGCTGCTGGAGCTGACCAACAACGATACCGTCCGCTTTAGCAACATCATGGGTGGTCTGACTGGTTGGTGGCTTGGCGTTGACGACGGTCGAAAGTACGCCCCTACTATGACGCCCGGTCAGTGGCACAACGTCCTACGGAAGGCCGGATTTGGAGGTGTCGACGCCATTACCCCTGAAATTGACACCTTGGCCTGGCCCTTCTCTATCATTGCGTCTCAGGCTGTGGATGACCGCGTCAATTTCCTTCGAAAGCCCCTGGCCAGGACCTCTACTTCTACCTCTATCTACCTTGACAGTGTTGTAATCCTTGGTGGCACAAGCCTCGAAGGCGCCCGCATTGCCGAGGAAGTCGTCGAGTACCTTGGCCGCTTCTGCGGCGAGATCACCGTTCTTGCCGGCCTGCCCACCGAGGAGGAAGCTGAGCGACTGACACCGATGAGCACATTCATTAACCTGGTGGATATCGACGGTACACCCATCTTTAAGGACGTAACCGCCGAGAAGATGGAGGGCTTGAAGCGCGTTTATGAGCTGGCCAGGCACTTGCTCTGGATCACCCACAACGCTCAACTGGAAGAGCCTTACCACAACGCCAGTATCGGCTTCAGCCGCGCCATGCACCACGAAGCCGGCCACATCAACATGAACCACCTCGACGTCTCAGACCTGAGCCATCACGGCGCCCCCAAGGCCATCGTCGAGCACCTCCTGCGCCAGTGTGCCCTTGACGAATGGGACAGTCATAGGGGAGGCTACGGCAAGCAGTATCAGAGCGGGAAGACCCTCTGGTCTCTGGAGCGCGATGTATATGTCGAGCTCGAGCGTGGCGGCCAGTTCAAGATCCCTCGTGTCATCGACAACGTCAGCCAAAATGCCAGGCTCAACTCTACCCGCCGTGTTATAAAGAAGGTGATCCCCATCGAGAGCTCCTCGTCCACTACAGTCTCTCTCACTGCTTCTGCAGATGACTTCTCCTCGCTTGCCCTCGTGGAACAGGCTCTCCCCACCACGTTACGTCGCCGCCGCGACCAGGACCAGGCTGGGGAGGACCGTGTGGTCAAGCTGGAGGCCTCGTCTGTGAGGGCCCTTCGGGTTGCCCCCGACACTTTCCTCTTCATCGGCGTCGGCAAAGACAAGGAAAATAATACCGTCGCTACACTGTCCGACACGAACTCGCCCGAGACGGTCCCCATTGTCAGCGTGCCTCTCGATACTGCCCAATCTGCTGATAACCTGCTCGTCGCTGTTGTGGGCGAGCTCGCTGCTACTGCCTTAATTCAAGCTGTCTCTGCGGGAAGCAGCATCTTGGTGCATGCCTCCTCGCACAGGGACCGCGTCCTCGCCTCCGCTCTGTCACGCCAGGCGGCTGACAAGTCCGTCCGTGTCACCTTCACCTATAACACGGAGGCTACCACCACTGCCCCGGATTCTTGGATTGGGCTAAACTCTCGTGCTCCTAGACACGTCATTCGAAAGACTGTGCTGCGCACTACGCCCACTCACTTCCTTGACTTGACAACAGCCAATGAGCTCAGCACCAGCATTGCCAGCATCTTGCCGACAACTTGCAAGCGCGTCGACAGCTCTGAGATCTATCGGCATCAGCCGTCCTCGCTGTCCCTGGCTTTGTCGTTAACTGCTAGCCTCGACGCTCTCGTCGCTCGCCTCCAGGATGCCGTCTCCACAGTCACCGCTAAGGATGGTGCTGTCGCCGGCGCTGAGGACTTGGTAATCCAGCTCGATCAAATCCACGACCCTTCGCTCGCCATTCACATCACGAGCGTTGTGCATTGGGCGCAGGACGGAGACGTCCAGGTCGAGGTCGAAGTCCGCTCCCTCGAGCCGCAGCGCCTCTTCTCCAAGGACAAGACCTACCTGCTCGTCGGTCTTACCGGCCAGATTGGCCAGTCTCTCTGCGAGTGGATGGTCGCTAACGGAGCCGGCTGTGTGTGCCTGACGAGCCGTAACCCCAAGATCGATCCCAAGTGGGTGAGCGCTGTTGAAGCGACTAGCCCTGGCTCGACTGTCAAGGTCTTCTCCCTCGATGTCACAGACAAGAGTGCGGTCGAGAAGCTGGTCAGCGAGGTCAGGGCCACTTGCCCCCCTATCGCCGGTGTCGCCAACGGAGCCATGGTCCTTCACGATTGCCTGTTCTCCAAGATGGATGTCGAAGTCCTTCAAAAGGTCCTCGGCCCTAAGATTGATGGATCGCGCAACCTTGACGAGGTCTTTTATGATGAGGACCTCGACTTCTTCATCCTCTTCTCGTCGTCGGCATACATTATTGGTAACTCAGGCCAGTCCAATTACGCTGCAGCCAACGGTTATCTTAACACACTCGCCCGCCAGAGGCGCAGACGCGGCTTGGCTGCCTCGGCCTTTGACATCGGCCGCGTGGCTGGTATCGGATATGTTGAAACGGCCGGACAAGCTGTCATGGACCAATTGACTCGTTTCGGCCTCATGGCCATCTCTGAGACCGAGTTCCGTCAGATCTTCGCTGAGACAATCCGTGCCGGTTATCCTGTTCCTGAGGACACTGAGCCCGGTCACATCCCGGTGGCCAACGTCACCACTGGTATCCGCAACATCCGCGACGACGAAGAGATCGGAGGGCCTTGGTTCGACAACCCCCTCTTCTCGCATTGTATCATTGAAGCGAACGGCGCCAAGTCGGACAACACTCAGGCTAACAAGAGGAATGCTCTGCCCGTCACTGAGCAACTTGCCTGCGCGGCCAACAAGGAACAGGCTCTCGAGGTTCTGCAAGGTAAAACCCCCGCTAGTCTTGTTTCCAGATCTTTTTTTTAAGAAGGAAAGCTAACCTAGGGTCTGCCCGGACTCTTACAGAGTGCTTCTCGAACAAGCTCAAGGTCATGCTGCAGCTCTCAGACCAAGAGATCAACCCGGAGACCTCCCTCGTCGAGCTTGGCGTTGACTCCCTCGTTGCCGTCGAAGTGCGATCGTGGTTCCTTAAGGAACTACAGGTCGACGTTCCTGTCCTGAAGGTCGTCGGCGGGGCCTCTCTGACTGAGCTCTGCCAGCATGCCCTCAACAAACTGCCAGAGGAGTTGCTTGCCACCATTGGAACTGGCGACCCCAGCAAGGCAGCCCCGGCGGTCAAAGCAGTACCAGAAATTGAGCTCAACGCTCCCGCGACCGTCTCCACCGCATCTTCCACTACTATGACCAGGTCTGCATCCCAGGCCAGCTCGACGCCTGTATTGTCGTCGTCGACTCCAGCCACCGAGTTATCCTCCAGGTCGGCCTCTCCCGATGGCTCCTCCAAGGCAGCGACAGGCACCGGTACGTCCTCTCCGCTACCACCATTCCTACTGCCACCACCTATAGGTGAGGCAAAAAGTCCGCCGGTGAAGAGGAAGTTCCTAAAGACTGAGCAGATCTCCTTCGGCCAGTCGAGGTTCTGGTTCCTCCGGCTCCTGCTCGAGGACCCCACCACCTCTAATGTTGCCTTCTACTACAAGGTCACCGGTAGCCTGCGCATCGGTGATTTGGAGAGGGCGGTGCGTATGGTCACGGCCAGGCACGAAGCCCTGCGGACGGCGTTTGTTGAACACGAGACGCAGGCGGACCAAGCTTACCAGAAGGTCCTGGGTAGTTCGCCTGTCCGCCTAGAAGTTAAGAAGGCGAAGTCGGTGGAGGAGGTTGTAGCAGAGTATCACGAGCTACAGAAGCATATTTTTGATCTTGAGAGCGGCGAGTTGATTCGCCTAGTTCTCATTTCCCTTTCTCCTACAATTCACTATTTCCTATTTAACTACCACCACATCATCATGGACGGCGTCAGTTTCCAAGTCCTCGTCCAAGACCTCGAGAAGGCTTACAAGGGCCAGCCTCTTGGACCAGCACCTCGTCAGTTCCCGGATTACTCTAGAGCTCAGCGCGAGGCCTACGAGTCGGGTAAGATGGACGACGAGCTCAAGTACTGGCGGTCCATATTCCCAACCGGTCAGGAGCCCCCAGTTCTACCGCTACTGCCGATGGCCCGGACCAGCTCCAGAGCAGCGATGAAGAACTTCGGTGTCCACCAAGTAATGCAGAGGATTGAGCCAGGACTGATGGCGCGAATCAAAGCCGTGGCCAAGTCACAGCGCTCTACGCCATTTCACTTCTACCTGGCCGCCTACAAGACTATGCTATTCCGCTTCACAGAGGCAAACGACTTGACGATCGGCATCGCCGATGCCAACCGAAGCGATGGCGACCTCACGGGCAGCATCGGATTTTTCCTCAACCTGTTAACCTTGCGATTCCGCCGACAGACCGACCAGCGCTTCTCAGACGCCGTTGCCGAAGCCCGCACTACAACCTACGGCGCCCTCGGCAACTCACGTCTGCCCTTTGACGTACTACTTAAGGATCTGAACGTGAACAGGTCCTCAGACCACAGCCCCTTCTTCCAGGCTTTCTTCGACTACCGCCAAGGCGCGCAGGAGAAGTTCTCTTGGGGAGGAAATACGCAGTTTGAGTTCCAGGAGGTTCACCCCGGACGAACGGCCTACGACATTACTCTGGATATCACCGATAACGCTCTAGATTCCCTTGCCATCTTCCGCGTGCAGAAGGGGCTTTATGACATCACGGCTGCTAACCTAGTTCTCGAAACTTATATCCACTTCCTCGACGTCCTCTCTAGCAACGCCTCGCTTACCCTGAAGTCTACCCCGCTCTTTAGCGACGGCCAGCTTTCTCGAGCTACGGAGATTGGCCGCGGTCCCGAGTTGGTCTCGGACTGGGCGCCTACTCTTCCCCTCCGGATTGATGAAGTAGCGCAGAGGAACCAGGGCAAATCCGTCGCCGTCAAGGATGGTCTCGGACATTCTCTCACCTACTTGGATTTAATTAACCGCATCGAGGCTATCGCTGAGGCGCTGCAAAAAGCGGGAGTCAGTCCTGGCAATCGAGTACCTGTCTTCCAGACTGCCTCCGCTGACTGGGTCTGCTCTATGCTCGCCATCATGCGAGTGGGTGGTGTCTATGTGCCGCTTGACCTCCGAAACCCACTCCCACGTCTAGCAGTCGTCGTCGTCGACTGCGAGCCGGCTGCCATTCTGGTTGACTCTACGACCCGGGGTGATGTCAAGGAGCTCAACGTGCCCGGTACCGCTATCGTCATCGATGTTGAAGGCCTCGCATCGAAGGCATCAGCCCCTGTTCCCAACATTTCCAAGCCAGACTCTCCCGCGGCAATCCTCTACACGAGCGGTTCGACTGGGGCGCCCAAGGGTATCGTGGTCACGCACGCTGGCCTCCGCAACGAGATCGAGGGTTATACCAAGACGTGGAAGCTAGGCGCCGAGCGGACGCTTCAGCAGAGTGCCTTCACATTTAATCACTCCTCGGACCAGATCTACACCGGCCTTACCAACGGAGGCATGGTGTACGTCGTTCCCTGGAGCAAGCGAGGCGACCCCATCGAAATCACTCGGATCGTCAAAGAGGAGTCTATCACGTACACTAAGGCCACTCCGGCAGAGTACTCACTCTGGCTTCAGTATGGCAACGACAACCTCCGGCAGGCGACCAGGTGGCGTGCCGCATTTGGCGGCGGCGAACCCATGCCTGTCGCTGTAACTAAGGAATTCGCGAAGTTGGGCCTCCCGCAGCTGCGCCTTTACAACTCGTACGGTCCGACCGAGATCTCTATCTCCTCGACTAAGATGGAACTTGACTACCGCAACACAGCCGCGATGGAGGAAGAAAATGGCCGCATCCCATGTGGCTTCTCGCTCCCCAATTATTATGCCTACATCTTGGACGAGCAGCTCCGGCCCTTGCCCGCGGGAATGCCAGGAGAGCTCTGCATCGGTGGTGCCGGTGTCTCCCTGGGTTACCTAAAGAATGGCGAACTGACCAACAAGCATTTCGTCCCGGATCCCTTCGCCACTAACGTCAAGCAGGCTGTCGCGAACGGCTGGACGCGCATGTACCGCACCGGTGATTTCTGCCACCTCCGCGACGATGGCGCCTTGGTCTTCCACTCCCGCATGGCTGGTGACACACAGGTCAAGATACGCGGTCTACGCATCGAACTAAGTGACATCGAGAGCAACATCGTCGCCACATCCGATGGAGCCCTCAAGGAGGCTGTCGTTACTCTACGCAAGGGTGACCCAGACTTCCTAGTGGCCCACGTCGTATTTGCACCGGGCTATGAAAACACTGACAACACCGAGGCCTTTCTAGCCGGCCTCCTCAGCCGGCTCCCGATCCCTCAGTACATGGTCCCTGTGGTGGCCATCCCCCTCGATAGACTTCCGCTGACCAACCACTCCAAGACGGACCGCAAGGCGCTGAAAGAGTTACCTCTACCACAGCTTTCCGGATCCCGCAATCCCCAGGAGCAGGACGATGGCAGCAGCGAGGATCTGACAGAAACCATGTTGCGCCTCAAGACCGTGTGGCAAGACGTACTCAACAACAAGGAACTGGGCTTCGACATTCGCCCGTCGACCAGCTTCTTCCTCGTCGGTGGTAACTCGCTGCTAGCGATCCGGCTGCAATCGCGCATCCGGGACGCCTTCAACGTCACCGTCCGCCTGGTGGATCTCCTTCAAGCTAACAAGCTAGGCGAGATGGCCCGCAAGATCGAGGAGAGCGCTAGCGTGTCGGTAATCAATTGGGACCATGAAACCAAACCACCCACTCTGCCCAGCTTCCTGCAGCAGGGTAGCATCGCCACAGCTCCGCCGTCGAACGGCAAGAAGACTATCCTAGTTACCGGCGCCACGGGCTTCCTCGCTAAATACATCCTCCCACAGCTCATCGCCAACCCGGCCATCGGAACGATCCACGCCGTCGCCGTCCGCAATCCTTCGAAGCTTGAGCTCATCTCCTCTAACTCGTCTAAGATTATCACCCACCTCGGCGACATCTCAGCACCGCTTCTCGGGCTATCCGAGGCCGTGTTCAGGGACTTGGCTAACTCCGTCGACGTGATCATCCACTTTGGCGCGGCACGGTCCTTCTGGGACAACTACCACGTCCTGCGCCACACCAACGTCCAAGGCACAAGCGAGATCGTCAAGCTTGCCGCCCCCCGCCGCGCCCACATCCATTACATCTCCACCATGGGCGTGCTACCTCGCGACGATGTCGGGGTTACCAACCCACCAGCCTCCGCCGCCGCCAACGTACCCCCTGCTGATGGCAGTGACGGCTATGTCGCGACACGGTGGGCGAGCGAGCGCATCCTTGAACGATCCGCCGAGGCCTTAGGCGTGCCTTCCACCATCTACCGCTTCCTCCCTTCCATGAAGAGTGCAACAGCCACGTCGCCAGCCGTGCTCGACGAATTCGTCCGCTTCGTCGACGTGACCGCCGTGTTCCCGGAGATGTCTGGCTGGACTGGCCGCATTGATATGATGCCGGCGTCGCAGGCGTCAAACTGGCTCTTGGACTCGGTCTTTGACACTGTTGCCAACAAGGATGACAATAACGGAAGCCTAGTCCGCTTCGCACACATCGAGAGTACCACGGTCGTCAACGTCGTCGAACTCCACGACGCTATCGAGCAGCACCGCTCTCGCAACGGAGGAAGTGAGACCATGCCTGGGCTCCGCTGGATTGGCCACATCAAGCAGCTCGGTTTTGACTACTTGTTGACGTCACAGGATGCCACGGTGCAGGGAGTTGCTGGGGCAGGTGGGCTCAGCGCCAAGTTCGAGTCGCGTCGATAGACGGCACGGAATGATTTCTTTTCTCTTTTCCTCTCTCTCTGTACAAAGTTGATTTTTGCAAGGAATAATGTTAAAAAGCAGGCGCAGGCGGATTTTGATTTTCTCTTCTTTTTTTTTTCTTTTTTCTTCTTTTTTTTTTCTTTTTTTTTTTTTTTTTAAACGACTTTTTCCACGGTTTTTCTAGATCATTTCACGTTTCTCTACTGTTTGAGATTGCTGGCCTCAGAATGTTCTCTATTCAGTTCCTACCGTCTCCCCTATCTCATTTATATTAGCGGTTCCTGTAGCTCTTATTCTTAGATGGTCTCATTGCTTAATCAATTTAATTACTACTTGAAGTGCACTGATTGTTCTCGGAAACTTCAGAGGACTGTTCGAGAGTGTAGAGAAGATGCTTTACAAACCGAGGAAATCCGAGGAGTAGTAAATGAGGCGTCTGTTTGAGCGAATACCTTCGGCAGTGTGTGATGATTATGTTCGTGGAAGTAGAACAATACGGCATCATCTATGAGAAGAATCGCGCAGCTCTTTGGAGCAAACAAGTTTACAATTCCCATTGTGACTACCATTGTCCATTGATGTCTTCGGACATTGGTCAACAGATAGTCGGCCATCCGGGAATCCAGGACACACCGTTATGTTTAATAGAGCTGTGAGCTAGAGGTGGCATATCTGAGATGGTCTCCACAGCCAGGGATCTAGAACAGCGAGATTGTGCAACATATTGCCTAGACCCCGATTATCCCACACTTCCATTCCTCCCCTCGTCCGATGAGTAGTGAGCGGGGCGCTTTTGTCTCGGAAGGACCCATCATTGTGCCAAAACGATCCATTAATGATCTAGTCTGCCTCTCCCTTCCTCATCCCAGCCAGCGAAATATTGTAAAAGTTGATGCAACGTTTACTTGGTGACCGCCTTGGTCTTTCCATCATCGATGTTCGGCGTACATCAGGGGTGGACGACCCTGCAGGCATGAGAGCTCTTGAGATTGGCCTCGTGCCAAGTTGCGATGGTCTCGAGCTTGTACCTCTCTGAACGTACTACCCCATGTATCGACCGAAGTAGCTGCAGTGCATCTCTGCATGGTCGCCATATGGAGGAGGTGGCCAATTTACAAGTTGTGGTCGTCCCTACTCCATTGTCACATTAATGTTAATGTGCTGAGTAGAGCGATGACAATGGGCGCCCTCCTCATTAGGCTATGTTGTGATAATATTGGCATGTCCTGCCACCGGTTACACCATGTGATTCTTGAGGTCCGCGAGGGGTATCTGGGTTCTGGTCCCAAGGCTTGGAAGGGACACACAACACTGGAGGAACAGGAACAGTAGTTATCACGACTTACGAGGAAGGGGCGGCAACACCGAGCGGCTCGGAGAGGGCAACGCGGGCAAGTGTCCGGCTTTACTCCCCGAACCAACGCAGGAGATGACAAATTTCGAGCTCATTTTCTAATGGTTTTCTGTAGCCAATTCCGACGTAGTCCGCCGCAAATTAACGCGTTCATTTTTAGCGAAACTGCGGACGACTGTGTCTAGGGATTGGCACATGTGCAGGCCTGGAATGTCGTTATATAGTATTTAAGTTGGTGTAAGAATGGCTCTCTCCTCCTTTGACTAGTATCAAGGTAATTCCGGGTCGATCTGTCAAAGGCATGAGCGGCGTTCCAGACTCATAGTGCGTTTGCTCGTGATTCTCCGTAAGGGAAGGAATCAGTTTGAAACTGGTGGTCAGCGAGGCCTGGTTTGGTGTGTGGTGTGGATTAATGTACCTGTACCTGATCCAATCACGGAAAGAGAGAACTGTGCACTTACCACAGTCGGTACAGTCGTCCCTTTGACACTGGCAAAATTGCAAAGATCGGCTGATCAATGCCTGCCAGTTCAGGTGCTTATCATCAACCGTTGGCGGAGTCTATCCCTCATTTCAAGCACCAATGTTCTGGGGAAGTACTGAGCGGGGTGGGCCATCTCCCACTGGAAGGTACTGCTCGCCAATCGGTCAAGGAGGAACCAAGGCCGAGAGTTTAAAAGGACGACCCTTCTACGAAGATCGCGCCTGCTACATTCAGCGGTCGAGAAAGAACGCTACGTCCGATGAATAAAGAACGCCCTTGGTAACGACGACAATCTTATTATCCGATACGTAAATTCTTCGCATGGCCAAACTAAATCACCTAGATCTGAGCACGGTTCTCTTTCCGAATATAGCCCTCTGCCAAGCACCAGTCCTTTCCCTTTCCAATTCGAAGCCGCTGAGCTGGACGGATATGGTCTTCGAGGAAAGTACAACTTTTTCACCGTTTCCGTGGCGTGCGAAACGAACGAAAGTAGAGCCCGGCCAAGATCAATGATTCATTTCAATCTTGGCCAGCATCAAGATCAGTAAGTCTCAGGTCCGCTAAAGTTCATAAGCTCGTCGAACTAACGCTGGTACCTCACATCTCAAAGACTCCGCACGTGCGGTCTTCTAACCTTCATCGTGACAACCAAACGAACGGCAAGATCAGGAACGAGTTCACCCGCACAGGAAGTGACCAGTACCAGGGTAAGGCACTAACAGCGGGGGCAACCTTCCTCGCCCTTCTCTGTCACAAGGAAAACACAAGTGCTCAGGGAGCTTCGGAGGAGATGAAGGCAGACGTAACCACGCAATGTCTCTTTCCTTGCGTTGTCGAAGCCAGAAGCCAGGGATATTGCCGAAGAAGGAAGCAAGACGACCGCTCCTATACATTCGAGGGGTTCAAGCATTTCTATTCTATGTTTGAACTTGAGCTTCTCTTCTCCCTTTCCATCAAGCTTCTTTTCTTCTTTGCCATCAAGTTTTTCTTCTTCTTTTTCGTCGAGCCTCTCCTCTCTTTTTTTCGTCCTCAGCATCGACGAGCTGCACACACCCGGACACTCTAAGAGTAAACCATTTTACACAGCTCGTTACAAACCATTTTAAAGCAATAAAACACCCTTCTTTTTTTTTTCTCTCTTCTTCCCCTTTCCTGCTCGCGACCAATATGGCGTCGGTCCCGAGCACCACATTCCTTGCTACTCCTCCGGCCGCCGACCCCTCCTCCGTCACGCCCAATCACGGGCGAAGAATGGGCCCGAGTCCAGGCCATCGTCACCCCTAATGGCGTGGTGTTTCTTCTTTGTGTTGTGTTCACCATCGGATGTTTTCCGCTGGTGTCGATTACCTCCGAGCCTCCGGGCGCTCGAGCTGTATGTCTTCATTGGGCACACACCCTTGTCCTCGCCGCAGCTGCCTCCGCTTCCGCCTTCTCCTTCAAGTCCAACAATAACGAGCTAAGAATGAGCCAGGGTCCATGCCATCGTCAACGCCAATACTCTGGGATTTTCCTTCTTCGGGGTGATCTTCACCATCGGTTGGTTTCTCTCCGATGCCCCCGAATCGAAGGTCTTTCGGGCGTTCGCGCTGTCCGTCTTCATCGGACATGCCCTTGCCCTCGCCCTCGCCGCCGCCTTCATCTTCGGTTCTTGGCCGACCGAGGAAATTTCCTTTCTTCGAGCCCCAATCCGGGCCCTCAGTGGCCGCACTTTCGGCCTTCTTCTGAAGGACGTGGTGATGGTGGTCTGGGGAGTGGTGTTGGAGCTTGTAGCCATGGGGCCGCCACCCACTCGATGACCGCGGTCCAGGCCACCTCCATCTGTGATGGAGCGCCCTTCAGAGAGGATCGGGCTTCGTCCCAGGCCTTCCAGGCGCGTACCTTCGTCCGCGCTTCCCTCAGGGCTTTCCGGGCCTCACCCAGCCAACCCACAAGCCGGGCCCACCCGCTCTTCATAGCCCCTGGGACCTTGGCCATGATGGCCCAGATCTCCTTCCACAGTCCTAAAAGGGCGAAGACAACCATGGAAACAAAAGTCCCCACTGTTTATTAACAGAATGTGAGCAGCCAATCTTCTAGCGGATGGAATGGACCGACTGACAGCCTGCCATTCGCACCGGCGTCGGAGGGGAGCCCCAGTCCTCAAGCCCAGCCCGAGTCCATCCAACTGACACCCGTTTAAGGGTCGTCAAGTGCAGCGGAAGCAAACTACAGGGTGCAGGAGCCAAACAAAACTTCGACGGAAAAAGTGACTTGGCCACCGGACCCGTTCAATGCGGTCGGAGGAACCGACAAACCTCCGCAAAAAAACCGGCCTCGATGTGGACGACACTTCTGCGCAGCGTCGAGGACGACATCGCTCACCCCTTCGCCGTCGATGTCTCTTCTCCTGCATTGACGATTGTGACCTGGAAAGTTGCCCAGTGAGCGGAAAATAAGTCATATGAATTCAACCCATTCACGTTGATGGATTCTGTGGTAAGCGCCAAGTCCATCCCCCGCCTCTCCGCACGAGGTTTATTATGTTCCAAACTAACGTCAGAGTTGTCCCAGGTCTTTCATCACGAAAGCGATTTAGACCCATCGATGGATCCGGGCCGATCCGGCCGACGTCTCTGCCCAGCCCGCCTTGTCCTCTTGGCTGCCCTGCCACCGCTCAATTCGAGCACAAGCACAATCACTACGCTTGCGTGCGATCATTCTCCAAGTCTAAGAAACTGTTGAACTGCAGCTCTAATTGTAACTTGGAATAGTAAATGGAACCTTCGGGAGTATCGGGCCTCGTAAAGAATTAGATATTGGGAGTGGAATGCGAGGAATTTCTTGACCCTCTTGAATATTAAAATCGTCTTTGTCAGACAGCCTCTTTGACCCAATTCTGTGACCCATTTGATACATACGATATTTCCACGGAAACGCACGTTTTATTAATGGTTAAAAATATCTCGACACTTCCATAAATCTGCTCGTCCACAAAATCTCCATTGACTCTTCATCGTCCAGTCCATTTGGGAGTCATTTCTGAGGCCTCTGCCGGGAACTCTTCGTAAGGTTCCAATTCTCCCAAAGCAATTACCCATTTAGCGATCATACATCTACGTATCACATACACATACTCAGTTGGGAAACGACTGCTTTACCTTTTGGTGTCCAAGGACCCCATCTTGGATACCTTGCATTTGTTCTTGGACCAATTTGCCCGGCCTAGCCTCATTGACGGGCGGTGGCATCTTCAATACCGCGCACGCTCTTCTGTTACCAGTCGTAAAACACCTGGTCACGAATGCTTCAATGATGGAGAAGCTGACAAGGCCTTAGGCTCCTGTAAGATTCCAGATCTTTGATGGATAATATTCCGTGAAATGAAACCAATACCAAAGATTGAATTAAAGTGAAACTGCGAGCGGACGCGTCGAGCGTCACTCTGTACATAAATCATTGGTGAGATTCAAGATGTTACCAACAACCTTATCAATCTCAGCCATTCCATCTTCAATCTTCTCCAACTCCGACTGTTCGGGTTTCTCATCATCATCCATGTTCTCCTCTGGGGAACAAGTCAGCAGATCGGCATAGCTCTTCATCAACAGGGCGCATTGAGCTTTAAAATCCTTAATGTGCTGCTCCCCTTCCCTCTGAATACGTTTCCGAAGAGCCTCCTCACTCTTGTTGAGACTCTGGATTCTCGCCTGATACTCGGTTGACTTCTTAAGCTCGGTGAAGAGACTGGCCTCCCTCGAATTGTACGACCGAGGACGAGGTTGCTGGGTCAGCGCCATGGCCATGGCGAGATGATGTTGTTCGAGTTCCGCCATCTTCCTTGATTGCTTAATCTTTTTCTCTTCTTTTTCGCATTCCACGGTTAGAGAGTTGAATTTGGCCGTCAGGTCTTCGAAGAGTTTTGTCAGCTCCTCTTGGTACTTTTTGTTGTCGCGGCGGGTTTTCCCTGTCTCGTCCGGGATACCTCGATAGAAGCGGACGTGGGACTTGATGGCCCCTAGCTGTTTCTTGTGTTCGTGCTTCATGTTTCTTGGCGTCTTAGTCTTGGAGGACGAAGGCCTGGAAGGTTGGAAGCTGGTGTTCGTGGACGGCGGTGCCTGCGGGGTGGGGTAGATGTAATCTTGATACTCGGGCCAATTTAATGCCAATAGACAAAGAATGGCAGCGGACATTTGGGCAGAGCCGAATTAGGTGATGGATGGTCAACCAGTAGCGAATTGAAGAATCGATAACTGCACTATCCAACCACCAAGTTTCCATTTGTGAGGTCAGAGATCTCAGGAACAAGGCGAGTAGGACGTCTTGCTATTTAAGCCCTCAATGTCGGTTGATTTGGTTGACTCTGACATCTCATCATCATAAAGTTTGAGGAGTATTAGCGTGGAAGAACGTGGAAGAATCGCCGAACGGCCCTGGTCAGGTGTCCAATGTGGAATCGTATTGCAGAACTGAGGCCCGCGAGAAATAGAGCCTCAAACAGCTAGAGATAAAAGTCGTGTATATTTTTGGTCTCCAGTAGGAGGTAGCCCGCTCTAGTTAAGCCATACCGCGATATCTTTGTTTCTCCGCTCTCTCCTTGTTAAAACACCCCTTCCAAGTAATGACGAAAGCTGACGGCCGCGGACAAGCTCCGTCGCCGCTATAGGATGGTGCAACCCTCGTTTTCCGTTTTTTCCTTTCCCTTTTTAAGTCCTTCGACCTCCCTTTCTAACGCTTCTATCTTGGTTTGTTGAAGCTTTCTTCTCTGCTCTGAAGCTTCCTCCTGCTTCTGCAATTTCTCCTCGTACCGTCTTTGCAACGCCGCCATCATCGCACCATTAGTAGTATTGGCTTCGGCAAGTTTATCCCGAAGCTCCGTCATCTCCCTTTCATACCGTTCCTCAATTTTCCTCAGTTGATCCATCACAACCCTTCCGGCAGCTGTGGCGTCCACGGGTAGCCCGAGTTGGAGTTCATTTTGGAATTGGAGTGTCACGGGTGATGTTTTCATGATGGAACTGATGATTTTTCTGCCATCCCGGGCTGCATCATAGCAATTATCCACTTGCGCCCCGGCAGCAATCATCCCGCCCCAGAACTCTTGCCGTAGCTCCTCAAGGTACGCCCGGCCTTTCTCGGGGCGACCTCATCCCACATGGTCGTAACCAGCTTGACGTTTCTCATGTTATCTTCTCCAACCAAGTGCTGGAACATCTACAAGTTTCGTGTGGCCGCTCCACCCACGCGGCGCGTGGTGATGGGGTGGAGATATAAGATGCCCGAGAGACGAACATCCGTGTTAAGATACTCGGCAATCTGAAGGAGAATGTCCGAGTCTTTCATTTCGGTGTCATCGAAACCGGGTGTGTCGATGAGATGTAGGTCCTGTCCGTTAATTCGAATACTCGATATCTCGGGTTCTTTTGTGCCTTTCAGGGGAAGGTTAGACTATTTCTCAAAACCAAGAGCGTTTTCCCGATGATGTGCGTACAAGACTTCAAGCCATGTCCAATCTCCATATTCGCACCAGTGACCTTGTTGATAAAGGTTGTCTTTCCTGCTCCCGTCATGCCCATAACTGCAACAAGGATTGATCTTTCCGTGAGTTCCGGGGCGTCGTGGCTTGATCCGAGTTTCCATGTTTTCCGCCACTCAATTTTACTAAAAATATCCTGCATCGCGAATAGACGGGAGGTACTACTACTCGGGGAGGACACAGGCGAGTGTGGGTATTGATTTCGTTCGCGTTGACTCGTCGCAAGGGCGGGTGTCTAGTGGAAAATGAGGGGGGAGGCAAGTTGTCGTGAAAATGCACCCACAGCGAGGAGTCAAACGTTTTATTTCTCCATGCAGCGAGGCTTTACGCCCAACGGGCATAATGTGGAATACTCGGGATGAACCCGAGCGGCGTAGCCCCTCATCGGGCACCCTGCTTCCTTTCCATGAAGCGCAATAAGGCTATCATGAGGGTGGGCGGGGATGAGTTGCTACTGGCTATCGATAAACGGCGGCGTTTCTCTGGACAGAGCTTACGTTTTTACACTACTGAAAGAACTAGGTTCAGTGGTCTAGATCTTTGGAGATCTGTTATGTGGAGACCTACTAATGGTCATTGCAAATGGCATAAAGAAATTGGCCCATATTCCATGCAGAGCGCATCCCAGCTTTGGATGGATGTTCACCCTAACTGCCCAACAGCTTGCCACATCTGCCTCGAAAGGAATGACTGGCTGATGTCGATGCCTAATGTGAAACCAGCTTCATGCCTAAGCAGTCCTGCTAGTGGACGATAGGAGATGAAATCTGCGAAGTGTCGATAGAAGACTACTGTGTAACGCCAACGTGAACCTTGGAATCATTGGCTCCTACCTTATGACGCAATGCATTATGCATTTCAGCCTCCCATACTCGCTAGAACTCTAGGGAAAGTATCTTATTAGGAGACCGTGAACAGAGCCATCTTCTCCTAACATGCTTTCGTCTATTCTCTTACAATTCTCGAGGTTATCCGCCGCATTTGCAATCCCTCAAGACGATGATACAATTAACCGAAAGCTCTCTTATATCCTGCGGTCACAGCTAAGCGTCGGTAACATTCGATAGCCCGCTTGGATAGAGTTCTCTTTCAGACTACTTGTGGCCACTCGTGCATACTAGTGCAGGTGAAAGGCGTAGGAGAACTTGCACTTTTACACCTGGACTATTCGAGGGTCGTCTCGGACTTAGCTCCGATGGGACCTCTTTTTTTTTTTTTTTTTTTCGAAAGTTCAAAAACTCCCCAGGTGCGTCCGATAGTTGGCGATGGTCGAGGGAGAGAAGTGGGTAACGAGCGGGCGAGAGGTTAATTCATCCTATAAGGTTACAATGAGCTAGTTTACTGAGAAGCAGTTTCAAATCACTCAAAAATCGGCGAATAGATAATCTTTAATAGACACAAACTTATATCCGTCCATGTTACCTTGTGAGCACTCCCCCTTCCGGCTGTAAAGATAGCGAATCCCTCCCACCATCCACGTCCACTATGGCTTCTTATAGAGTTGCGGAATGGCTACCAGAAGTGTTAAAACACCTGTAATCGAGGTTGCTGGAATGAAGGCATTCTGTAAGTCTGTGTGACTAACAAAGCAGAGCCACAAGCCGACGAAGACGCAGGATACCACGAAGCAAGTGAGAAGCCACCAGAGGAATCTGCGGGGGGAGAATCCCATCTCAGCATGAAGTCCAAAACCGGGACTTCCCATTTGGTTACCAAGTGGTGGTGGATTGCGCTTTTTGGGAAGCCTCCTCTTCATTATGGTCTTTCCACGCCCACGCCCTGGGTTCGCAAGCCCGCGAACTATCTCGCTGGCCACAAGATCCATGTGCGTCTTGTGCGGCAAAGGGATTTCATGCTCATACTCTGTGTTTCCCGGTGGTGGAAGTCTACTCTTTCTTGGGAAGACGCGGCTCTCTGCGATGACGCAAAACTGAGACTCTTAGTATTAGCAATCGTCCTCCAATATCATTGTGGTAAGTGCTGTAAGAAACAATACCTCAACAAACCGCACTTTCGTGCATCGCTCCCAGGAAGCTAATCTCAGAAGCCACCCTAGGACAACATTTCCTGTTGGCCGATATATCTCGCGGTTTGTCTGCTGATATAGGCCACGGTCGTCGCTGGGGGCTCTGTCCCCGGACATCGGTATTGGACGGAGTTCGATATCCTGAGGCTCGGTAAAGGCTTGCGGAATACACCAATATAACACCTTGCTGACGATCTCTTCGCCTTGCGCTGAGTCTGGAATGCCACTATCTGTGATATCTACCTCATACGAGTGATCTCGCCTATGCGCCAACACTTGCGTGCCCAAGACCCTAGATTCTCCATCACGTGCGACCGGCTCTCTCCCCGCTATAGACGACATTGTAAATGCTCGCCCACCTTCTACGTCGACTTCCCCAGGCCCTACATTGAACCTCGGCAGGAGAGGGATGCCACTTTCGAGGATGGGGAGACTTGTTGCCCTGTACTCTCGCAGTTCATCTGTAGAGATTGCTAAAGACAGCGGCTCGCCCCCGAACTGATCCGGAAAACAACACGTGAGAATTAACATTTCACTACTCATATTGCCGTAACCGTGAATCAACACTCACCTTCCAAGTAACAAGGGTTTGGCCTGGCTGCAACTGGAGGGTTGGGGCCGGGAATGGAGCCCAGTCAACAGGATGTCCTAGCCATCCTTCTAGGCCAAGGCGGAGGGAGTCAAAAAATGTCGGGCGCGGAGCATGCACAGCGGGAGTGAGCCGCACGACTCGATCCCCATCGTCGTATCGGATGTCCGCAGTGTCTATCTAGAGACGGGCCCGATTAGTATCAAACAGTAGTAACCGCGAACATTCTTGAAAAACTCGAAGCAAGGGAATTGCGACTAACTTCGAGAAACGCTGAGCAGACTGCCTTTGCTGTTAGGCGCTCAGATCCAACGGACAGCATTTTCTTGATCAGGGGCACTAGTTCGCAGCTTCTTTCATCCTTCCGGGCCACTTGATCAAGCCAGTCAGTGACTTGAGGCTTAACCTTTTCGCCATCGTCAAACCGCGTGTCATTGAAAAGGTCGGACGACACATTGTCTTCAATGGTTCTAATGCTACGCCGGAAGCGAGAAACGCCGGAAGAACCGTGATCCACGAGAAATGCTAGCATTTCGGTAAAGACGCAACCCATTTTCCACACATCATCTGCAAAGAGTTGCTGTGAAATGGTAACTATATCCGTCGATAACGGTCGTCGGGTTTCTGGAGAATCATAGGACCGAGCGGAGGAGCGGGACCGATCCCACACGGCACTAGATGCTTTAGTAAGGTCGACTGCAAGACCGAAATCCGTAATCTTCAGTACGAGATCTCCTCTAGCATCTGTAGCAGACTCGGGCGAGTAGATGAGGATATTGGCCGGTCTAATATCTCGGTGAGCCGTCTTCAACTCCTCGTGAAGATAGGCAAGTGCGCTTGCGAGACCGGCAAATTGGTGCCATAAGGCAGCGCGGGCACGGCGTAGAACCTGGCGGTTCCTATCATGGCCTCCTTCGAATAGACGTTTCAAATCCCCGATAGCCAATGGGAAGACGAAATTGAAATACCGACTTCCCATTGTTTTAAGTCGAAAGGCCGCAATTGTTTCCACAATATTGGGATGATGAATACTGTTGAGCCGTCTCAGACACTCGTATTCCGCTAAGACGTCCTTGGCAGGAGTGGACTGGTGCAGCCGTTTGACAACTACCTTTACCATCGTGGTTGTTAGTGCCGAAGTGCTTACAGTCTAGCCGCTAAGGTTACGTACCTGTTGGCCTGCAGACGGGCTTCTCTTGTTCCTCCGAGATGATACTGTCGCCTTCACGACGAAAACTTTCGACGATTGCCCGGCCCCGATCTCCGCCGAGTATATTCCGCCCGTCCCGCTCATACCATCTTCACTCCCTTGTTTCGGAAAACCAATTGTCACGGGAAATGGCAAGTCCATATTCCCGGGTATCGATGACTCGCTTGACGGGTCATATAGTGGTACTACCGCAGCACATTCGGCATCTTCGGCTGCAGCGTCAACGGTCTCGGGAGTTCGGTTTACTGTTATTATCGGGCGCTCTCCGGCATGTCCCAGGGCTTGCTGATCATGACCATCGTCACTCCCAGACAACTCGGTTCTAATCCATTCATTTTGGATCGTGGCTTCGCTGTGTATGTCGCTGAAAGAGAGGAATAGCTCTCTTTCTGAGGTGGTGAGCTGGCGTTCTGCCAGCAGTACAAAATCTTCTCCATCTATCTGTTACTGTAAGTCAGTAACCTAGGAGGAGACAGTGTTTTCCTAGCCCAAGACCTACCTGGACCATGTATTTACCTGGCCCAAGGATTGAATCCAAGGCTCGGCGAGCCTTCTGGAAGTTTAAATACCTCACGAGGAACCTCTCGGCCTTCATTGCGACGAATGTTGACTTTCCCTCGGAAAGTAGTCTGGTGAACTGAACTTCTCGCAAGGGTTCCTGGTATATCATCCACAGCCCTCCGAAAATAAATGAAGCAAGAGGGAAAAGCAAGATCTGCGTGGCCAAATAGGTTGTAGGTACGGAGGAAACGAATCACAATTGGAGCGCCGTGGTAATACAAGGTGCGGGCACCAATCGCGCTTGCTCAGAAGCGCACTGTTGTGCGCTTCACTAGGGGTTGGTGTCAGGCAGTAGGATGACCCTAGATGGCGATGGGATGGCTGAGCTATCACAAAAGATTTTCTGGGTCGTGGATCGAGGTGCCTTCGTGGAATTCTTCGCATCTACGAGTTAAACGAAGAATTGCTCTCGCCTCAGGGTAGTCTGGTTATGATGGTGGGTGGTGGACCGTGGGGGAAGGTCATACCATGATTCGGGATGCCAGCGAAGGAAAAGTCCTAGGTATGTTGAAGAGGCTTAGAGTAATAGTCCTAAATCCGAAGTACCATAGTCGAATCCCGTACTTCTTTGAACTCCTTCACCCGTAGCTTGCATGTCGTCGCTCACATTGGGTATAGAGGCCTCTCCGCCTTTCCATGACCAACAGTTCTCACACTATCTAGTATGGTCTCGAATCTCTCTCAAACGCACGTTTCATCGCGAGTTGATCCCGTCCTCTCTTCACGTCCTCTTCGGATATAGTCTCAGTCGTTAGCCAACGAAGTCCGGGGAGGAATGGGATGCATTAAAAATGCCTGCCCTCACGCCTGAAAACGCATGGAAGAAATATCATCCTACATGGCTAGAACCGATCCAATACAACCGGTTCCTACCTAGATTTTAGCTATTAGCTTTGGCAGTTCCATGCACCAAGTTAAGATCGATTTCAACTCGCTAGTCAACAGGTTGGGATCAATCAGAGAAGGGAACATTCGATAACCCTCCTTGAGACTACTAGTGGGCTACTAGTGCATATGAAAGGCACTAAGAGTGCTTGTAGGCCTATACACGGACTGTTCAATGGCTTCGATTAACTCCTGGGAGGCGGGCTCCGATGATGGGGTTTGTTGTAAAATAGAGATTTTTTTTAAAAAAAAAAAAAAAAAAAAAAAAACGACTCTTTGCTTGAAGAGACATCAACGATGGGGATGCAATGAGAAACCTCACTCGGAGAGGCATTTGTGGATCTTCACTCTCTCGACCAATCAGTGAAAACGGAATGGGTCCTGTTTAGCGACCCATAATACAATTAGCAATTTTTTCATCGTTCGTTTTGTGCCTTCATGTCTCCCGTTCTCTATTGTACAAACGAGATACAATGTGGCTATAGTGAGACGTCGATGCATGCAAACGGCACAATGCTCATGCGCCGCATCACGCTGCAGGCGAACTCTAACGCAGGCGCAGAAACCCGCAAGGAAAGCACCCATCGGCTGCCTGCTATTACCACGCAAGCAACGGCAGTCATGGGAGGAGGTGAACGGATGGCAGTGGATACCAACCCCTGGGCTTACTACACCGAGACCCGTCCTGTACCGTCAGCTGGTCTTGGTGTGTTCGCGATCAGGGATATCCCCCGGGGTACGAGGCTTGCAGTAGAAGAGCCGTTGTTGTCAGTCCCGGCGGTGAAGAACAAGGAGCTATACGCGGCCGTTTGCAAAGCGCTCCAAACAACGTCAGATGAGAAGCTCGCTATGTTGGACGACCTCAGTTACGAAAATTACACACTATGGGTCATCAATTCCACCGACATTCGTAAGAGCATCATCCAGTGGTACATGGACCTCCCGGACGCCGCCAAGCCATATTCGAACATAACGGAACTCAACGAAATTACCAACCAGACTTGCCGACGATATGCCACCTTCCTCACCAACAACCTGGACATGGGTCTCGGTGTCGGTGCGGGCGTCTTCCCTTGCTTCAGCCGCATGAATCACTCGTGCACGCCGAACACATTCGACATCTACGACACTTCTCTGCAGCGCCTTACGATCCACGCGGCGCGGAACATCAAGGCCGGCGAGCAGTTGCATTCGGCATACGTCGAGCCGCTGTGGCCCCGGGCACGCAGGATCAAGAAGTTGCAGGCGTGGGGTTTCAGGTGTAACTGCGCCGTATGCTCAGATGACGCGCTTGAGGCGATGCGCGAGGAAACGTTCATGTTGGATGATTCGCTGGCGGAATATCTTGAATGGCTGGACGAGCCGCCGCCTGCGGATGATGACGAGTATGAGTTGCCTTACCTGAAGACGCATGATGAGGCTTGGTGTGCTGCGAGGAGAATGGTTGAGCTCTTGACGCAGCAAGATCTGGGAGGAGATGCGTTACTTAGTGCGTAAGTTTTGGATATCGCCATCTTCCACCCTATTATCGTTCTCTTCGGTTCACTTTCTCCCAAACCCCAGGGACCACCCTTACCCACCTCCAAACCTATTTCCACAAGATGAGTCGAACGCCGTGGGCGAGTGGAAATACACTGACATCTGCTTCAGATATCGTTACTGCTCCCGAATCAGACATGAACAGGGAGACTTGGTTTCAGCCTTAAAGTTTGCACGAAAAGCACGAGAAACAGAAATTTGTTGCGTTGGATTGGATGGACAGTCTAGGACACACTCCGGCTGGAGCCCGACAAAGGACTGGATTAAGAGGCTCGAGGATGAGATGCAGCATTGACTCAGGTCAGGTCAGCGCATGGGAAATTTTGCATGAATAATGGCACAACAGCATATATTATCAGATATCCATTTATATCCGCGACGAGAGGCATACGGTTGGTTTATCACATCCACGTACATATACTACTATATAGAAGGAAATGCTTGTAAAGAGGATGGTTTGCCTGTGAGATTTCTCATAGGCGTGCAACTTTGACGATACCACCTGTATCTTCTAAATGTAAATACCTCTGTTTAAGTGTTGTAGTTTCTGGATGTACGCCCTGCAGCCCCTTACCTACTGAAGGTCAAGTTTATTTCAAGAAGATACAAACGGATGTAGTGCGACAAGGCTCCAACCATGTGCATGCAGGAGAAGATCATAAGGGAATTTGAAATCCTCCTGCCGAGGTTACTATCAGCCACCAGCCCCCAAACACCATTCCGCCCCCAACTTCACAGGTCGTACAAAATCCTCCTGAACCAGACTTTGCTATGATTCGCGTTGTTCCAGCAGAGAAGGATCGCCCAACTACCGGTGTAGCATCCCGAGAGAATTTCCAACGCTCAGACGTCAGCGATGGATGGATACATCACATCCGTGCGCCAAGTTCTTCATGAGAGTTTATCCTGACGTCGAACCGGCCAACCCACCTACCTAGATTCCGTGAATGGGACATGATTTGAAATTATACAGAGAGCCAAACTATTGGCTGGTTATATGAAAGTGTGATCTATACAACTTCTGGTGGACTCGGTGGAAGATTCAGAGTGCAATATCTGTAGGCCATAAGCCAAGGACCCGATCTTAATCGTCTAGTCCGCCGTCAATTCCGATCCCATTGTGGCGTTTGATATCTATCCGATCCGCAAGATACGCAAGGTTTGGTAATCGTCTGGTAATTTCACATGTCGTTATTATGAATCCACCGCCAAATATCCCCATCAAGCCATTTCACACCGCCTATCCACCGCTCATCAGCCTCACAAGGCTCAACTATAGCGGTGAGCCAAGGACGCTATCGGAGTTTCGCGCTTTAGCTCATGGATCGACGGCCCAACTCCATGACACTCCAGTAACGCACATTCCGATATTCAGCTCCATGATGCCACATTTCGCCTCAGGTCGACCCGCCGAACTCTGTCGATACATTCCACCCCCCTCAACCACCGCTCACCTCCGACCTCGCATGATGAAAAAGCAAAACACCATCCCAAAACCACGCGACCAGGCTCCAGTACTTCGGCACAGGGCTCAAGATCCCTGCACCCGATGGGGATCAGGGCATTTGATCGTTAGCGCTCTCCGAGGGATTTGCTTTTCTGGCTGTGGCGCTGTGATCTCCCCACTCTCTCGCGCCGCGAATAAATCGGGATTGGAATTCTTTTGCTTTTTATTCGTCGGGACTTCCTCGAAAGAACAGTTACTGACTTTGTTGGCCGAGGCAGCTGAAGACGCTGCATTGTGATGAAATACTTGGCATCTGTTAGCCTTGCGTGGTTGGACGCCACATGCGGCTCCCTCGCGACGCCATCAATATGACATTCATCCACCCTCACCCTCAAGTTGGAAATAGATGCGCTAGTCATTATGGGTCTATCAAAACTCAGCAACAGAAGACCTGTCATATTTATTAGCGGTCAAGGAGTCTCATCGAGAGATATTCCTCAGCTGAATCTGTAGTGGATTTAAATCAAGTTTGTCACACGAGTCAGTGTCCATCACTTCGGGTTTTTCGTCCCTGTTCTGTCTAGCACAAAGAGATAGAAAGGCGCATCTGTCTCTCCTCATCGATGATATTTCCATAAACAGGCAACGGAGCTTGCCGGGTGGATAACTTATCGCTGCTTTTTTTAATGTCGGAGATCAAAGAATATGCTCGAGTCCCGAAAGATGCAAAATCATGATTGCTTTTTGCAAAGAAATGCCATGTTTTCTAGACACAATGGGACCCCGAACAGCCCTGAATACTCCAACCTGTTCGCAGCTGTTCTTGATCCGACATGCAAGCAGGGACTCGTCGCATAGGGCTCTTTCGCATTCAGTGCTCCTTGCCGATCCCTCCGCCCCCCAACATCTTCCCCTCATCCCCTCATGTCGCCTCACCACGTCATAATCCTGGTCTTTACTGTGGGAGCAACCGCACCTTGTCTACGATCGACACCGAGTCCTTCCTCTTTAGAAGAGTTGGGCACGGAGAACCAGGTCCGTCGGTGTGCTTTCCTGGACCCCAAAATCATTTTAAGCAAAGCAGGGTCCAACGCTCGCTTCATTCCGCGCAGGGACATAAATAGTAGTGTGTGGCGTCCTGCAACGTGCCGATCCTTCTTTAATTCTCCACCACCTTCCCATCTGGAATTCCAATAGTTCTAGATTACTAACGACAATGATAGTGGGCAAGAACAACTTTCCAGCAACCACCAAGCTGGAATTTCGACACTTCTCTTAGGGGCTACCGACGGCATAGGATAGCGTAGGGCCGGGTGATACCGGAGTGGTGCATCCAGCCGTTGGAGGCGTCATGTTTCTTCTGGCGGAGAGGGGAACTCTTGTTGATACGAGACGGCGAGTACTACCTTTGGTGACACTGCTGTCTCACATTCTATGGCTATTTAGGGGCCCCCTGTGAGTCTGCGTCGTGTGCATTTGAACCTTGTACTATGCGTGATGTGCTACCTCGTTTCATCCGTCTTTGGCATTTCGCAGTACCGTCTGCCTGGGATGACTTGCCCGAAGAAGAGCAGTCGAAATATTACTTACTACGGCTTCATACTTAACGGATGGGGGACCGTTGATTTGCGTTGCTGTAGATATCGATGCTAGTGGTCCGAGAGGAAGCTCGTCCCACTATCCATGCCACGTCTTCCATGCGTCGTCCGTGAGAAATACCTCAACAGTTCGGCAAGTGGTTGGCGGAGAGGGGCATCGGAAGCTCGATGCAGATGCAGAGATGTCAATATGTAAACAAAATATGAAGTATACGTCTCTTTTTCCTTCGCTTTCATATGTAGGATGTATCACAGTGCCCTGCACTGTTTTTGCCAAGAGACGGGTGTGTGAATAGCAAACACTCCCATCGCACAGTATACGCCGTCACTGTGTACAGCTGGAGGGTCCTGGACCAGTCCAGTGCTAGCAGCCGCCTGAACATCGCCCAAGGGCAGGGGACAGGAGACGCTAACCTACTGAGTTTAGGCGCCATCTCCAGCACCCCAACCAGCTACCGCGACCCCCAAAAACCGTGCTGTGCCCCCCCAGATGAAAACGCCACAAAACGCCATTTTCCCCTTTTCATGTAGCGCATTTCGGTGACGGGTCAGGGAGGTGGTTTCTCGCGAAGCATGTACGTCGCCCGGCCCTGCGTGGGTTAGATAAACAAGGAGGGGGGGAAGAAAAGTGAGGAGGGAAAGATGGCTTCAAGTCTCGTCCGGGTGGAAACCCGGGTCCGATGAGGGGGAAAGGATTGAGAAATGAGGCCACGCTCCCCCATATTTTCAGCCACATCCAGGGATTCTTGCTCGACAGAGCCTTTGTAGGAACTCTGGTGAAGGATCTAGGCTCCAACACCCCCGTGAGAATGGGCGCAAGCGAGTACGAAGGACGATAACCCTGGCGATTGTGACTTGATAAGTCGAAAGACTTCGAGAATGATAGGAGAAAACATTGATCCTTCGGTGGATTGTGCTGTTCCGTCGCCGACTCCACCGTGGGGGTTCCACTTACATCCAACAGGACCAACAGCTCGCAGAATTGAAGCTGCTCATCAAAAGAGCGAGATTTTTACATGCACCGCGACGCAATGCGATGCTACTCAATGTTTCATACGAAGCAATAGAGTGGAAGCATTCAAAGCACAAGTACGTCGCACTTCGTACTACATTACTACTCAGTATGTACATGGGTTCTCATTGAACGTGGGTTCCTCATGTTCGATAAAATTGCTTCATTCGGGAATTCCGCGTGCACATCTCCCTTCCCCTCATTTTGAAGGATTAAGTTATGACCACCTCACGGCGCACGGAAGAAAGTGATCTGCTGGTAGTTGTGGTGGTAAGCCGTCCTTCATAAGACGGCAATGGATGAAGAATCGCTTTCGGCTTCTGGAGTGTTGTACAAAATAGTTTGACATTCTTCAAAGGAATCCGTGCCCCGGCATAATGCGGATCTGGCCCCCAAGACCAAGTGGAAGTGGATGGAAGATAACACGGGTGACTCTGCTTCCTACTTGTTTTATCTTTATGCAGAAAGAATACTGAGGCATTTTTATTTTCCATCGATGTTCCTGGGGCACAACGAGGGGGTCCACCTGGATGTACAAGCAAGAAGTCCAACAACGTTCAACGTTCAAGCATCAATCTTGAACATGGATAAAACTCGGCTTGGGTCTGGACGGCTTCTCATAGATCGATTCTGGGGGATTCATCTCTCCTCCACAGCAACCAAAAAACAAGGAGATGAGATTTGCGAAGTCACGAATCTGCTGGGGACACGAGGAATTAGTCCCACGCAACTCATGGGCCTGGCGGAGGAATCCCTCACCTTTGTGACCCTGACTCTCCCAATGTCGTATCAGGGGCAAGGATTCCGAGCTGGCGGGACCCATCCGAAGCTAACAAGTTAAGGTGATGGACTAAGAGAAATCGGGAGAGAAGTACCTTGATGCTTAGCTTCGTGCTACGATGCTACACCACGACGGGTCCTTGCCCAGAAGCCGCGGATACGATATCCTGGACAGGGCAGGGTTGTATTAATACTACTCTATCGATGGCGAGTGAAAAAACATACGACTCACCCGTGGAGAGAACGGATAACCACCAACAGATGCTGCGGAGCATTTAATGGGACGCAGGGCGTTGCATTGCATTAATGCCAGGCAGTCCGTGGTCGGCCGTCTTCCCCGACGAACCCTAACAGCAGAAAAATTGTTACGTAGCGTCGCGAAGTTGCATCGGAGCAATATCAATTTACTTGTGCATTCGCCGAGGTGGTATACTTGTCTGTGTACGACGGCGCGGTTTCTTGTCAAACTCCATTTCGCGAATACCCCCGGCTCCCGAATGAATATTCCGCTATTGTGTCCTTGCAGAGCTGTACTTGTAGGAGATAAATCTGGGCAAAGACCTGGCACGGTACGATATTTTCCCGCCCTCTTCACACATATCTCTTCTGGTTACTTCGTAGACTGGGTCTCGCATCCAAAATCGTTATCCGAATCGAACGTAAATCGAAGATTCCCCTCTCGATCCTGTTCTATCTGCCCATTTCTCGACTTTTACCTTTCGGTATCTCATCCCATTTACACCCGATTCTCCCCCCACTACCGAGCCGAGAAAGCGTTGCCTGAACAAGGAACTGGGCACTCCACGCCGCCTTGGCAGGAACCATCGCACTAGACCACCCTCTACATGGTCCCTGGAGCACCTCGCTGCATCATAGCACGAACGATAGAGGCCAGCACGACATTCTCGCTCGCCCTGTGCTACCGCTGCTTCCACCAACTGACCTTAGCTTCACCGCTTAGCGCACTTCGGAGGATGTTGCCTGTCCGTCCACCCCCATCGCCTCAGCTCACACCATGACCACTTCTGTACTAGACCCGAGTCAGCCCAGGTCAACGCGGTTTTGGGCCCATTTCTTCCCCAGCACTAAAGTTCTTAGCGACTTTGCACAGTAAACTGGCCGACTGGCCAAGTCTTCCAAATCGATGTTCCTTTTGCTTCCCAAGTGCCGAACCTGCACGCGATTATTGCTTGTGCTATGTCCGGGAATTTTCTAATCATAAAAAGAGCGAACATCTCTTACATTTTATCAACGGAACTACACTAATCTTTTGTAGACCGGAGCTTGACAAGCTTTCAGTGACTGTGCTCAATTGGATCATCCAGACAATTTCCCTGTTCTATTCAACACCAGCCCTCATTCACTTCGTCCATTAAATAATCGCCATTGTAAGATAAGTGTCCATAAAAAGAGGACGGAAGTCGCACAAGTCCTGAAAACCCAAAAATTGAAACTTCTCCCTCCCCCAAAAATCCAAACACCAAATGTCCTCCCTGCCAGTCCTCATCGTCGGCGCCGGAGTGAGCGGGTTGATCCTAGCTCAACACCTCCGCGCCAACTCCGTCCCGTTCCTGGTCTTCGAACGAGACAGTGACCTGGCCACCCGCGGTCTCGGCTGGGGCCTGACCCTGCATTGGTCCCTGCCTGCGCTACGCCACCTCCTCCCCGCACACATCTACGACCGCCTGCCGGAGGCGTACGTCGACCGTGAGGCCGTCGAACGCGGTGAAGCCTCGCGGTTTCCCTTTTACGATCTCAGTACTGGGGAACTCAGGGCTGCGACGCCCAAGGCGCCCGAGGGACAGAGGGTTAGGGTTACTAGGGCGCGACTTAGAAAGCTCGTTGCTGAGGGGATTGATATCCAGGTAACGTTTCTCCAAACATCCTTTTCCCCACATTGAGGGTCCCGTCATGCTCGCTTCTTCCACCTGGAAAAGAAGGTAGATTTTCCTAACATTATTTTTTTTATTCACCCCCGCACAACAGTGGAACAAAGCCTTTTCCTCTTACACATCAACACCTTCGTCTGTCACCGTCACTTTTGAAGACGGCTCCTCATACACAGGATGCCTTCTCGTAGGTTGCGACGGCGGAACCTCACGAGTCCGTCGCGCCCTCTTCCCCGCCCAGTATGAGCGGCACCGAGTCCCCGTCCGTACCATGGGATTCCGCGCCGATTTTTCGCCGCAGGAAATCGCCGATATTCGCGCCATGGACTCTTTCTTCCTCCAGGCGGCGGCGTCCGAGAACGATACATTTTTGTACTTTAGTGGTAAGTTTTTGCCCTTCCTCCCCCGAAACTATGTTATCGGACATCCATATCTATCATATCTATCTTTTCCATTTTCACGTCTTTTTTCGCTTGTTTAAATTCCTTCCCCCTCTCCAACTAACGAACCATACCTAAAGTTCTGAGCGGTCCTCAACACGCCCCAAACAAAAAACCCACCAACAAATACACTTGCCAACTTGTCGTCTCCTGGCCCGACCGCCCCGGCTTCTTCGGCGAACCCTCCGGCATCGAGTACCCCGAGACCGACCAGGGCCGCCTCGAACTCCTCCACCGCTTCGCCAGCACCTGGGCCGAACCCTTCCGGTCCCTCGTCCTCGGCGTGGAGCTCCGCGGGACGGGCTCCCACAAGACGGCGAGAAGTGGCGGAGGCGTCACATCGGAGATCAAGACGCTTGATTTATTCGATTGGCCGCCTCCAAAGGGGTTGAGGGGGGAGGGACGGGTGGTTTTGATGGGGGATTCTATGCATCAGATGACTATGTGTAAGTGCTTTTGTCACTTTCTTTGCTTTTCCCTCCCTTTACTCTCCGAAGTCCACCCCCAGTTTCCTTTAAGTTCGTCATCCGTTAACAAAAGAGTCCCGTTGCCGACAGATCGAGGCGAAGGCGCCAACCATGCCATCGTCGACGTCCAAGACTTCGCCGACCTCGTCAGCCCCGTGCTCTCGCGCACATCTATTTCTCCCGCCGACGGGACGCCTGGCCCTAGCGGCTTTGAGGACCTGCGTTCCGCGCTGGATGCGTACGAGGACGCCGTCGTGGATAGGGCGAGGCCCGGTGTGCTCGCTTCGCGAAGAGCCTGTTTGGACGCTCACGAGTGGAAGAGGATTGATGAGACCAGCCCTTTGTTGTCGAGGAGGGCTATGAAATTGGATTTTGACGAGGAATGAGAAATGTTGGAAAACTTCTTTTCGCCTTTCGTTGTGAAAATAATACATTTTAGGTTAACACCTCACCTCTCAATCCTATCTGAGATGGAAGTAATTGTAGTTTAAGCATCCCGCGGTAGTAACCTGATTTCTGTTTTTCCCACCTTCATATTAGTTCACGTATGGATATGCTAGTTTTGGGATGTGACGTCTTCTCGGTGGGAGCTAACCAGAGGTAGGCCGAACGAGAGACCTATCGGACAATATTAGTGACCCGGACGATGATGCCGGAGCAGCAACCATCAATCTGCATGGAAGGGATGCCCGAAGCTCGGATGAACTGAAGTCCGTGATTACCAGCGAAAACCCTGCACGGCAGGGAACGAACATTTAAAGACCATTTCGGAATAATTACACTCCCGAGGTTCATTTCGAGTGATGAATGGAGACTTGCAAGCCTACATTGATATGAGAGCTCTTCCTTGTGCTGAAGGCGTACCTGGCCTAGAAACTTGCTCATCAAATCCTGGTTATTCAGTAGTGTATGTACTCCGATATGTGTATAATGGCAACTAAGCGACGTTCCATCCTCTCTTTACGAAAGCCTCCTTAGCTTGCCTAAGCTGCTCCTCCAAGCGTCTACTTCGGACTTGGTACTGATGGGGCCACTTTAAACGCAAATGTAAGGCTCCCCCATGCTCCCGTTCCTTGCCCCTGTCCCTGCTTGGTTCCATCCTCCGGCATCCTCCGGCATCCTCCGTATTCCCCAAGAGGAACAGCCCCTTTCTCGCTGCGTGTATGCGTAGTGTACCCTGCGTACCCCCCAAAACCCTAGCCTCTGGTCTGTGCGATCAAAGGGGAATCTTGCCTGGCATGATCGTCTCTGACCAAGGAGACCCTGTCCGCCTCCACCATCTGACGAACATACGAAGTATGAAAATATTGCCCATCGCAGTAGTGAGATTGCACATCAGTTTGGGGAAAAAATCTATCCGTACGATAAGCTTTTTGCGCTATTGTATGGAACCTTGCCACTTACAAGCAGGCACGGAACCCTGTCCTCAAATCAAGACAACCAAGTCCGAGATTAGGGCATCGGACAATATTTGTTTTTGGTAGGATATCAACAACAGAGGACAAGGGATTGATACGGATATGGTTAGAAATCCGGAATTGGAATGGCAAATGGAAATAGAGAATCGAACTGTTGTATCAATTCATCGATATCAAGCCCAGACTTGAAGCTATCAATATTCTAAACAAGAAACTCGCGCAAAAGGTGTATCTAGCATACAAATGAATGTAAAGAACAAAAAAGGGCAATCCCCATAATTCCTAAAGAATTTTTTCCCCAAAATCCCAAAAGTTCCAGAGGAAAATAAACTCCATTTCTTTTTCTTCCAAAAATCCGTAGCACCATATATCTAAAAAGAAATCAAATAATAATCCAAACCTCGCTTCGTACACGTGCATGCCCTTTAATCTCGTCTCAGTTGGATTTTCTTGGCGCAGTGCCCTCCGAGTAAAGCCGGCGGTCCGCCGTGGGCTCTTCTTCATTGTTGCGTTCCACCCTTCACGCCACCATTTCGAGTGAGGTGCAGCTCATTGGCTAAATATAGCCCGCCCTGCAGAAATTCCCGTCGCAGCCAAGGAGAGGAGGATCCAAAAAAAAAAAAAAAAATGGGCCGAATAATCAGAAACAGCCCCCAAATCTCCAACTACAACATCGCATTATAGCGAGCTCTCTCACCAGAACTCGTCCCGTCATCCACCCGCACGCTGTAAGTGATCGACTTGACAATCGAGTTCGGATCATGATGCGGCGTTATCCGTTCATCAGTGACGTTTCCCTTCTTGAGAATATCCTCCTCACTTCCACTAGTGCTGTGCTTGTCGAAGCCTCCGGTGACATATGCCGTCGTGCCCTTGTCTCCCGTGTTGCCCACGGTGCTGGATTCTGCTTCGCCGTTCTTGCTGAGGCTGCTGAGTTTGTAGAGTTGACTTCCCTTGCCGATGCGTCGGCTTCGGCTTCCCGAGGAGCCGTAGCCGTGCGTGTGTTTTGTGCGGTATTCCTTGGCCTTTCGGAGGAATACTGGCGCGAGGAAGGGAAGGGAGGATACCATGTTCTACGATGCGCGCGCGATATGTTAGCTGATTCTTTTTTCTTGCTTTTATGTGGTCCCTGTGACTGCCCTTTGCGGGTCGATGGTATGGAATCGTGGGAAAAAGGAAATAAAAAAGCAAAATAGATCGTGTAATTTAGCGGTCGACTGACTCAAGCGCAAAAAGCAACGTTGAGTGAAGACAAAACTCAGGACAAAATAGATGGGGCGGGGAGAAGAAGAAGAAGAAGAAAAAAATCCACGTACGCCGACATTGAATTCAATGACTCCCCAGAGGATCAGCATTGTCGAGTTGCCATCGCCGTTCTGGATGCGGTCGATCTGGAGGTATCGCATGATGGAGCAAAGGGTGGTGAAGAGACCGAGCAGGAAGATGCCGATAAGACCAATCTTCTTGCTTCGCGAAACGTTGAGCTTGAGCAACACCGGAATGGGAAGCAGTGCCACAACGACATCCGACACAATCGTGACGACCGCGTAACCGGTAAAGGACGGGCCCGGGGGCAAACAAGTGCCTTCTTTCGTGGGGTTCCACGACTTGTCAACCTGTTCGGCGGGAAGTCAGTATTAGAAATCAGCGGTATTTGTCAGAGCGAAAGATATCGTGAGAGGAAGATGGCGGGAGAGAGAGGCCGTACCGGCTGGCAAGCAAACACCAGAGCGAGTGCGCATCCAAGATGAGCAAGGAAGACGAGAACGATGGTGGCCCAGATGATTTTGCGGTACAGCTTCTGGTTCGTGCCGTCGAAAAGCCGGAGGTAGCTGATCAACAGAGCAATCTTGAAGAAGCTGATGCCCACTTGGTAGATGGGCCTTCCTGCGTAATTGACCCGGGTGAAGGGTATCAGGTTCGCCTTTGGACGAAGTACCAGAGGCAGACCCAGGCCATATTTTGTTTCTAAGTTGAAAACTTGTCAGTCATGTTCCGAATTTGTCAAGAGAAATCCCCAGATCCTGTTATGCTGTGACGCCGTAACACAGGATCCCCCTGGCTGTCAGATCTGCCCACGGACGTGTGTAACTTACGGACGATACAGATGATTGAGTAGATGACGGCAAATACCAATGACAGCGTAGCCATCCAGTCATCCGTAGCCATTCCTCTGGCCTTGGCCCTAATCCGTAGCCTCATGGTGACGATGATGGCCGAGACGATAGTCAAAACCATGCACACAGCAAAGATGAGCCTCCATTGCGAGATCCGGTCCACCTCTTCCGTAGCATTGATTACCCAGGTCATGGCGAAGGCACTAAAGTCCGCAGCAAAAACAGAAATGGACTTGGCGTTCACTTTCCTGAGGCGAATGTGCGCAATAAATCGTTCCGGACCGGAAGTCGTCGCTGTTGATGGGATCTTCGTCGGCAAGTGACAGTGGGTGGAGAGAGAGGAGAGAAGACGGATATCTCCAAAAGTGGATGGGCTGGGGTAATTCTACGAGGACCACCTGTGCATTATACCGGGGGGAGCGAGAGGACTTGTGGCCCGTCCTGCGTTCGGCGGGTTTTCGGTGAGCTTTTTTGAACAGATCGGGGCGACCAATGGGTTCACTCTTGTGTTAAGGTGAGGCGTACGTACGCCCGACTTCCGAAGGGGATGATTGTTGCGGAAGGCAGAAAATGCAAACAAACAAGTGGAAAATACAGTTTCGAGAAGTGCAACCCTGCCAAGAGGGAGGGAGAGAAGAAAAAAAGGCGGAGCGGGATCGGTATCTCCTTCGTTGTGGGGAGGATGGGGAGATGGGAGATGAGGAGATGAACAAGAACAAAAGCAAGCTAACCCTCTCGAAGAAACACGGAGCTGGATGCAGCTCGCTCTAGCTGGAGATATAGCGCGGGCCAAGATCTAAGATCCACCTGCCGATGCTGCTAGATGAGCAAGAGGACTTGGTTTTTATTGTAATATTCTCCCTCGAGCAAGATTCCGCCCGACTGCCGACAGATTCGACAGAGGAAGAGAAAAAAGGAGTATAGTATAAAGCGTCACGCATGTGAGGAGGATACGGGAACGGGAATGAGTGCCGGGCGATACTACAGCCACACATTCCGGTGGTCGAATGTTAAATCACATCACTGTCGTTGGGGGATGTGCTTTAAAGGAAGAAGACATGGGGCTGGTCCGTATGAATTGATCACATATACCCCCCACGTTTCAACCGTTATTGGAACCCCAAAGTATTATCCCCTCCGCTATTGCAACAATGCGGACTTGGGCGAATGCCTGGAGCAGCTACAAAGATAAACTAATACAATGGATCAGGGGTCTTGTGTTCACTTGTAAGCGCAAGGGGCAGGTGTGTCCTGATTCGAAAATGATGGCAGGGGACGGACGAGGTAAACGAGTGGATGGGGGCGAAATGTAGTAATGAAAAAAAAGGGAGAGAGAATAATTCCGCTTCTGCCGTTTGCAGGCACCAAGCCAAGAGTGCAGGTCTAGAGTACGTTGCATTGTAGATAGAATTTCGTTGCATCTGTGTGCGCAAGCGAAGGTCTGGGAAAGAATTAGTCTGAGGGACAGCCAGCCATAAGGAGGTTGTGCAGCTTAGTCCCCGGCACCCTAGATTCCGGGGCTCCTTTATTTGCTCTGTCGGCGATTTGTCCCGAACCGAAATGCTTCAGAGTAAATCGACCAGGCAACGGTACACAATCTCTCTAGTCGCTGTTCTCATGGCAGGGAATCCAAGGCGATATCAGGGTTGCGATATGCATAAGGTGGCCGGAGGACTCGATGAGTTCGATTTTTTTCCCCCTCCGCTACGACGAAGCAGGTGGCAGGTGGCATCTCGGGTGGCATTATTCCCCGATACTTCGGGGAGAATGTCCTCTTTCAATGAATACGAAAGGGCGGTTCTGTATACCTTATGTTGCAGCCTAGGAAAAGCCATCCCGGTGGGATCAGTGGACCTGGTTTTCTCCGAGCAATTTGTAGATTTAAAAGTGAAGGGTAGGTGTGATAAGAAAGGCAAGAAGGGAGAGGAGGATTGGTGCGTTCGACTTGACGCAATGCCGCCTCGCGGGGGGGGAATCAGGGGGAAATGTGGGAAGTAATTGGAGTGGCTGGTGAAGTGCAAGTGGCTTGGCTGGTTAGCCCCAGCGTCAGAACGATGTGTTGGATAATGTGTAATGTGGGAGACAAATCACAAATCCCGAGAAGCTTCACTGTTGCTGGCGGTTTGCGCTATTGCCGGCCCACCTGGAGCCGGCAGTGATGATCGAAGACAGCTGGCCAAGGGTGATTCAAAAAGCAAAAGGCTCGCTCGATACCCGGTACTGAAGGACAGATCGACCGGCTTGTTTTGCTTGTTTTCAAACTATTGGCTAGCGATGGCTAGAGTAGTGCGAAAAACATTGCTTCTGCCGAGAGAAATTCCGGGCTGGGCTTCCGGCAACAGGTTGTTTCAATGAACTTGAATGTAAAGGTGGTGTGGACTGAACCAGTTGGCTGGGAAGAGCATCTGTGCGACTGAGTGTGTGTGGTCTGCCGTTTGCCGTCATCCGAGCGAACTTCGTGCGTGGTTCCAGAACGCAAGCAGGAAGGATCAAACCCCTTCTCTTCGTAGCAATGGATGGCAGGACACGCATGCACTGCACCATTGGTGGTGTTGGATTATTTCCTATTAATTCGTAAACATTGCCCGTTGTGGTTCGTTTCCGAAGTGAAGCGGTTAAAGTGAGGTTAGCCGAGGTGCGGTTTGATATCTACGACATGCACAACTTTATGGCGAAAGATTGAGGTGATTCCTAGTGAAATCAGTTGATGTAACCTCTCGGGCGCAATTCACACGCAAAAAAAGGCGCGACAAGGGTCTCCTTCATCAATCTCAGCTGCCACTGGAGATGGGTGGTGGGGTTTCGTGATTTGCCCAGTCCCTGGACGAATTCAGTGTGAATGCGACGCTGCTGGATCGATGTTTCACACGGAACACTGCTCCGTAAAACTAGTGCCCGTCACCAAAGTCCCTGCTCAGTGGGACTTCGTCGCTCATCTCATCCACCTCCTCGACTGGTCCTAGCTTGGCTGGCGTGGAATTTTAGCTTTGCCCTGCTGGGTGTATGTAGCACAAAGTTCAGGACCCTCGGGCTCCAGTTCGTCTTGGCGATGCGACAAAGTTCGCTCCAACATCAGTCTCCAGCTTCAATCTTGCCCTCGATTGGCTGATCTGAGAACACAGATAGAGTAGCACCACCATCAGCGACCGACTCGCCCCTGACCCATCACTGGGGTCAAGAAAAAGACCACACACGTTCCTCTGGGTAAGGAGCCTGGGTTTGAACCCTCATTCGCCAATTGCTCAAGTCGCCAGTGTGCCAGCGCCGGCCGGTGTGCTGGGACTATCCTTGTTCAGTGCTCCGATATTTGCATGACACTGCTCGCTCGGCAGAGGTTCCCCGAGGACGTCCTCATTCCTCGTTCTCTTCTAACCCAGGCCGTTTATTCATAGAATTACGTACTTCTCCGACCCTGGGGAGGGAGGAGGGAGGGTTGCAGCGTGATAAAAAGACGAAGGATGGATGGTACTGCTTTTGCAGGCAAATTCGATGCGACACTGACATTTCAGGTCGCCGCGCTGCTGTGACAGTGACACTGCTATTAATGAGCAGAGACCAGGGTTTGTGGACGAGAAGTATCATCCTTTCACATGCTCATGTCGACACTGTGCATCAGGAGGGGGAGGGGTGAGGATTAAGGTAGTTTTAGTCTAAACACCCCTGTTCTTCTGCTGGACCAATTTGCACAGTACGAACCAGCACAAATCCCACTTGCTTGATGTCCTCCTGCACGCCCCTCTTGCGCCCCTGCTCAGTGCTTGAATCGATCCATCAACGCTGGCAGTAGCCCCTGTAATCCGCCAGTTGATCCGCTAAGTATCTATAGGTGCGGGGGAAAGAAGCCACTAAGGCCAAATACGAAGTAGCACCAGATGATTATGCGCTACAGAAGGTGCTCGGAGACGAGCCAGCGTCGCCACTGTACCTGGAGGCCCAAGGGATCGGATCAAATGATACCTTTGAGGCTCGTATCATCTCAACTTTCTTGGCACATTCCGCTCGCAGAGCAGAAAAAATGTCCAAGAACTAGCTAGTTCTTTCTTGCACTGGGACTGGTCTGGACGCATGCTCCGTACACTAGATACAAAGCCACACAAAGATAAACCCCACAACTGGAGCTACGACGACTCCCTCCGCCGCCATCTGTGCAAAAATCTCCGAGCGTCTGAACCGCGTCGTTCCCACTGTCCTCCGCTCTCATTCTCGCTTATTTTCATTGCTCTCTCCATCTCCACTGTTCCTCCAATGTTGCGACATTGCCATTGATTACCAAGGAGAGGAGGCTTCAGGGATTGAGAGACTGCATTGTGTCAGTAAGATCTGATTCATCCCAGTCAATGTTTGCGCCTGCCCTGCCCTGCCCTGCCCTTGTCTGCTCTTGTCTGCCCTTGTCCCAAGTCCTGCCTCGGGTTTCCCCTTCTCTTTCTGATCCTCCACAATTGTACATTGATATTGTTCCTTCCCTATACTCCCAACGACTGCAGCTTACTTGCATGGATGTAGCATTACATGCAATTGTGCTCATTGTTCTCTGCGTCTCTGCCGTCTCCGCGTCTCCACGCCCTTGACACCCCCCTTTGGTTCAGTATTTTCGGTTCCCATCTGCTCCTTCCCCAACCCTTTATATACAGGTTCGGTTCCTTCCCCTTCGCTTCCTGCATCCTTCCTTCCTTCGACCACACCCCTCCCGTCCAAAGGTGCCCTTTCCTCGGAATTCGCACGTGTGATATATTGATGACTCGCTGAATCACACCTTGACCCTGATTTCCTTGGGCACAACCGAATTTCCATTGTTTAAACATTTTCAGAACGGGAACGGGAACCTGGACGCGAAAACCTTCCCGCTTCTCTCCTTTCGTCATTCTTTCTCTTCTCCTCCTCCTTCTTCTTCTTCTACTTCCTCTTCTTCATTTTCACTTCACTCCCCCATCCTTAACAAGTCAGCGCTCCGAGGAAACATGTCCGACACCAAGGAAAGCCTCAAGGAGGCCGAACTCGCCAAGTCCTCCGTCAGCGGCGACAACGTCTCCAGCTCCAACGTCGACACCGCCTGGAAGTTCCTCGACGCGAATCGCGATGTCGCCGAGGCCACTGCCTCCGAGTCGGAGCTCAAGGCTCTGCGTCGCAAGATCGATTGGCACATTGTCCCCATCATGTTCTGCTGTTATACGATGCAGTTCCTCGATAAGGTTATTCTCAATGTAAGTGACCCACCCTGCAGGTCTCTCACTCGCCTTGCGCCGATCTTCGGCAACCCGCCGATCACAGTTCGCGTGTGCCATGTGTCCCGTGAACGCGCAAAAAGAAACGAGGCGGACGTTAGGGCGGAATGAAAAACGTGTCTGACCGCCGATTGTCATCATTTAGTATGCCGCCGTTATGGGTATCCACGCAGAGCTGAAGCTTCAGGGGAATGACTTCTCAAACATCGCCACATTCCTCTTCGTCGCCCTGCTTTGCTTCGAGGTTCCCAACAGTAAGCTCTTTCCATTTTCTTTTTCTTTTTCTTTTTTTTGCTCTTTTGGTTTTACCAGTTCCTGTCCCGATAGGTAGGACAGGAAAACAAGGCGACAGCTTCATGATGCTGACAGCTCAATTACCATCTTGCAGTCTACTGCCTTCAGAAGGTCCCGGCCGCAAAGTGGCTCGGCTGCAATGTTATCCTTTGGGGTGTCGCCACCGCTTCCGGTGCCGCCGCCCACAATTACCAGACTCTCCTCGTCTCCCGTGTGTTCCTTGGTATCTTCGAAGCTACCATTGCACCCTCTCTGCTCCTCATCAGCAGCCAGTGGTACACCAAGTCCGAAGCGGCTCCCCGCTTCTCCTTCTGGTATCTCGGTCTCGGTCTCGGCCAGATCATTGGTGGCGCCGTGTCGTACGGCTTCCAGCACGTCAGCAAGAACGCCGCGCTCTCGGGCTGGAGGATCATGTTCGTGGTGCTCGGTTGCTTGACCATCACCATTGGTCTCTGGACCTTCTTCTTCCTCCCCGATACCCCCATGAAGGCTAGGTGGTTGAGCAGCGAGGAAAAGGTTAAGCTCCTCAAGCACGTCAGCGTCAACCAGACCGGCATCGAGAACAGGAAGTTCCGACCCAAGGAGATCTTCGAGGCCCTCATGGACCCCCAGCTCTATCTGCTCCTCCTGGCCGTCATTCTTGTAAGTTGCCGCGTGTTGCCATGATCTGCCATTGCCATTCGGCTCATTCATCCGCTAACCCTTCATCCCAGCTCTCCGTCTCTAGCGGCGTCGTCACTACCTACTCCGCCACGCTGATCAAGAACATTGTCAACGACCCTAAGAGAGCCGCTCTCATGAACATGCCCTCGGGTGCCGTCAGCATCTTCTTCACCCTCTTTGTTGGTTTCGCCATCCGCAGCCAGTCCCACCGCTGGCTCTGGATTATCTGCTGCATCATTCCAGCGTAAGTTGAGAACCCATGTGACGCGAAGAGGAAACGAAATCACTAACAGATGAGACAGCATTATTGGCGGTGCCTTGATGTCCTTCCTGCCCACCACCAACAAGGCCGGTGTCCTCGCTGGTATCTACCTCGTCAACGCTGTCGTCGCCCCGCTTGCAGTCTTCTACAACGTAAGTTTCATCAATCGTCACCTCAATTGTCACCCTCCATTGATACTCACCCAGATTTCTAACTGAATCCAGTGGACATCTGCCAACTTCGGCGGTGCTACCAAGCGTGCCTTTGCCGCCGCGCTCCTCAGCGGTTCCTTCTCCATCGGAAACATCATTGGACCTCAGACTTTCCAGGCCCGCGACGCGCCCGAATACCGCCCTGCCAAGATTGCTGTTATGGGTACGCAGGCTGGATGCGCCTTGGTCACTTTCATCCTCTTCCTCTACTACGTCTGGCAGAACAAGAAGCGGGGTGCCATCCAGGAGAATGAGGATGAGTACCTGTCGCCCGAGGTCTGGGCCAACATGACGGATCGCGAGAACAAGAAGTTCAGGTATTCGTACTAAGGGAGATTTTTCTGTCGTTTTCGGTTGCAGTGGAACAGCACCACTCTCCCTTTTGGAGTTGGGAAAGCAACCGTTGAAAGTATAAAAAAGTAGATGAACATACCCTGGGAAATAGGTTCATCTGCTAGGATAGGACCGGACGTAAAGGCGCTCTTTTCTTTTTTTCACGGGTTTTCAAGATTGAGGATGTGTTAGAGATTTGTACTAGTTTGACTGAGCTGATCGAGCCAGCCACTTTATATACCATTGTGCTTCTTTGCTCTTCCAGCTGGTTTATGGACTCTTTTAATTTCATCTACGCCCCTGCGACTTCTAGTCCCAGCCAGTACATTACGCTCCACGGCGGTCCACTTCTCAGGCACTGATGCCCGAACCAGGAGACGGTAAGAAAACTGAAATGGCAGCGGCGTGTCTTTGAAAGGGTGTGCGACGCGAGTGGGGGTTAACAGAATAGAGGTGACTGTTGCTTCATTCACCAACCGAGCTCCGAATCTTGACGTTAACCTTTCAGTCCCGGTGATGGCTACCACGAATAACTCAACAAAATTCTTTCAACACTCGAGGCGAAACTCCGCGACTCGTTTTGCTGAATTTCTCTTTTCTCCCGTACCTGAAATCCCATCTCTTGTGATGCCCAAGGATCGGAGTCGAAGAGCCCAATTTAGTGCAAGTTGGACAAGTGCTGGGACACAAACATGAAGAAGAGATTTCACTTGCGCTCCATTCTAGATTATCGGCGTCGCCGTGGCCTTCTTTCCTTGTTATAAAGCTTGGAGACATCATCACAGTCGAGAGCATTTCAGCTCAAAGACCCCACTATCAATGGTTTGAAATCACGTGATATTTAATCCATGTCACATGCCAATTTGACAAGTCTCCACCTATCCTCCCCCTTGTGGCTTTCGTGGCGCTTCGTGGCTCTTCAGCCCGGAAATTTGTTATTCCGCATCCATCTTCACTTCTGGCCTTTTGAAATCGCAAGCTCCAAGCTCAGCCAGCTCAACACGTCACATCTCGACCCGATCCAACCGCCCACCGCCCCCATCTCCGCCCCGGATCTAGTCGCCGAACGAATCTCCCCAAAAGATCCTCGAGCAGAATCTACAAAATGTTCTTCCTAGGCAATTTCTTCTACGTCCTCGTCCTCCTAATCAACGCCATCGCCATCCTGTCCGAGGATCGTTTCCTGGCGCGCATCGGATGGTCCGCGACCACGTACAACAACTCGTTCGGAGCGGCGCCTGAATCTGAGAGTATCCAGGCGAAGATTATACATTTGATCGCGAGTGTGCGAATGTTGATGAGGAGTATGTTTTCTCCCCGCGATGCGCCTGCATCCCGCCCCCTATCCCCCCTTTGAGCTACCCGGAGCGCTGTTGCCTATAGAGAAGGCGATCGAGAGATGGTTACTGACTCTGTGGCCTTTTTTCTAGTTCCTTTGATGATAATAAACACGATGATCATATTATACGAGCTTGTGCTGGGATGAAAACCCTACGAATCGAAAAACCCAAGGAGCCACGCGGCTTGCTCTCCTACTTTCGAAGACGATCGCGAGGAACTCGAGTCACGGCACTCGACGAGTCCAAGCTCCATGGATGCTTAATATCCGGCGTAAAGGTCATTCCGGCCCACGATTATTTGGTTTTCCTACGGCAAAAATATAGATGGTACAGGGCCTTGAAGGGAAAGCGAAAAACTGTACGATATAGGGGCATAAGGGACGTTGTAATTGGTCTACCAGGTTTCATGATGGCATTTCTCTTGCATGCGCGTTCGGAGGACAGTTTTTATTAGTCTCGTTATAATGATACCAAGTCTCTCTTGATCGTTGGTATTTCAACCGTACCTCCGAGTCTTGCGCATCACAAGCGTTGGTGCTTTCTGTGTTGACCGGTTGTGGGGTTGTGAGGATGTTTCTGCGGTACAAGGTTGCAGATGCTTGTGATATGAGTACTAAGATAAGGAGATGGGCCACGGTCCTTTCTTAGCTCCTGACGGCCAATGTTGGAGCAACATCCTAGTCTCCTAGTGCGTGTCCGCTGCTCAGAGGCAGTTTCCAAGTAGCACCAGAATAAGACTTTTCGTCTAATCGAGGAAGGTCGGATTAGATTGCGCTGAAGTTGACAGATTTGTGCTGACCCGAAATGGTGGCCTTGGATCCCGAAATGTGGCGACGCCCGTGAATTGGGTTCTACGGCTAAGAAATGATGTTCATTTTTTACTCTCTTTTCTTCTGGGTGGTAGGACTATAACAAACACTGGTGAGTTATAGGTTAAGCAGGTCGCCGTCTAAATAGCAAAGCTCCCAAGAACCGATCCACGAAGGAGACCCCACTTCTAACCATCAACTTGAAGAAATGGACCGCCCCTAGGCAACAATGTACCTTCTACCCTGTTCACCATCACATCTTCATTATCTAACTTGCCGCCGTAGACTCTAACGCGTTTCTTTAATGCTAGGAATCCTCTTCTCGGGGTGAGCGGTCCACATCCCAGCATATAGTTCTTATCGACGACCTTCCACTTAGGCGTCCCCGACCCAGAGGCGTCTCTGGGACCGCCAGCAGGATTACCCATTGCCTCCAGGACCCAGCACCTTTTCACATAACATCCTTGGTTTGCAAAACAGACCGGTACTGCAAAGACCCGATTCGAACAGCGGAGACGCGGAAGCAAAGCGTAATCTCTGTCCGAGACGGCCCACGGAGGTCATGTCCCGATAGAATTCGCGAAATCGAGGATCCGTGAGAAGAGCTAGGAGAAGAGAGATAGTTTCAAGTACTCCTCCATAATCAGGGCTGGTAGGGCTCCTATTCGGCCCCAGGATGGTAAGGAGATCTCGGGCTGCTAGGCGAAGCGGAGAGTCTTCCTCGTTCTCAAATGTGCCGAGAAATCCTTCCCAGAACGGCTCTTCGTCTAATGGCTCCCAGTCGACTGTTCGAGGGGCAACGACGCGTTCTGGGACAAGTTGTTGAAGAAATGCCTGAACGGCTGGGGTCATCCAGCTGGCATCACGATCGATGAAACAGGCGAGAGTATCGCGGGTGGAGAGTCGATACTCCAGGTTCGCCGGGCCATAGATGGCTTCGAAGTTATTCTAGCGCATGACGTCTTGCAAGATTACCCGCCGGTCATATAGATAATACTGGCTCAGGACTCGTTCGGCCAGCTGCTGGGAAGTATATGTTGGCGGCAGGGGTTCAGCTTGTATGAAGAGCATGTCAAGCTCGATGTACTCGCGCGTGACAGCAGATATGGCTAAATTTTCAAAGCTCGTCATACACAACGCTCTGCATTCAAGCGACACCGCGAGGGGCCGATGGGCCCAAGAGATGATTTCCTCCCCGTTACGCAACGGACGGAGCACACTACCACTGAAACCCAGCTCGCAAGCCTCGCCGCGGGCCAGAGCGAGCACGATGAACACCCAGTAGGCCTCGTCCGCACTTTGCAGCGCATTCTCGGAGTCTCCAGTCGGGATTCACTTGAGGAAGATGTCGGCAAGGTTCAGCGTGACTTGCACGCGATCATTCAGCACGGTTATACCGGCTCTAATGACACCGTCTATTTGCTGGATGACGGAGTCCTGGCCAGTGCAGTCATAGTACGTCCCATCCTGATCAAAGGGCAGCTGGAAGGGAGATCGGATGTTCACTTGCGACAGAAAGGCAAATTGCGGATCTGCGAAGCTCTCGCGGAAGAAGTGCCTAAGCTCGTAAATATGTGGAATGGGAGCCGCACGACATTCCCTGTCTCAGAGAGAAAACGGAGTCGTGGCTGAAATCCCCAATCGTCAAGCCGGCTAACACGGATTTCGTGGTGACACCACGCTCTCGTCCGCCAACTGGCGGATAGAACTCTTTTGACTAGACCCTGAACGGCCTCCAATTCTTTTTGGTGGACCTGAATTCCCATCCTGGCCTGCCGGGATAGATGTTGCCTTTGTTGCGAGCGTAGTCGAACCATCGATTTGCTGCCTCCTCCTCGGCTTTCGTGACGATAACGTCGTCCAGAACGATGACGACCTGTCGAGCGCTTCGATAGATGTAGTTCATAGGGGATGTCAAATTCGATTTCTCTCATCCTTGCTATTATCCTTCTAGTCCATGCAGACCTCGTCTATCCAGACACCCTCGTTGCAGCTTCCTGGAATCCAGGTATCCCCCTATTTGGCGAGCCTCAATTCCTTGATACTTTCCACAATCTTTTTCGTGATGGGCCAAAGGTTAACCTCGCGAGCCTTTTTGTCTCTCCGCCGGTAGCTGATGATGACGAAGGAATCCGCGGGAGTGGTCTCGTCTTTAGCGACAGCCAAGTCCTCCGTGAATAGAAGTCGAAGCGAGGTATTTTTCAGGGTGATGTCCTTCACGCAGAGGAGGGATGCGAGTTCTTCGTTGAGACGGCGCAGGTTTTCCAGCAAATCGTAAGTCTTGTCGCGATCTTGCTTCAGGCGTTCCTCACCGCCCATTGCCTTGTTAAGAAGCTCGACCTTGTTCTCTTCTCATAGAGTTCGGCATACCCATTTTGGCTCGTCGCCGTCGTTACTCACAGGTGTCCAGAAGCCTCTTAGGAAGGATATGATTGACGACATAGATGCGAGTAGCGGTTTTAAAAAAAAAAAAAAAAAAAAAAAAAAAAAAAGGATGTGCTTCGGCTTCTAGTGTTCGCAATTTCGACCAAGACAGAAGAGCCTGCTCGTATTCTGAGAATGACCCTGGTATTTCCTTTTGCTGTATTCTTGTCAACCTCCAGTTGGATTTTCAGCTCTTGCCAATGTTCATCTCAGCCGCACTCACGTTGCTGCATCACACCAATGTGCAAAATCTTACCAACGTTATCACGGCGTACTTTACAGCCAATCCCCCCTGCGTCTAGTATCAAGATTTACTCCTACATATCGCATTTTGAAGACTTTTCAATGTCACGAAATCGGTCGTAGCCATTATTTCATCTCCGAGTCTCCGACGAGTATTTGTGCTCTCCTCAATGTTCCCACGACATACGAGTTCCTGAATTGGATTTGGAGGGATAAGTTGGACCCCCCACTTGTCGTCAACCCCCCCTTTTCGTCACCCCAAATTCCACACCGCCATTTCAACATTTCCACATTCCAACTATAATTCCTCAACCATTCCAATTCCAATCCACTTCAAATTCAGTATCCAGCTTTTCCTACTAAAGATGAAATCATATACTAAAGATAACCTTCAGGATACCCTCAAAGCTATCGAAAATAGCATGTCAACTGCCCAAGCAGCTAAGGAATAGGGTATTCCAAGAACAACTATTATAAGCTATATTTATAGCTATTAGCTAAAAAAAGAGGCCTTTTCTAGTATATAGAGACTTAATACTTCCTAGGAAACCTACTTAATAATATAGGTTTTAATTTAAAGAGCTCTAGGACTTCCTCTAATTTATATTTAAGTCTACTCTTTTATAGAAAGAATCTTTAGAATTTAGGGAGATATATAACTATTTAAAAAAAAGTAGATAAAGAGATTTTTAAAAAGAAACCTATTTATTAGAACTATAAAAAAGAAATCTATTAATTCTACTTATATTAATAATATTATAATTAAAATAATAAAGCTTTAGTTCTAATACTTTTAATTACTTAATATTAAAAATATTAAATAAGAAAATAAATAAAATATAGATAAAATAGAAATAATAGAAAGCTATATTAATAATAGACTTATTTTTAGAAGAGCTAGAAAATATTTAATTTAAAAAAAATAATTTAGTTTTTAATTATAGATATTATTTATTAAATATATTTTAATTATTAATTAAATTCTTTTTCTATTAATTATTTTTAAAAGAAAATTAATTTAATAATAATAATTTTTCTTAGATTTAGTTTTTTTTAAAAACTAATATTTTATAATAATTAATAATAAATAGATAATTAATAATATTATTTTAAAATAGCTTAAAAAGGTTTTTATTTTTTATATTAAGTTAGCTTATTATTAGAAAACTTATCTTTTTATTTTAAATAATTATAGAAATTATATTATAAAGAAATTTATATATAAATATTTTTAATATATAAGGATATACTATATATAGCTCAAGGAAAGGCTAATATCACTTAAAATTATACTTAACTAAAAGTTAATTAAATAAGTAAACTTTAACTTACTTCCTAAATTCCTTATATACTATATAAGCCCCCTTTTCTCTAACCACACTCCAACTAGGCTCTACAGTTAAATCATCTTAATAGTAAGTCCTATAATACAATATACTCTCACTTATACTTTACAATTATCCCCCTAAGGCTATTTATTAATCTCTATAAATAAGCCTTAATTTTAGCTCTAATAGTACTATACTCTTTATTTCTCTAGTTATTTCCTTATATATTAGGGTATTATAATAGTAGTATTATTCTACTTTATTAGTATATAGTTATATTAACCTTTTATTAGTAATTATTAAAATAATTATTATATTATAAAAATTTTTATCCCCCTATTTACTATTTTATCCCCTATAGCCTCTAATTAATCTCTAATTAAATAGTATACTTATTCTTTATTATTCTAATTAGCTCTTTATTATAGAGCTTAGTTAAGTTACCTATTAACTATAAATATTTTACTATATTATACTATTCCTCCTAAAAAAAATTTTCTTCTTATATATATCTTCTTCTTTTATTTTACAATAATAACTATTTCCCTTCTAAGATATTATATATTCCTATTTCTAATCCTTTAATAATATCCTCCTCTTAAAACTAATTAACTTATTATAAGATATCCATAATTTTATTTTTAGCTAAGATTACCTCTTAACTTTACTTTATTAAAAGTAACTTACCTATTACCTATAACCTTAAGATTAAATAGCTTATAGGCTTTAAAGTAAAGCCCTATTTTTACTATATTATCAATTATTATTAATTCCCTTAAAGCTTTTATCTCCCTATAGATACTAATTAGGTCTACTTATTTTACTCTACTAATAGGAAAATATATTATAAGATTTAAATCTCTACTTTTTTACCTACTAAGTTATATTAACCTTCTATTTTTTAAATTCCTAAAAAGCTTTTTAAAGCTTACTAGTAAATTTTAATATTTTAATTAGATATTATAGCTTAATAAGCTACTAGAGATTATTATAAGTTTAAAGTAAAGGTACTTATTAATTAAAACCTTTTAAAATAAATCTATTCCCTCTTATAAAATTTTATAGACAATATCATTTAAGCTATACCTTCAAAAGAGCCCAATCAATAAATAGGTATACTCCTTACTACCTAGTTATAGCTTTATCTTAATATTATTACTATTATATAGAGTTTAATATATATTTTATTCCCTCTTATTTTTTACCCCTATTCTTATTCTTTAATCTAATTTTACTTTACTTTTTAAATTTAAGATAATAATCCCTATAAAATCTAATATTATCTTACTATCCTTAGATATATTAATTTTAAAAAGGTTTACTATAAGGCCTCTAAAAAGATTTAGAAAACTATTACTTTTATTAATATTAATACTTATCTTTTTAATATTTATAACCTCCTTAACTTCCTCTAAGTCCTTACTTTATATATTTAAAGCTTTACTATTTTTACTAATTAACTAGATAAATTATTTTATATTTATAGTTCCTTTTTTAAAGTTAATTATAGTAAGTCTAATTCTACTAAAAATAAGTTATAAACTAGATAATACTATATTTAGTAAATAGATTTTAATATTATTTTTTTAAATTATAGCTATTTTTCTACTAATAAGGCTAGAGCTATATATAATACCCTTTATATCTTTAGTTTACTTTTTATTTAAGATATAAGCTCTTATTATTACTATTAAGTTTTCTATAAGCTTACTTCTACTTAATTAGCTAGTTAGTATTAAATTTATATTATTTACTTTTATATTAATATTTAAATCTAGCTTTATAAAAGTATTAATAAAAATAAAAAAGATAATATTAATATTAGTAGTATTAATAAAAGTAATAATAATAATAGTAGTAATAGTAATAATAATAATAATAATAGTAAAAATAGTCTTAGTACTTCTATTTCTTATATTTTTACTTTAAAGTATTATAAAGCTAATAGTAATAGTTTTATATATAAATATCTTACCCTTTATAAATATTTTACTAACTATATTACTAATCTTAATAGTAAACTTAAAAGTTAAAGTAAAGGAGAGGGTAATAGTATTACTATATCTTAAATATTACTATAATCTAGTTACTTCTTATAAGCTATTAATAGTAGTTATTATATTAGTTTCTTAAATTATATTAGTAGCTATCTATATTTATTTCTTCCTATATTTACTTTTAGTTTATTATTTACTTATAAATATTTAAATTACTTAGTTTTAATTTTATCTCTAATAAGTTAATACCTTATTACCTTTTTTTATTATATAAATTTAATCTTTTATTTTTATTAGTTATCTTACTTATAGTAAAACTTTAATTTCTTCTTCTAGTATCTTTATATAGCTTTCTATATATTTTCTAAATACTTTTCTAGCTCCTATATATTATATTCTATAGGCTAGCTTTCCTATTTTATAAGATATTATTTTTTATCTTTAACTTATTAGTATATAATTACTTCTTCTAAAGCTTATTTCTCTAATTCCTCTAGGTTAAGGAGTATTTTTTCTCTATATCCTTCCTCTACTTTATTATATTAAAACTTTAATAAAGATATATAAAAGATATTATATATTTAACTATATTATTTTAATAATTCTACTTAATATACCTATATCCCTATCTTTTTAATTATAGTTACTTAGAAATAGATTAATATAATTTTCTTCTTACCTACTTTAAAATAAAAATTTTCTATTAATAATTTTATAACCTAGCTAATATTAAAGCTTATTAAAATATATTTTTAATTATATATATATATATATTTAGTATTTACTTTCTATTAATAATACTTTACTACTTTCCTTATTATTATTAAGTAAATTAGATATTCCTTAACTCCTTAGACCTTTTCTAATTAATCTATAATATATTTAATATAATATAAGTAATAATTATATAGAGCTTTAAATAAAGATACCCCTAATATTATATTTACTATATTATTTATAATAAATTCTATCTCCTTAGTCTTCTTTAACTAATAATAGGGAAGTTAATTAATATATATCCTTAGGTATTTTATAATTATAAAATAAAAGTATTTATTAGCTCTATCTATTTAAAGATATTAAGCTATTAAAAATTACCTCTTTATACTTAAAACTAAATAAAGCTCTAATTAGAAAATACTTATAAATAGACTATCTTAATTACTAATAATACCTTTAGAAATACTAAAGTAGTACTTAACTTTCTAATATAATAATATTATTAGCTTTATAATTATTATTATTTTCTTTATAGAAATTAAGATTACTATCTAAATAAATTAATATAATATTATAAATATTAAATTATATAATTCTTTATTTTAATAGATATTATCTAGAAGTCTTATAATAAAATTAAAACTAATTTTTTAAAAAGAGTACTTAGGAATTAGTAGAGGTTAGAAGGTACTATACTTTTTATAATATAGTCTACTTATACTTTAATATTAATTATAGGTATATATATAGTCCTAGATATCTAAATATATATTAGTTTAGTAGAATTTATATTTTAGTAAATCTAATATCTAGTTTATATTTATATAATCTATCTATAGGTTATTATAGTATTTATATAGTAATTTTATTTTTAAAAAGCTTTTTTTAGAGATTACTAAATAACTTTTATAAAATAAAATCTTATCTAAAGCTAAGTAATATCTATTCTTTATTTTAGTATCCTATAAACTATTAATAAGTTTTTTATAATTAAAGTTTAATTATTATAATTAATATATAGTCTTCTAGAACTTAATATTAATTATTAAAGAAAGTATTATTTTATTTTTTATAATTTCTTTTATAATTAAATATAAGATCTATTAATTATAAGCTAATATCTTAGTTCTAGCTAATAGTTCTAGACTATTATTATCTAATTAGTAAATAGTTTCTATAGCTTTTTTTAATTATCTTTTTAGACTAAAGGTTTTAGTTTACCTTTTTATAATTACTATTATCTACTAATTAGCTTCTACTTTTAGCTAGTATATATTATATTTATATTCTCCTATATAGTTTATTAATATTATTTAATTTTTAGAAATAGCTATTTATATTAAATAGCTAGGGTTTTTATTAGTTATAGGATCTTAAGTAGTACTTATATACTTCCTATACTTTCTCTTAATATAAGTTTCTTTTATCTTTACTTTTAGTAGAGTTTTATATATTTAATATTTTAAAGTATTTAATAGCTCTTTTATAAAGTAGACTTTCTAGTTTATAGTTAAGATAAAATCTATTAGATATATTTTTAATTCTCTTTCTATTTTAAAGCCCTTCTTTAGCTTAAGCTTAATTATAAGCTCCTTAGCGACCTTTTAATACTCTCTTTTTATTTTAAAGCCCTTCCTTAGCCTAAGCTTAATTATAAGCTTTTTAGTAATCTTTTAATATTTAAGCTTTTCTAATATATAATTAGGTTATTTTAATAATAGGTTTATAGGATTTATTTTCCTAGGTCTATATTTAATCTTAAAGTTAAATACTAATAATTATATTATTAAAAAAAATAAAAATATTATTTAAATATTAATATTTTGCTATATTAGAGATTCTTTTCTCTTCTTCCCTCCCTACGAGAGGGATTCTCGAGTTCTTCTTCGGGGCTCTGTTGAGGTTGTGATGTGTTTTATATATAAAACACATACACACGCGCCCGCCATTCTCAAAACAAGGGAGGCGCGTTCCCGCGGAACTTATACGACCACAACTTGGGCGGGTTTTGGCTTTTCTGGGCACATAACATTCCGGCCTGCAGTATACTCCGTGAGTGTAAACACTTTGTTAAGAGAAACTGTGAGTACTTACGAGTATCGCTGGAGCTGCTGTGCTGATGCTCCCATTGTCGGCATCCTCGAGTATCTTCACTAAATTACAGAGCCTTTCAGAATCGTAGGGTGCCGCATCCGAGGCCAAGTTGGCATCGGTATACTTGGCGTTGAAATCCTCCGACTTAGCGGCGGCCATTTCGAAAGAGAGAGAGGGTTTAGGGGGGCGGGGGGGGGGTTGGCTAGGGGATCTTGTGATCTTGTCTAGGGTCGCAATCGTGTGATCATGCGCTAATAGCGATGCATTGGGATTACTGAAATAAATACGTTGAACTGGAGAGGGAAATTCCCATTCAATGACGCAGGGTATCCTAGTGATTCCGGGGAAGGCATGCGCTAGATAATACAATCAACCCACATGGTCACGGGGGAGTTCGACGGTTTCCGTGGAGCCACAGCCGGGGCTTGGGGAGCCTCAGACAGCTTGCGCGGGTATTGGCCTTTTTTTTTTGGCATTCCTGGTGGGGACGGAGTGTTGGATGATGAACTGTTTTCAAGGGCCACATTCTACCTGTATAGTCGAGGTTGTCGATATATATTCCTACCTCTCTAATAGATTTTATCTTAATTATAAACTACTTTTAGTTATTCTATAATAGCTAAGAGGTTATATATATAACCTCTTAGCTATTATAGAATAACTAAAAGTAGTTTATAAGCAGTGCGTCCCCGTTCGACCACTTGAGCTTCCCTGAGACGTTGAGAATCCAGACTCAAGTTTTCATATATAACACATACCCCCGCAAGCTGTCTGAGGGTCCCCAAGAGAACATCACAGCCTCAACAGAGCCCCGAAGAAGAACTCGAGAATCCCTCTCGTAGGGAGGGAAGAAGAAAAAAGAATATAGCTTTCTTGTCACGTTTGGCACTAAGCTAGATTGATGAGCGGATACTTACCCTCCTTAGGGAGGTGTTGGCGGTATGCGCTTTCCTATTGATCGGAAGCGATGGTCATGGTGAACAACTGGATTGTGTTATTAACCTCGATGGATTGGTTCTAGAATGTGCATCTATTAGAGAGGTAGGAATATATATCGACAACCTCGACTATACAGGTAGAATGTGGCCCTTGAAAACAGTTCATCATCCAACACTCCGTCCCCACCAGGAATGCCAAAAAAAAAAGGCCAAAACCCGCCCAAGTTGTGGTCGTATAAGTTCCGCGGGAACGCGCCTCCCTTGTTTTGAGAATGGCGGGCGCGTGTGTATGTGTTATATATGAAAACTTGAGTCTGGATTCTCAACGTCTCAGGGAAGCTCAAGTGGTCGAGCGGTGACGCACTGCTTACAAACTACTTCCGCAAGGCGCCGGCGTGGAACCCGGTCTGGTCAAACCTTGAGACGTGGAGGATTGGGAACTGGGGAGGGAGAAGTGGGAATTCTTTTTTAGTCTTTAAGAAAATAAAAATATTATTTAAATAGATTATATAATAAATATCTACTAATTCTATTAGGATCTTATAGATATAGGCTTAGAAGGTAGCTAGGGTATTTGTAAGCTTAAATAGTATTACTATATACTAGAAATATTTATATTTAGTATAAAATACTATCTTCTACTAATTAAAGTCTTTAATTTTAATCTTATAGTAGGTATCTTATATATTTAATTTTAAAAACTATTTTCTATTAAATAATTATAAAAGTAGTTTTCTAATTAGAAATAGAGGGTATTAATTTTTAACTATAATATAGTTTAACTTTTAGTAGTTAATATATAAATATAGTTTTCTATCTTTCTTTAGTATAAATAAAATAAATACTTTTACTAGGTTTATAAAATAAGTAATCTAATTACTTTCTAGCTTTTTTTAAATATATTACTTAAGTTTTTTATTTTATTTTAGGGTAAGGAAGTAGATTAGTTTATATAGTAGCTTTTTTCTATTGATAGTATTAATTATATATTTTATATTTATAAGTATAGATAATTTTTTTACTATTTATTTTAAAAAAATAATTTTAAATTTATTTAATTTTAATAAAAAGTTAATTTTAAAATCTTCTTTAATTAGCTTTTTATTATTATTTAATTATTTATCTTTTCTTTTTAAGATAATAGTTATATATATATAATATAAAATTTACTTTCTTTTTAAAAAAGTATTTTTATAAACTAAATAGTATTTTTATTTATTATAATATTAAACTATTAGTAATCTATTATTATTATTATTATAATTCCTAAGTCTTATATATTTAGGTAGCTAATTAGGATATTAGGGGTATTTGTTTCTTTTTTTAATTTAAAATAGAAAATTATAATATCTTTTAGTTCCCTTTTATAATTAGTTAATTCTATTTAGATTTTATATACTTCTTAAGCTTTAAGCTATTTTCTATTAATACTTAATAGCCTTAGGTTGTTGAATTTTTATATATATTTAGGTATATATTATTATATAAAATCTATTAATATAGTATTTATTATAGCCCTAGTGTTTAGGTCTATTTTAATTTTAATTTATTTCTTTTTATTTTTTTCTTAAAGTCCTATTTTAGTTAATGTAATTATATAAAAGGACTTTTTAAGTAGGCTTAACTAGGGTAGTTTTTCTACTATAGTAAGCTGGGTTAGGTATTTTACTATATAGATTTATTTTCTAACTTGTCTATATTAAAGTTTTATAAGTATTTTAATTAATTATTAAGGTTAAGTATACTTATTATATCTTTTATAGCTAGTTCTTTATAATTATATTTATAATAGCTTTTTTTATTATAATTAAAGTAAGTGATATAGTTAGTATTTAGTTTTTTTATATTTTATATATATTATTTTTTAATATCTTTATTTTAAAAGTCTTATAATTTCCCTTTATTAGTTTAGCCTAAGACCTCTTTTTAGTTTTTTGTTTATTTATAAGGTGGCTAGCTAGAGTCTGATTGTTTTTAGTAAGGGTATTAAAGGTTATTATAAATTAAGTTAGCTTTATTTTACTTTATATTTCTTTTCTATTTTTCTACTTATTTAATATAATATTATTTTATTTTTAGCTATTATATATAGGTTTCTAATAGGATTTCTTTATAGTTAGTAATTATTTTAAGGAAAGTCTTGATTGTATTGCTTAAGGGTTTATTAAAGTGTTTTTATAAGTTAAATGTATTTATATTATCTTCTTTCTTTAGAGGTTTTCTAATTATATTATAAAGTCTCTATTATTTAGTAGTAAATTTAATTAGGTATCTATCTAACTATTATAGTTTTTTTAATTTAAGTTAAACTTTAAATATATATTATTTAAGGTTATAGTATAACTTTTCTATAAAGGTAAATAGATCTTTTAAAGTAATCTTTTCTATATTTAATTAATTAATATAAATTCTCTATTTTAGGTAGAGGTTATTACTAACCTTTTATAAAGCTTATTAGATATAGGTTTACTAATTAACTTTTTTTTTAATAGTTTAGTTACCTTCTTAAATAGTAAGCTTCTAGTCCTAAACCTTTATAGTAATAAGTTTCTATATAAGTAGTTTTATAGTATATACTAGGCTTTTTAGGGTTATATATAATATTTTATTTAAGTTAAGTTTAGATTTAACTAATTTTTAAAGGAGGTCTTCTTTATCTTGTATTTATTTGATTTCCCTTTATAGTTTTTGGTTTTTAGTTTATAATTTATCTTTTATAGGTGAATATATATGTTTTGTTCTTTCTGTGGAGGGTGCTTACTATATAGTTAGTAATTAGTTGCTATATTTATTTAGATTATCTATTTCCTATATTTCTAAAAGTTTAGAACTTTTGGATAGAGTCTATTCTTTGGGAGTGGCTTTTTAGGCTGGGATGTGTCTAGTGATTCTTAGTAGTATAGTCTTAGTTTAAGTTTAGTGTAGCTGTAGAAGTTGAAGAATTATAAGGATATACTGTATATAGCTTAAGGAAAGGCTAGTATTACTTAGAATTGTGCTTAATTAAAAGTTAATTAAATAAGTAAACTTTAACTTGCTTTTTAGATTCCTTATGTGCTGTATGAGCTCTCTTTTCTCTAACTATACTTTAACTAGGCTCTATAGCTGAGTTATCCTAGTAGTAAGTCCTGTAATATAGTGTGTTCTTATTTATATTTTATATAATATAATATCTATTTTCTTTTTTTACTTTTATATATATCTTATATCTTTTAATTATTAAATTTAATTATATTTAACTTTCTAAAGATAATATATTAGAAAAAAGTTAATTTCTTAATTTTAATTATTATTTCTATAATAGTAAAGAAAAAAAACTTATTTTTCTATTATTATATAACTTAAAATAATAATATAATTAATAAAAATATTAAAAGTAAATTTATAATATTTAAACTTTAATTTATAAATATAATTAAACTTTTTTTTAATTTTCTTATTTTTTAAAAATTAATTTTATTATAAAAATAACTTTTTAAAAATAAAACTTTTATTTCTAAAACTTTCTAAATATTTATTTTAATTTCTTAATTACTTTCTATAATTTCTAATAGTTTTATTATAATATAGTTAATTTTAAAAAAAATTAAAAACTTTTAAAAATATATATATTAATCTAACCTTATTAATTAATATATTATTATATAATACTAGCTATCACAACATAGCTACGACCAGGTTATAAGAAAGCAGTATAGTACTATAGAATAAGAGATCATATAATAAAGAAGTCAGATAGGACTAAGTTTAACTAATCAATTAAACAGAAGACTAATAGTATAGTTATACCTATAACTAACTAACTAGTTAATTAAAAGTATAACTAACCCTAAAGAAAACTTAAAAGGAAAATATCTATATAAACTATAGTTTACTCTATATATCTAGTTTATCTTTTAAGACTTTCTAGTAGTTAATTTAAATATTATTATACCCCTATACTTAAATATATACTTTTTATTTATATCTTATAAATACTAGTTAACTACTTTACTTTACTACTAATAAATAACTACTTTAATCTTATTATTAATTATATTTACTTAATACTATTAATAAGCTAGTATTAAAATTATAATATATTAACTACTTTAATTTAATAAGTAATTTTATTAATTAATACTAATATTTAGAAATTATAGTATTTAAAAAAAGAAAGCTACTTATTACTTTAAATTCTAAATTAGATAATAAAATTAAGATATAAAAAATAATTACTTT